TTAGTAGCCAAGCTCCTGGAAAGGTCACCAACCTAAGAACAAAATCCCACTAGTTTCTCCAGCTACTTCCTCTAATTAATAAGATAATGGCTTAATGCGTTAAACAGTTAAATCTTAAAAGAGAGAGAGAGAGAAAGGGCAACGATTGTAGCTCAAAAAATTGAAAAATTTCCTCCAAAAGAAACCCAATTTGTCCCACCACACGTTCAATGATGAACTTGGTTGCTTGGAAGCGAAGGAAAATCATTAATCATTTGTTTAAGTACATTATATTTTTCCCTTTGTTTTACCCTTATTCATGAATAGGCAACATGACTTGTTTTCTTGCATTTCATGATCCTTCTCTTTGAAAAACACTCCAATTGTGACCCAACAAATCACATTGCATGATTATAATGAGACTCAATATATATAAAATCTTTAAAAAAAAAGACAAAAAACAAAAAGGATGGCTAATTAAATGTTACAAAGTAAAATACATTAACACATCAAAGTTTTAAATATAATTTTATACGGATGTATTAGTTTTCAAAATAAATAGTTTTTACTAAAAGTGTAAACGGTATTAATATTTAAATGTAAAATATCTAAAATATTTTTATTTTTTAATTTTTTTTAATTTTTAATCGATCGGTGACGTTTCTTTACCCTAATCGATCACTTGTTGATCGAATCTAGTCATAGAATGTCAAATCCGACCAAATCTTCCCAAGAGAGCACCAAATCGTGCTCCTCATAAGAGTGTTGAGATGCACGCTCCTCAATCGAATCTTGCATTCCCTGATTAAATCCGACCACATGATGGCCAACCGACAAGAGGTAGGATAGATTTTTTTAAAAATTATAATTTGGTAATTTTAAAAATTAATTAAGTGTAAAATTATTTTTTTAATATTATCATGTTATCAAATAAATAAAAACATTAATTATTGACTAATAGCGTGACTTGTATGTTTAACAAAAGATTTTTTTTAATGTAGAATGTTCATTTTGAAAGTTAATAAACTAATGTGAAATTATGATTAAAATTTAAAAATATTAATGTATTTTATCTGATATTATATAAACACATGCTAACATCTTTAACAAAGATGTGCAAAGTTTTTTAAAAGACCCCGCAAATTCCACCCACGAATGCTCAGTGGCATTTGGGTCTGCACGCCCCCTGCTGAGAGAAAGACACATTTTCCACATTTGAGTCCTTCCGCCCCATGGTTCCACTCCCATATCCCTCGCCACAATTTTCAATCGATCCAAGACGACTACAAGCATTTATGGAGGTACACCATTGCCCCAATTTGCATGACAATCAGTTTGCAATAATAATTCTGTTTGGGCTTATTACATGCTCGTGTTGTCCCTTCTTCTCTCCCTCCCTCTCTCTGTTTCCCTCTATGTCTCTGAGTAGTCACTGGCTCCACTATCTTCCTATGATTGTACCTTTTCCTATCATGTTTTAGGTGTCTGGTGGGCCGGCAGCCCCAACTTAAAAAATTGTCCCAGCAGGGTCAACTCAGCAGCTCACCTCCAATCATTTCATTTCCATACAAATCCATGACTTCGAAACTTTAGATTATATGTAGCACTTTTAGTTTGACTCCCACAATCTTTTTTTTCACTCCAGATTCATTGACAGGAGTTATTAACTCACAAAGAAGAACATTACTGCTAAGTTATTAAGTAAACTCCTTTATTAATAACCATATATTAAGAATTTAAAAGATTTAAATTTATAATCATTTATGTCACGATCTACTATTTTTATTGAATAACTAATTTGCCGTTGATATTAAAGTATCCTTGTCAATGTTCGGTTAACACCCTTTTCGGTCTGTCCTCTCCATGATTTCATGTTGGAAAGTATTTGGTGGGTTTTCCTTAACAAAATCTACAGGATTATATAATAAGACGAGAGGTTGACGATTTTTATTTGATTTTTAATAGAACACAATAAACTATTGGAAGTGAGGAATGACTTAATGTGCACAAGACGGCTTCCTGCTGGACAGAGGTGGCGTTAGTGGTGTTGCCACTATCGACCCTTTTTTCCAGTTTCTTTCTCTTTAGTACAATTTAACTCTGTTGCCAAATGTTCGGGTCAATGCACATGTGGTTTCACTGTCCGTCGTCTATCGAGCCACCTTCACCGACGAAAACCTCTTCCATTTTCCACTTTTTTTTTTTATTCTCCCTCTTCATTCTGCATTGTAGAGCATTAGTGAAAATAAATAGTCTTTTGTAATCTATTTTGTTTGTATTATGCGCATTATCAGCATTTTAAGGTTTTGTTAATATTTTGCTCTGCTTTGTGCCCATTAATGTTAATGTCGAATGACGTTGTGTTTTTATTTTATTTTTAAATGCTTACAAAATCTTATAATAGAGCTATTTGATTTGCAATTAGATGAACAGGGATTAGATTATAAATTTTTTGTTCTACTAATTCACATTAATTGACTTGTATAATTAGAAGTACTAATACACATTTTCTCATCCTTTTAGTTTTACCTATCTTTATTTGCATATATAGACAGCAATAGATAAGAAAAGTTGAGATAAAATTACATGTCCACGACAAATCAAATGGTAAAATTTTGTACTTATTTATGTTATTTTTATAATATTTATTTTAAATTATATATGAATGTGATTATTAAAATTTATATAAAAATATAAATCAATTAATACGAAAAAATTGAACTTAAATGTAAAAAAAAAAAATCATGTGATTAAGATCCAAATAATTGTTAACCATGAATGTTTAGACCCAAATTGTCACAACTTTTTACCATGTTAAAGCATAAATAATTCATAAAAATAAAAACATAAAATAACTATTAAGTTTGATTTAATCTGATTATCTTAATAATCAAGGCCACTCTAATGATTATCACTCCTTTCAACAATACATAAGGTTTAAGATTTGAATCTATTTTTTCTTCTTTAAATGAAAAAAAGATAAAAAACGTTGCCTCTTTATTTTACCATTTTCATTTAAATATAGTGATTGCCTTAAATTAAGGAGGGAATGTTTGTTTACGTTAAAATTCTTTTTTTAAATAGTAAGTAGTTTAAGAAATAGTAGTACTACTTGTTGAGGGCACGGCACAACTTACATATACATATATATATATATATATATATATATATAAAAAAACTCATTTGAAAAAATCATGGGTTAAACATAAGTAGCGCGTTTTAATGATTTTTACATGCCTACACGTATCTGCTTTGCACTAGAAATAGAAAGTTTGTTTCTAAATTTTTACATAAATCAAATATTAAACATTTTAGAGTAGATATTAAAAAAGGGATCATCCCTTAATATATAATCGTAAATGACACTCAAGATCGCTTATCCTCAAGTATATATGTTCATGAAAAAATAAATAAAAAAAAGAAAGAAAGAAAGAAATACACATGCGGATGAGATCTCCATTGGCCATTAAGATTATCAATTAAATGCCAATCGTTACATCATCTTGACATATACTAACTCGTTGCACTTGGACTTATTGATGTATGAGATTTCTTTAAATATTTTTTAACTTTATTTTTATTTTTTTGGGTAGACGAGAATGGGATTTTTGTGACCGCCACCACACAAATCATATGTTGCGGAATTTCAACACATTGATTTAAGGATTTCGTTCATAATGTTAAGCATATTTGAATCTATAGCCTGGTTATTACAAGTCAAAATCTAAGATTTTAAGAAAAAACATAAGTTAGCAATCACAGTTTTTGACTTCTATAAACTTTGTTTTTACTTTGCCTCTTTCACTTTCTTGTGTGTCATTAAGCTTTGCTAATTTTTTTATATAATTTTAAATATTTTTTAAAAAATTTAATGATTTTTTCTTTTAAATCATTAAATAATATTTTTGTATTATTATTATTTTTATCAAATTCACTTTTTTATATATAAATACGATACTGATATGATATTGATGTAAAAGATAAAATTATTATGTGATCACGTCATCGTATTTGTAATAATTTACTATGACATACAAAATACCATGTTAGTGTCACATGATATAAAAAAATTATTAAGTTTTATTTTAATTGAAAATAATTAGTTAATTATTAATTATAAAAATTTATTCAATTCAAAATAAAAATATAAGAACTTAATTGAATGTAATAAAAAATAAAATTACAAATTTATTTGATTTTTTCATAATAGTTTAGGGACTTTTTAAATATTATATTTTTTTCAAAAGTTTTTCTTAATAAGTTTAAGATAGATATTATTTTTTATAAATCAATTAAATTATACTTCTGTGTATTCCCAAAATGCTAATCGATAATTTTGTTAGTCTTTACAAAGCCTTTCTTAGTGAATTGTCTTATAAACTTTGCCACAACTTTTTCAAGTACAATATATTGTAAAAAAAAAAAAACCTTGGTATTCAACTGTTTTTATATTCAGCTTTCATGGATAAAACCATATGGTGATAGATGAAAAAAAGGAATTTTGCTTAGAAACTTGCATATCAGCAAAGGATCTGGAATGAAAGTGATCATACTTGATAGTTTTCCTTTTTTTTAAAAAAAAAAGGGGAAATTTGAAAGGCTGATTGGCCATGGTGCCTCCAATCAACCAAAAGGAAAACTCAGGGGAATGGACTTTCTTTCACTGTTAAAGGCAAAACAAGAGAAAGAGAAAAGAAAGGTTACCCCATGTGGAATAGTTTTTTGGGCTCACTTGTTTTGGTTGGTAAAGTATATACCTAAATTGAAGAAAACCCAAATAGAATACAGATGAAGATGGTGAAGGAAGAGGGATTCCAATGGGGAATATTAATTTTTTAAAAATAAAATAAAAATAAAGTCAAAAATAGGGGGTTGATGAGTAAGACAGCATTATAATTTTCTTTTTGGTCTGTGGCCAAAATCCCCAAAAAATTTTTTGCCTCTTTTTTCTTTTTTCTCTGATTAAAATCATCCTCTTGCTTGAAGAACACCTCAAAACTTTCATTTTTATCCCACCCTGATTACCCTTTCCCTTTCCCTTTTCTATCAAAATAAATCCAAAAATAAAAATAATAAAAAACCACGCGCCCTTACGCGCTCTCTCCACACTCCCCTTCCCTTTCTTTCTTTACTTTCTCTCTAATGAATAGTCTGAGAACACTACATTAGAAAAACCGCCTTCCCCTCTTCATTCCCTGCCTGTCGTTTTTTGTTTATATCAAAATAGAAACAGTAATAAAAAGAAGAAGAAGAAAAGAAAAACCTCTCCTTTCTCTATATCTCTCTCTCTCTTTCCTTTCTCTCTCTACGATGGATTTTGCTTAGAAATTGGTTATGAACCAAATCTGGAGTAACCCATTTCATTGTTCGTTACTGTTTGAAGGAAAAAATATAAAATTTTACATATTGCCTCCATTTCATGTTTAAATACTTCCTTTAAGAAGGGTTACTCTTATATTTCACTGCCGAGAAGCTGTTTTTTTCTTCCTGTCTGAACCGAGTTTTCTTTTCTCAGTTTCTTTCGATTTCTGTTAAATCTTGAAACTTTGTCTGAATCTAACAACACCCATTTGTTCAGTTACCCCGGAACCATCTCTATTACAGGTACGTGACCATGTTTTTTTGGGACAAAATTTTCATTGATCCGTTTGCCTGTCTTTAATCTAATGATGTTTTGGTTCAGTTGGTGTTGTTTATTGCTTTTTTTTTCAGTTATGTGGGGTTTTTAGTCTGATGTTTGATTGATAGGTGAGGATCGCCTAATCCTTCACTTCTTTTGCCTAACATTATTTTATTTGTCTAAAAACATTTTAGGGTTATTATCCTTATTTTTCGGGGTTGCTAAATTCGTGAAAGGTTGGTCTTTTTTTTTCAGTGGAAAAGAACACAACTTGTTTTGGATTAAATACTCGATACTCAAGTAAAAAATCTGGTTAAAAAAGTGTTTCCTTTTTATATCTGTTTGATGTTGCTCTCTATTAATGCTTTTATCCTTTTTAAGTAACAAATCAGTGATTCACATTTTTCTATCTTTGGTTCTTATATATTCAATGATAAGATTTTAAATTTATAAAATTTGATTAGTTTTCTTGTACTTGATATTATCTCTCTCTTGGAAATCTGTGTCAGGCATTATCTGCTTATGGCCAACATTTGTTTTAACATGTTTGCTGATTTGTTTCCTTAATCTTATTATATGTTCTTCTAGGTATGTATTTTATGATGATTGGATGCCCTAATTGAAGGTTGCTTAGTTGTGTGAACTTTATGCCGTATCAGTATAGGCTTGCATGTGATCCCGGACATCTAAAACATGGGTTTTCTTGATTAAATTCTTGTTTTCTCCTTTCTTAAGCCTCAAATCATGGGTATTTGTTGTTGTGTTCTCATCTTTTGATACTTAGCAACAATTTTGCAAAGGGAAACAGGTTATGCAGGCTTTGCATTCATTTCGAAGGGCATATGCTCTTTCCAATTATTTTCTGCTGTTGTTTGAGAGAATCTGTTTGGGTGGGAGATCAAACTTCTTTTTATTTCACATGTTGATAGACCTGTTTTCATCCTTTCCTCCCAGTTGATCCTAATCACGTGATAGGCATTTTAATTAGCAGACACTTTATTACTTTTCTCCTCAAATTTTTACTACACTTTATACGAAGTCATGTATAAATTATTTGCCATATATTTCCCATGTAATTTGGAATATATTTTTAGGTCCTTTGACTTTATTTAGACAAGGTTTGTATTTTTTCATGATTTATTGCATTATGAGGTGATAGATTCCCTTCTCATCTCTTTTTTTTTTTTTTTTCTGTATTTGGCTTTATTTTCTAAAGAAATTCATTTCTTTGTTTTTGTTAAAATCTCAGAAATTTTGTTTTGGCTGCTCTTAATTATGGACGGAGAGACTTCTTGGATCAGCCATTACATTGATGACATGTCTAAAGACATCGGTGACTTTGATTCATTCTCAGAGCTTAGTGACGAAGGTAATAAAGAAGCAACTACCATTTCTGTGGACTTAATCCTACCTGATGACTTGTTGGAGCGAATCTTGGCTTATCTCCCCATTGCTAGCATTTTCAGAGCTGGTTCTGTTTGTAAAAGATGGCATGAGATTGTCAGTTCCAAAAGATTCTTATGGAACTTTTCGCATGTCCTTTCACAAAAGCCTTGGTATTTTATGTTTACTAGTTCTGATGAACCAGTTGGTTACGCCTATGATCCGATCCTTCGAAAGTGGTACAGCATTGAGCTGCCCTGCATTCAGACGCCCAACTGGTTCATTGCTTCATCATGTGGCTTGGTTTGTTTTATGGACAATGACAGTAGAAGTGAGTTGCATATCTGTAACCCAATCACAAAAAATTGCAAGAAGCTTGAGGAGCCCCCTGGTCTGAAATTCTCTGATTATAGTGCATTAGCAATCGCAGTTAACAGGACATCACACAATTATACTGTATCCATTGTGAAGTCTAAACAAGTTCCTGGAAATTTTTTCCAATGGGACCTTTCAATTCATATTTATGATTCAGACAATGATGTGGGCAACCTCCTTGACTGAGGTTTTGACAGGATGGAGAGGTGGAGATGAAAGTGTGATCTGTGATGGGGTTTTATACTTTCTCATTTACTCAACTGGGGGTGGTGCACCAGAAAATCGGCACGGCCTAGTTACATATAATCTCTCTAGCCGAGCATCCCCATTGATAAGGAGTTTCATTCCAGTACCTGGCCCCCTTACCTGTGGCCGTCTGATGAACCTAAAGGAAAAGCTGGTAATGGTGGGAGGAATTGGGAAGCAGGATCGGCCTGACATAATAAAGGGCATTGGTATCTGGGTTCTTAATGGGAGGAATTGGGTTGAAGTTGCTCGCATGCCCCATAAGTTTTTCCAGGGATTCGGTGAGTTGGATGATGTTTTTGCTAGTAGTGGTACTGATAATCTCATATATATCCAGAGCTATGGTGCTCCAGCTCTCTGTTTTTTGACATGAACCAGAAACTATGGAAATGGTCGCTGAAGTGTCCAGTATCAAAGAAATTCCCTCTTCAGCTGTTCACTGGTTTTTGCTTTGAACCAAGACTTGAAATTGCTCCATAATTTATTTCTGATTGGATTTGAGGGTGTTATTGACCAATTCGTCCCAAATTCCCACATTTCCTTTTTTTTTTTCTTTGTTTTGCCTTTTATTTTCAGTTACTATGATATCTCTGTTCCATGAAAGAGAAAAAAAAGTTTACACAGAATGTACCAGCAGGTAAAGCTACTTATTTATGACAATGGAAAATATTAATTCTTTTGCATTGGCATATACGGCAGTCACAAATATAAGTTTAAATTTTGTTTGGATGCAGAGTATTAAACCTTCCCTCTTCCCTTTGCACCAAAGTGTCTTCAAACGTCTCTTAAGTTCTCAGTTTAGTAGCTGAATCTTTCATTATGTTGGGTGCTTTCACGAAAGACAAGCACTAAAGCCTCACTGAACTCTTTAGGTAGCATCTCTCCAATCCCCAAGCTTATCTGGCAGTGTAACAGCATGCCTTGGTAGGGGACTTTGATTATCAATGTGCCAGAAATCTCTCATCCTCCGAGGAAAATTTTGGGGATGGTTGGTCTCTTGTTCCTTTCCTTGGTTTGGTATATTTGCCATCCCCAAATCGATATCTGGAGATTGATAACTTTCCCTGTCCCAGACAAGGACTTTCCTTTAATCTTTGGAGTCAGAACTCAGAGATGGGTTCCCATGCCAGTGACTCCTTCCCGCTACTGCTCCTGTATTTCCCTCACCTCAAATTAGGTTTGTCCATGATGGGATTGGTTAGGTGCAGGATTCTAGTCTTTGGACCACACATTTTGTCAAAGCTGCGATCTCCATTTTTATTGATTTGCCAGCATGAATTTTACAGAAAACGTACACTCTCTGCCCCATGGCCTATGCCATCGTCTGAGAATCCATTCGCAACTGCTATATTATTAACTCTGCTTCATAAATACCTACACATTTAAGTAACACTGGTTTTAACTTGAATGCCGTACAATAGCTCTTAAATTGTTTCCCCCAAGGGCAAACCTTCTAGTGTTCTAATTGCACATGTGCTGATTATCTTCAACCTTTAATATAATTTCCACTAAAAGAAGCAGTAATAATGACTGGCATGGTTTAGACGGTTTCCTTTAACCCCAGCCTGAAGTCTTGTGGGCAAAGAGATGGAAATCTAATGATACCTTAAGGCCTTCTCTGCCAGGAGCTTTCTCCCTGTGGAACCCACTGCCATCATACTCCACATATATTATAGAGCTATAAGATTATCATGCCGGTCGGATTTATGCATTTTGCCTGAAGCAAAGCTGGTTGTGGCTGGCACATCCTACTGTGGATTATTCAAATGAATAAGTTTCTAGTCTTCCTTAAAACACAAAAAGGGAATTTTCTGCTTCATTTGTTGTTTAGCATATCGAATAATTCCCACAAATTGTTCTTTAAAAAGAAAATGGCCTTAGAAACCAAGAAACGTAGAAACAAGGCATGGGGCATTCTTTTGTTTTTCCAAAGAAATTGAGGCTCAATATTTAGCCATCAAGACCAGAAAACACGCTGGCTGTGCTACGGGAGAGTTAATCACGCAAACATGCCTTCTTTTGCTTAGGCTGTAAGATAAAATAAATGGTTTGAGCAACATACGGTTACGTGCCCTGCGCCTGCCGCTCTCTTTATAAAGACTTTCGAAGTTGGAGCACGGAACCAACATCTTTAGCTAGCTGCTTTTTCTTTCCTCTGAGTTAGGTGGCAAAAATTGGTCCCAACTCCCTAACCAAGTCTTTACCATTTTCAAGGCTCACAAAAACTGCTGTCCCATCTTCCTCTGTCCTACCCAACTAAATTACTAGTACTAGTATTAAGGGTTAGGTGGATTATGTTTACCCGTATAACAACAGCAACATTGAAAAAAAATAAAAGGCCAATAAAAGATGAAGAAAAAGAAAAAGAAGAAAATGGGCATTGTTTTTTACAGGAAAAAGTCGGGGACCATTTGAGGAATGGATTCCCAAAGGAAAGGGGAAAAAGTGGTCCACATGGAAATATAGGATTGGATAAAAGTGTCCCAAAAACCAGCTTACACTAACTGAGGCCAACCAAATTAATCGGGGACACGAAATTTTCTGTTAGTGTTCTGTTTCCTTCCGAGAATGATAGGTGGGTTTCTGTTAGGTCTTAGAGGGGTGGAGGGACCTACCTAACTCCGCTTTTCAAACTCTCGTAACTGACTCTGGCGCGAAAAATTGGATTCGCATTTACTCTCCACCGGCCAATCACCCCGCACCTTCCCATTTGGACAACAAATTAGAAAACGTATTAAATGGAAAATCCAAAAAACCAAATGACAAAAAAAGGACCCCCTTTTTTACTTCTTTGTTTGGTTTTATCCAATTAAAAGGAATTTGGGATCTCTTGCAATTCTAAAAGAATTGCTCTTTCCTGGTATAATCAAATTCTTTCATTTCTATATGGTTTATGTCATTTAATTCTCTTTTTTCCTTTTATCTTTTTATATATGTTTTTTAATATGGCCAGTGTTTGATGGATGTTTCAATTAGCTTTTCAATGTGAGTTTAATCATGTCATTGGGATCATAGAGAAAAATCATATATTAAGGTAAAATTCAAAGAATTGTCCATGCTGCCTGCTCCAATAAATTTGGAAGAATTATAACCTTTACATGAAAACTTAGGTACCGGATCAGGGAACAATTGAAATTGCAGGATAAATGCTTGATTATTTTATGGGAATTTGATTGTATGAGAAGGGATTCATTTCTAACCAATTTTTGAGAACAAAAGATGAATTGTGAATCATTTGCATTCTTAATTTGCACTTGCATAATGCTAAAAGGTCATGTTCGATCCACTTTAAGAGTTATGAAGGAATATGAGGGTTTTGGCAGGGAGGGAGTACATGGCACTTTCAGACAAGGAGCTTTCAGCGGCGGACTTAAGAGCTACACAAAGCAACTGGGTTCAATATTCTAAACAGCACTCTAAGAATCTCCCTCCAGGATCCATTACTGACTTCGAATGGAAGGATTACTGTCCTAAAGCTTTCAGGTGTTTTATGGTTTATCCATCTATGTTCTTACTTCATAATTATATTTTTGTTTTAATCAACTGTTGGTACACTGAGATGTTGATGTTCTGCCAGACTTCTACAAGAGCTTGATAACATCGACAACGGTGACTACATGATGTCAGTTTGTAGTGACGAAACTATAAGGAAGGCCTCGTCAACGTTGAGACCTGGAAACCTGTTCCTTTTGTCCAATGATAGCCGATTCGCAATAAAAACACTGCGGAAATCTCAACTCAAGGTAATGAAAATCAGCCTTTTGTGGCCATCCGCTTTCAATTGATGACAGTTTTCAAGCAGATATAAATTCTTCTTTCTCTGAGTATATGTTGCTTCTAAGTTCTATGCACCATAAGATCTAAATATATTAAGCTTGTGATGGTAGGTCCTCATAGAAATGCTTCCAATCTACTATAACCATCTCAGAAAGTTCCGCAACACAATATTGAACAAGCTGTATGGACTTCATGTTGTGAAACCAGTTGGAGGTGTCAAGGTAATAGGAACATAATCATATCTCACAGCAAAGTTTATGCCCGCATTAACCAACAGGAAAACAGTTTTGTTTTTCTTTCATACAACAAGGCAGCAGGGGCCAATGGATATGCTAATATCATATGAAAATTTTATTGCTTACCAATTTTTCCAGTTTGCTATTGCTTGACTTTCGATTGTTCTGTAGCTATACTTGACGCTGGTTGGAAGCCGGAGCTCTCTTCTGCTGAATATCAGAAGAATACTGGGTTTTTTTCTAATCAGCTGAATTGATGTTTAATCTTTCATAAATTATAACAACATCCCTCTTTGTGATTGAATATCTTCCTCCCTTAAATAGTACTAGAATCATCTTTCCTGTCTGTCAATGGACTAGAATCCTTGTGTTATATAAGTGATCATTGCAAGGGAGGCAAATAAAAAATGCGGGTTGGGCTCCTCCATGAAATTTTCTGATTTGCTAGTAGTTAATGACTAAACACTTGCCCTATGTTTTGGCAGTTAATAATATGCTCTAATGTATTCTGACTTGGGGAACAGGTTTACTTTGTGGTTGTAGCAAACATATTCAAGTCAGATTTACTGATGCATCGGTGTTATGACCTCAAAGGCTCATTACAAGGTCGAAAAGTCAAAAAAATGAGAGTCCGAGAGAAAACTCTTCATAAGGAGTCGGATCTTGACTTTCTCTTTTACCTTGAACCATTGGTCCGACATAGGCTTTTGGCGTAAGTCCAACAATCTATATCTTCTCTCTTAGCATTATGGAGCTCCCACTTCCCTTTTTCTTTCCTTCTTTTGGATAAATGGAAACATGATTTTTATGTGACTGACTAATGGGATGAATTCTCTCAGGTAGAATTAAATTAATTGAATACTAAACTCAGAAAAAGAAATAAGGGTACAGATGCCCTGTCCCCTCTCAATCCCCAATCCAATTTGTGCGTATGTGAGTGGTGACCGGACATGTAAAGTCCTTTACTGATTAACAATGGCATTTTTTGATAGGCAAATCAAGCATGATTGTGCTTTTCTGGAGGCTGTAGGCATCATGAATTACAGTCTGTTGCTTGGCTTTCATATAAAAGAATCACCTCAAGGTGAATTTTCCCATAAACTTTGATTGCTTTAGCATTTTTGAATCTATACAATGATTATCAATAGACATAGCCTAATACTACTAATTAGTACATAATGATAAACAAAGATTTTCTCTCAGGTTTCTTGGATGGTGGAAGTGCATTTTGTTCTGACTTCCCATGTCGAGGTAATTACTTGCACTCCGTGGAAGGATCTCTATCACTTAGTACATGTTAATTCTTGTGAGGATGCACAGAGTTACCCCAGTTCTTGGTAATGTAAAGCACAAGGGAAAAAGATTGCGTTATGAACATACGGCAATATGACACTGACCAAATCTTCCAAATAAGTGCACATCTTATGAGTAATAGTATATTCCTTTATCGTCTTTCTGCAGGTTCTGCTGACAGCAGAAGTTCCTGCAACGACATGAGAATTTCCAATGACATGTTGCATCAAAGTGATTTATCTTCACAAAGATCCTCCATCTCTTCAAATCGAGGTGATATATTGTAATTGTAAATACATCAGAGTACCAATTTCTGAATACAGACAGGCGCTATATGACTATGTTCTATTCTCCCTTTCTCTCTGCCCCCTTCTTCCCTTCCTTACTACTTGCTGAGCAAAAAATATAATAGCATGTATCTGGTAATCATTCCCAACAAAAAAGCCTGTTTGGAAAGGTATGTTATAGACCTGAGATTCAACTGATAGCATGCCTGAGATTCATTTCAAATATTAAAACAGAATACAGTTCATATGCCTATTATTTGGAAAGGAATGTTACAGGCCTGAGACTGAATTGCATACAGGTCTGAGTCAGTTTTATTCGTATATAATGAATTCGGCTGAAAGAAATAAACTGTATGAGGCAGTGTTGTGTTTTCCTGCCTTGCAGATTCAATTGACAGCAGGAATTCCACGACGGAATTGACTTTTTGTGATCACTGGCTACAAAATAATAGGTAAAAATTTTGCCTGCTAATTGTATACTCAACATGGCACATCTCTTTAAGGTTTAAATTGTTAGGAGTCGATAGTTTTTGTGCTTTCCAACCATGGTTTTCTTGCAGTTGTACTTCTAAATTTGGTGAAGAAATGTCAGCACGCGGTGTTCGCATATCATGGAATGGAACAGGAAGTGTATCAACACGTCAAATTACCAGAAGGCGAGAGTGCCATGATGTTCTTTTATATTTTGGAATAGTGGATTTTTTTCAAGATTACGGTGTGATCAAACGCATTGAGCATGCTTACAAGTCATTGCAGTTCGATCCAAAGATGATTGCCGCTGTGAATCCCAAAGTATATTCGTCTCGCTTTCAGGCATTCATCAGTGACTTATTCAAAGCAGATGACTCTCTCCACTGAGCCCCACAATGGTAATTACTTCTTTCTACAGATGTTGAATCCGTTTGGTAGAAAAGTCAATAAGCTACTGACAACCTGAAAAATCCCAAACTTTCCATTGACATCTTGAAGGTATATACACATTAATCATCCTCCTTAAGTGAGACCAATTACAACATTTATCCTGAGTGATAATTATCAACTGCGTCAGTTGGTTAATGTTTCTGTGCTAAACTTTAAATTTATAGAAGAATTTATGAAAATTTGAAAAATCCCTCTGCTCAAGGTCCGGTCAAAGCATAAGCATTCTATCCTAATCTTGTGGGTCGCTTGGGTGCCAGCGGCAGCAGAAATTCTTGAGGGGTTGCTATCATGGACCATAGTCTTATTTTAATATTAACGTTATCTCAACTGAAAAATAAAATATATTCGTAAATTTAGGCCCAAAACCTAGCTGAATGTACAAATTTGTGTTTCTGCAGGATTCAGGTCCAGATGCATGCAAGGAGATGATGTAAAGGACAAGAAATGGAGCTTTTTTGGAAGACAGCAATGACTAACCATGGAGACAATCTTCTGTGAGACTGAGGGTGATCCCTTTATTACTTGAAAATAGAGAAAGTTTCCAGATGAGAAGCTCGAATGCATTGCTTCTGCACACACCAAGTATTTGTCTTATATTAGAAGGGATCATTGCTACGGGTCTATTATCAATGAATTGGCCGGTAATAGATGAAGTTTTTCAAAAATGTGCAATGTGTTTTAAACTAAAATATAGTCCAATTTCTGGTATATATTAGCTTGGCAAGTGGCATACATTTGCCCTATGTAATAATGGCAAATGCTCGTACCTAGCTTTTCCATGAGTAACCTTAGGGAGCACATGCATTCTCTTCTTTGACTTTGATGGCTTCGGTTTGAATATGATGCCCTTGTGTCTCTCTCCCAGCGAGACTGAGCACAAGCGCCTGTCGCAGCGAAGAAAACTGAAACCTAGGCCCGCCCCCTGGCCCAACAACCCAACCCACAGACTGAGTCAGGAGCAACTTTAGACTTTAACAAGACTCTTCGGCCTCTTCTGGGCCTCAAAGATTCGTTTAATCGAGGCACTACAAAGCTAGACCATATTCCCATGAACAACCCACAAATTGAATTAAAGAGAGCTGTTTTAGCTCTAGATTTTGAAACAAATTTTATCCTGTTTACTTGTTGTTTAACAATGCCTTCTCTAATGACGTTAGCTCTTTTAAATTAAACCAAAAATTGTTTAGCATTATGCATGGAGCAGTGAGAAACATGTGCTAAGAGAAACTAACTGCAAACCAAACACGACCAAATTCAATTTATAAGAACATTCATCCATTCATGTGCCTACATGATAAATTATGCCATTAACTCAGTTGGTGGCTGGTGTGGATGTTTCATCATTCATTTGTCGGGCATAAATGTGGAATGTGGTGAATTTATAGAGTAAATTGCATGGGAGTTGGACCACATTCGATTAAGATGGAACTACTTTTAAGTGGTCCATCTCTCTTATGATTCTTGTGGTCCTTTTGTTTTTCAAATTTAATTATGTTCTTATGCACTGCATTCGATTTTGTTATTGACTGGTAAAACCGCTTGTTACCATGTAAAGATTTTGAACATATCAAATATAAAGTGCAGCAAGTACAAATATAGTCGTTGTTTAATTTACTAGGTGTGGCCACTAGACTGATTATCGTCATCTTGATTCCAACAGCTCAAATTTTTTTTACAGACTTTCTTTACCATGTCAGGTTTTAATTCGATCTTTGTCTTCCATCTCAAATAAAAATACTTTACAGGAACCCAAGATATTACAGGTGTTTCACGTATAACTAAAGGGTTGGATGTTGATATTATTCTATTTTCCTCTGATCATACAGCAAATGGATGAATCCTTCATCCTTTTTGGTTTTATGGGCAAGAGCAAAGGGAATGGAGGAGTTTAATGTTTGCTTGTAACAAGGAGTTGGCTACAATTAACAAAACCTATGATCATGCATGCAAAAACAGGTTACCATCTCAAGTCTTAGCTAATGAAGTTATGATTTCTGAAGTATCCTTTTGAGGGGGAAAGAAACAAAGAAGTTTGTTAAGAGCACAAAATCTTTGGTACAAGGTTAAAACCTTGGGAAAACCTACGATTATAAAACACAAGGGAAAAATGGAAAACTGGAAAAGCTTTTTCTTTGTTGCACGAGCAGATGGGTAGGATATGGACCACAAAATTTGGTGGATTTGACAGAGACCTTGCTGGACAGTTTTCGTACTAGAAAGTTTTGTGTTCAGCTGAGCTGTGGATAGAAACCGTTTGATAGCAGGGACAAAAAAAAATGCAGAAGCCGGTTCAGGCAGCAAAGTAGAGGAAGAGGAAGCAGGTTTCTAGGACCCTACCTATCATAGCTTTGGGTTAGATGCTGGTGTCACGCATTCCATGAGCCGCATGGCTAATAAAGCTTAATCACAATCTTTTGTTCTTCCCTGAGAATATTTTAGCCATCATTGCACTTGCAAATTTTCATTTAATTTGGCTTAATTTTAAGTCAGTAACATTCTCTCAACTCCAATGCCATGGTGACTTGGTTTAGAATTGATGGTCGGCCCCTATTGTTTCAAATCTCTTGCTTAGCTCTCAAGTTACATTTTGGCTTAGTCATCATTAGATTTGACAAGAAAAAAACATTTGTTTTCCTATTTTCAGCATATCATTGCTAGTGACTAAAAAGGATCAACTGCCATAATGTTATCTAATCTTTAGTTGGTAGATTTTGCTACTGTTAATATTAGCACTATATTTCTTTATCATTTTATATAATAATACTATCACTTTTTACATAATAACAGTATCATTCAAAGTTCTTTTTAAGGATAAGACAAATACTATAATTCATTACTCTTTGATACTCATTTGGTTTAGAAAGTCATTTGAACTCTGAAAGTGAACTATGGTCAGACTTAGACATCAAGTTAATACATTTTTGGTTTTTATTTTTCTTTTTAATTCTCTCAAGTGTGTATATGTGAACATGGAGAGATACCCTTCTCAAGGGTGATAGACTCATTAATCGATAGTACTCCTACAATGAGTTTAATAGTAAGTACTTAGTAGTAATCACCAGTTTTTTTTTTCTCCAGCTTAACCTAGCCAGGGTGCCCCAGAAATAAGAGAATCCAAAGGCGATAAATAGTTGTAAGTGTTGGTCCTAAATTAAGGGGGAAAAAAACAGAGAGAAAGAGAGAAAAGCAAGCAGGGAAAGAGCCACCCACATGCCCAGAAATAGTGATGAAAATTCGAGTCTTGAGAGGCTGATCAAAACTGTGAGGAGAGACAAAGCAGGGAAGCTAATGAGGAAGAGCCATGAGGACTTCTTCTTCACTCCAATTAGAGAGTGAAAAAACATGGAGAATGAGTGAAGAAAGGGAGAAGCACAATCACCCCACAGTTTGAAATTTTGAAGAGAGAGAGAGGGAGAAAGGAAAACAAAGATGGAAAGAAAAGAAAAAGGTGTGGAGAGAGAAGGAGAAAAGCAAGAATTCATGGTGAAAAAGTTGGAACGCGGGATCCTGGTAGGGAAAAGGGCTGGCCCCTCTACTCCTTCACCTACTTGGAGACTTGAGTTCTCTTCTCAAAATGCAACTACTAAAGAGTTCCTCCAACTTCCTCGTGGACCTTCTATTTCTGCTAGAAAACTCTGTGCCAACCTTTGGGAACTTCAACCTCACTACCCACTTCCCAACATGCGCAAAGGAGCTGCCAAGCTTCGCCTACATCATTTCAAAGACAAGGGTTTTGATGCTGATGTTGATCCTCCTGATAGTCCCCTTGATCAGGTACTGCTTGCTTTCTTTCTTACAAGTAAAAACGAAGAAAAAGATAAAGAAAGAAATGGCTTTTTTGTTTTTAAAGTTTTAAGATTTTGATAAAATTTTAGTATTTCTTTGGTGGTTCTCTGGGTTGTTTTTTAATTTAGTTTTTGAGGTTAAGTGGGGGTTCGATTTTCTTTTGATTTGTTAATGTATCTCTCTTTTGTCAAAACTACAAAAGCTTTTGCTTTTCTTAGATTCTAATTGTTTGGTGGCTTTACTGTTCCTTGTCTTGTGTTTCTTGTTGTTCTGTATCCATCTTAGTTCTTTCCTTTTGTTTCCTCTGCTTATTCTTTGCTTTGCTGTGAATGCAGAAAACTTTGCCTCTTTTCGACACTAATGGTTCAGATGCTTAGTTGTCCATGTCTGGTTTTCTTGTTGCTTCTGTGGGGCGCACACATATGGTCTAGTGAAAAACATGCCTGCCTTTCCTTTTTTCTTTTATTTTTCCCTTTAAGTTTCACTGTCAAGTTGCTTTAGTCACCATATCTAGTGCTGGTCATCTATGATCAGTTTGAACTGAAAAGCAATTTTTTTTTATGGATGCGGTGTACCTGTTTTTGGTTGTGTAGTAGTTGAACTGTTGAAGTATATATAGCGTGTTTAGTGTAGCTTTAATCATCACTAAACGGGTAATGTTGTTTCTCTGGGAATTGCCTTCTTTGCTGCTGGTTGGTTAGTTCCTATGCTTATAATTTTTCTTGGAAACAGATTTTTTATTGGTTGGTTAGTTCCAATACAGATTCTCTTGCTTGGAATATGTGTTTGAGTGCATTGCCGTTTAGTTGCAAACTGATGATGGATCTCTCTTCTCTATTTCTGGCTTATTGATCTTGCTCCTTTTAAGAGATATCTGGTCACATGTGTCTCTGAATTCTCTCTTGTTTTACCAAAGGGACGCATACCCTTGTGTACTTCTATTAATTACTAATCTTTACCCTGAATCTTATGTCAGCCAGCAAGTGCAAGTAGCTTGAGGAGGCATATTGCAGCATCACTGATGCAACACCATCGATCAGGTGAAAGAAATGGTCATGCTCTACAGCCTGTATCTCCAGCAAGTTGTGGAAGCTCAATGGAGGTCAACATCTATCAACTTTAATCTGTAGATCTGTTTCTTTTCTTTGAATAAATTGATATTATATTTAAAGATTAAAACAAATAAAGCTATTTGCAATTTAGAGCATCTTTTCTTAACTATCTCCTTAACCTCATGAAGGGCGGTATATTGTCTTTTCAATAGAAACAGATCATCTCCCATTGAGCTTCCAATTACATATAGTACATTAATTAAACCTCCATGCACGTATGAGGTGTGACTAAAGACTCTTAATGTGTTACTTGTGCACTGATCTTTCTAATTAGAGATAAAAAAAGTCGATAATTCTTTTAAATTGTGGATTATACATAAAAGATGTTAAAAATTATATATATTATGAATAAATTTAGTGTATGATTTTGTGGCTAAATTTCCTGCAATATGGTATCATACTATTTTCAGTGACTGCTATAAAGATTAAGTTGATATTTATCATCAACTTTACAGTTTGTTTTTTGTTTTGTTTATGCTTCCTCAAAAACCGGTTGACTTGAAAGCTATTTTACTGCAATTGTATCACTTCAATTGATTCATATCAGCGTTCTATGCAGATGGCACCTTATAACCCTGCAATCACTCCATCTAGTTCTTTGGATTTTAAGGGAAGGATTGTGGGGTCACGTTATAGCCTTAAGACATCAACAGAGTTGCTCAAGGTACTCAATCGAATCTGGGCTCTTGAAGAACAGCATGTATCAAACATGTCATTAGTTAAAGCTTTGAAAATGGAACTGGACCATTCTCGGGCCCAGATCAAAGAGTTGCTGCAAGAGAAGCAAACAGAGAGGCAAGAAATGGATGATTTGATGAAGCAAGTTGCAGAGGATAAACTTGTTAGGAAGAACAAGGAGCAAGATAGAATCAAAGCTGTCATTCAGCCAGTGAGAAATGAGCTCGAAAATGAGAGGAAGTTAAGAAAGCGCTCTGAAAGCTTGCACCGAAAATTAGCTCGAGAAATGTCTGAGGTAAAATCTTCTTTCGCTAATACATTAAGAAAACTTGAGAGGGAGAGAAAAGCACGAATTCTGCTGGAGAACTTGTGTGATGAGTTTGCCAGGGGAATAAGGGAATATGAACAGGAAGTGCGGTTCCTAAAGCACAAGCATGAGATTGATCAAGTTGATGGGGAAAACCCTGAGCGGCTAATTCTCCATATTTCAGAGGCATGGCTTGATGAGCGGATGCAAATGAAGCTAGCTGAAGGTCAAACTGATCCTGCTGAAAAGAATACAATTGTTGACAAGTTAAGCCTTGATATAGAATCTTTTCTTGAAGCTAAACGCTCCACTGGATCTAGGAAAAGTGAGCTTAAAGAGAATTGCTCACGCCGACATTCTTTAGAGTCTTTTCCATTGAATGAGGCTGTTAGTGCGCCTCAAGAAGCAGCTGATGGAGAAGATTCCAGTGATAGTGATTCACAGTGTTATGAACTGAACAAAGCTGCAAACAGAATTCAAAGCAAGGGGAGCTGTAAACATCATGGGGATAATGCTTTAGTGAGTCATCCTGAAGAATTAGTAAATCCCATTTTGACAAGGAAAAACGTGGGGTCTAGGACTGCCATGAAGGGCAGTAAATTGCATGGTTTGCGAGGGCATTTTGATGAACAAATGGCCACTGGAGAGGGTATACATGATAAAAAAGTCAAAAGGAATGGAACCCATGGATTGAGCTCAAGTCGTGTGCTTGATAGCTTAATCAGAAACCATTCCTTATCCTCAGAAGGTGACAAGGTTCATCCTGAGATTAGCTTAAAGGAAGATTCATGTGTGCAGTCTGTATTTAAAGGTCATGCTAGTCCAGTTCGACAATGGGTATCCAAGTTGACATCTCCAGATTTTGAAAAGTCTGAGTCTTCTCTTAAATTGCCTCAGGGTATCAAGGAGAACACCTTGAAGGCAAAACTACTAGAAGCAAGACTAGAAGGCCAGCAGTCTCGTGCAAAAGCTTCTAAGGGCTCCATGTAGGGTTGATGTTAGATGTGCCTGGTTGAGACTTGAGGCTCTCCGTGGTGAAAGATCTTGCCAGAGACTGAGGATTATGGTGCTGGTTTATAAAAGATTGTACATTAACGTTTCTTGCTGTAATCTTGGGATTAGATATGTAATGAAAAGCTATATACAATAGCATGGATCAACTAGAATGCCGGCCCCTTCATATCTTGATTAACATCCAAAACCATCCCAGTCTTTCATTACAATATCTGCAAAAATAACTGTTATCGTCTCGCTGGCTGCACAGAATCACTTGTGCATTTGTTTAAAGTATGCTTGTAGTGGTAAGTTCATATTTTTGCAAGTCTGATTCCCAAATTCAAATGCTTGTAAATAAGAGGAGAGTAATACATGCAATTTAATAGTGACAACTTGTTCAGGAACCATTTGTTTCAAGATTGCAACCATTAAACCAAGCTTGAATTGTTAAATTACTTATCTAATCAGGTCCAAGGGATGAAATTTATTACTGTTAGTAAATTATTTCCATCTTTCAGTGATTACCAACATTTGTGCTGATATATTGGGTACGGCATCTAATAAACCAAGACATTTGAATTTGATACTTTTGTTGCTTTTGACCATGAGGAAAAGAGAAAACATTGATGTAATCCAGCACAAGATTGTACTTTCATAGGCATTAAACAAAGCAAAAGCGGTCCAGAATCTGAACTTCTAGAGCTGTAGTGGTACTTTCTGCGCAAATAAAAAAAAAACCCAGAATCCAATTGAATGGGAAGGACTTCACTTCACCCAGCAATGACCCGGCATCCACTATCACCAAATAAGGCATCTGAACACACTCATTTTTCTATCTTTTTATTATAACATTGGTCCTTTTAATCCATTATTGATGAAGGGACAGGAGCACCTGAAATTTTTTTTTTAATTAGTTGCAGATTTCCTTCTTGTCAAAACTTACTGCTTAAATTGATTGGACTCTGCCATATTTGTGCTTAGACCGCTTTGCGTTTGCCAAGTATTTTTACTAGTAAAAAAGATAGGCAAAGCTATGCATGTTAATGATTTTTGTAACTTTTTGTGTAGTGGACCACTTTGGAAAGCAACCACCAGCTAAAGAATATACTACTTTCGACATTGTGATGGTATTGTTTACTTCAACTAATTGCTAGAATTGAAAAAATAATGTAAAATTCGATCCAACAAAGGAGGAAAAAAAGAGAGAAATATTTTGAGTATAATTCTCCTTTTCGATGATGGAAACTACCGCACTTGACAGGTAAAGATTGCATCAAGACATACAGAGTTGCCTTATTCACCATGGGAATTTAAATCACAAAACCAGATTCTTGGAAGAACTTCTGGGGAAGGCCAGCTAATATATCTTGACCCACATAAAAGTTCAAATCTGAATCACCTCGGATTGATGGCAAGGAAGAGCTCTAAAGCAGAAATGGAGGTACCCCATTTGGGTAACCAAAAACCTCATCAGCTGCGTCAGTGCACAAACTCAGAGAAATATGTTGGCCAAGAAAATTATTAAGTAATGAAAAGAAAACCTTCACCTTCTAATTTGCTAATGGTGGAGAATAATAACACTATGCCAATTCCACTCTGCAGTTTAAAACTCTAATCGAATATTCTTGCTTCAAGGAGAGAACCCTCTCTTTTTTTCATCACTGGGACCCAATTTCGATCAGAACCAATGAAAACATGTCACACCCACCAATCTCATGATTTGAAAAAGACACCCCCATTACCACTGGTTTCGCCTTAATCAATTTCTTGACAAGAAAATCTCATTCCCAGATTATCTGTAAATTACAAATTCGACCGCCCGGATTGCTTCTGGTTCCTAAAGTTTTGGCCTATAAAAAGGACCCCCATTTTCCCTCTAGTCTCACAGGTCTCAGCTTAATCACTTTCTACTACATTAACATAGTACTTCCTATAAATAGTAGTTACATAGTACATAATATGATATGATTATAGTATTTTTCTTTTTCTTTTTTGGTAATTGATTTGTTTTGTGCAGGGTTTGAATCGATGGATGGGACCCAATTACGGAGCTCTCTGAACTCCAAACCTGAAAGGAAGTGATGGTAGGCTACGGCTGCTAGTTCATGAGTACCCCTGGATGCGCAGAATGAGCAATGAGGCCGCACGCTGAGGGTTTGCATGAACTGGGAGACGTGGTTACCTTGATCTTTTTGGCATTGGAGTGAAGGGAGCTCCGTATCTCGATCTTCTTCCCTCCTTTCCTCACCATTTTTTTCCCCTCTCTTTTGCCTTTCCTTCTCTTTGATATCTCATGTACTAATTTTGCATTCACGATTTGCAGGTGAATTTTAGTCTTATTTTTTCTCATGCTCACTGGCGGAATCATGATGGTAACGGATGACCAGTGACGACCACCGTTACAAAATTTGATATATATAACATAATTATTCTTACGATACTCTTTTTTACAAAATCTTGAATTCTTAATATTTAAGAACTTTTATATTTAAAATCACTAAATTAAGAGCATATTGTTATCATGACTCCAAATTCTGAAAAACTTTTTCCCCTTTCTTAGTTTTGAAAGGTGGAGAGAATAATGGATTAGCATTAATGAAGAACTCACAAAAGGAAACCAATTCTCACATGGTTTGTTTTGCATTGAATGTTTCCGGCTAACGCATTTTTGTTTTCAGGGTAGCCAGGCGGGAACTGCACTTTGCTACCAAAATAAAAGTTCCTCCAGTTTCGATTATAACTGATCTAAAGGCATTGATACCCATAACTTTTGTCTACAGAAGCTAGCTTTTATTATCCACAAGTTAGTAAGTTGGTTTATTGAATTTAGATGGCTCCTTCTTTTCTCTTTTGCCTTTAGGACCACAGTTTTTGTACCTTGTCTCTTGATCAGGATTTTAAAACAGGGAATCCAATCATGAATCAACAACTATTGCAACAAATTATATAATGGTTTACATTGAATAATTTCTGTAAATATAGTGCTTTGCACCTTCCAATGAGAGAAATTCTGATGTTAATACTACGTTCTTTTGGAAGACAAGTGCGGGAAAGGAAGCTCAAGGAACCTTCGATAGAAACAGGGAAGCATCTGGACAGACAAGTGCAACTACGGTCCTCATGCAATGGTCACGGGAGGGATAAAAAGATAAACCCGCGGCTCACTTTCACCGGGGTTTGGCTAGCGCCAACATAGGAACTGAGTGAGTGCAAAGGGCAGCCGAAAGGTACACTAAACTAACAGGGGATGTTCTTATGTAAGAAGAGTGGGGCTGGGGAGTAAGGAAGCAGGGGAGGAGCTAAAATTGTCTTATGGCTGACCGCGAGTCTCCTGCCTACGCTTGGACTAAAGACTTGATTCAACATCACACGTTCCATTTGTTTTTCAAAAAAAAAAAAACTATATTCATTTTTTCCATCATTTGGAGGACGAATATCTGCAACTAATGGTGGAACTCGATGTCACTACACCACATAACAAATAGCCGTTACAAAATATTGTTCCTCGCTTTTTCTTAATGGTTGAGACTACATAAAGCATTTTAAATCCAAAAATCTCACCGATAGGACAAGCAAAATATGAATCCCTAATCCATGAAGATGAGTACTCACTTAATTAACTGAAAAATGATTATTATTTTTAAAAAAATATTTTTTGACCATTAATAACTTAAAAATTCTATTATCTTTCGTCGTGTAAATTTAAATTATTCATATAAAAAAAAGTTTAAAATGGTTGTATGATGACTGAGTCATATACCAATTTTTTTCTGTTTTTCCAAAAGGAAAAGGTGCCATCCATCAGCGGCCAGAAAGTTAAATCTTTTTTCACAATGACATGCAACGTTTCAGCAACACTGAGGAAGAAAATCCCACTTCAAGATTTTCTACATTTTTTGAAATTTAATGGTCCAGATTATAAATAAATAGGTAGCCAGATGCTAGCCCAGCCTATATAAGGATTGAGGACCAGTTTTTGGAGTCAAAAAGGTGTTAAATTGGGTTTAGGTAGCGCCCAATGGAGCTCTCAACACTCCAACTCTGAAAGGAGGTGATGGCGCAATGCTACAGATGCTGGCTCATGGACACCCCTGGCTGCGCAGCGTAGACCCGCACCGTAGTGGCCCGCGCAGGCTAAGGGTTTGCATGAGCTGGGAGACGTGCTCGCCTTCATCTCTTTGGCATTGGGGTGAAGGGAGCTCCTTTGCTCTTTCTAAGTTTAACTGTAACGCTCTTGTAATTATTTTCAACTTAAATTTAAGTAGATTTCCTTTTCCTCTTTTTCTTTTTTTTTTTTGCCCAAAAAACTTAACCAATGTTAAAAAATTTGTTAATTTTATATTTTCAGGATTGACATGCACGACTTACAAAGGGAAATGGCTCCAGGCAGGATTGCAAACAACTTGGGTGGAAACCCCTTTTGGGCTGTCGCTGTCTCAATTTCAAGGCTTTGGCCTTTTGAAGAAGTACAGTATCTGCAACTGATGGTAGTAATTAGTTTTGCTTGACTCTTGCGTGCAGGTGGTGGGTGGGAATTGGATTGCATGGAATCATAATTCAGATATCTTAAATTCTAGCAATTATTTCGCCACGAGAGAAGGCCCGTCCCATTCGTGCCATGAACTACTCTTAAAAGGGAAGACGTCAAAATAAATGTACTAGTTGAAGACGTGAATCTCGTACTCTTATCAATGTACTAATGTGTAAATAAGCACTTTGATCACTCCCAATAGAAATTAAACCAAGTGCCTCAATTATTTTGTATATTTTTTATAGTTCTTGACAATTGAGATTTCCCTTTTTTTCCACTTTCCCGCTAAAACCAGGGTTATAGCTTACCAAAATGCTACAATTTTAGTTGACAAAATGGGACTGTTGAATTTATCCATGCCTAATACTACTAGTTTTTGGGTTTAATTAACCATTGATCCACATTTCCTAGAGATTCCTTTTTAATTAAGGTAGCTAGCATGTGCCTTCCATTAGCCATCGTTCTTTTCCCAAAACTACCCATATTTTTTTATCCTTTAAATTTGTCAGAGATTAAATCCCACGCCCGCGCATCTCTCTTTTCCCTCGTTCCACGAGACACGAAATCTAGCCTGGTAGATTTCCTTCGCTATCCCCATTAATGCCTTTATTTTTAACTAATAATTTTCCTCAATCACAACTTTTGCTTCTCTTATCTACTAGGGTTTTGTTGTTGCTTCCGGCCCTTCTCGCTTCTCTATATAAACCTCCTAACGAGTTACGACCGCCGACCTCCATCTTCTCTTCTCGACTCGCCTTTGGCTTTTTGCTGAGACGTCTTTGTTGGTGGGTTGTAGTGAGTCATCAAGTAAGGATCACTATCATTAATGTTTAGATTAATGTTACCAGACCCTAGGGCTGGCAATTAACAGGGGGTGCCAACTTCCATAAAGACCCATTAAACTTTTCTTCAGGTCTTTAATTGTTTTGACTGACCTTTTCTTGGAAGTTTTTGTTTGTGTGTGTGTGTGTGCTCGAAAGGAGCTCCCTTCGGTCCAAAACGAGGACGGCAGAGGGTGTACCCGCCTGCTGATTCATGGATGCCTCTAGGGTGTGCACGTTAACAACGCTGGACGCGCAGCTTAAGGGTTTGCATGACTCAGGAGACGTGCTTGCCTTCTCATTTCTTTGCTTGGATTGAAGGGAGCTCCATCATTTTGCTCCTCTTACCATCCATATAATATTTATTTCACTTTGTTGTATAGTTTTAACATGTTCCTACACTTTGAAATCTGGGTTAGTTACCCATTTACCGTTTCAAAATAATAAAAATAAAAATAAAAAAACAAAAGAAACATGATAGATACGTACTCTGTTCTTGCAACGCATGAAAATTGCACTTTCATTCACTTGTTTTGAGCTATTTTACTTAACCCTGCAGCTAGCCCATGTATCTAACTTGTTTCTTGCATATTTTGGCTATGCTTTTCAACTTTTAATGGATGCAGGATCTCGAGAGTCGAGCGAACACATAACTACGATACCTTAGATTCATAAGGTGATCTATCTTCGACGCATGCCAACTAATCAGCTAGCCCTCCCTGCGCAATTAAAGCTCAAGAAATGTTTGATGATTATGTTATGTATTGTATTTGTATCTAGAGAAGCTGCTAGCATTCTATATGATAAATTTGCCTCATTATACGCTCAAGAGTGAAGACTACAAACCCAAGTTTCTCTTACTAGCAACTACTAATTATTGTTACCAAAAATTCATCTAATTGGGAAATGACTGAATTCGAATAGTCTCTATAAGAGTTGTCCACCACTAGTTTAAGTTAATATTAGCCTTTCCTTTTGTATGGTCGAGTTGAGTTTCATCGTAAGGACTTTCTTTCCTTTTGTTAAAGGGATTTTCAATCAATCACAATTTCTTGTTTATGACTCGATTTTTCTATATCAATTCAGTCAATTTCCGTTTTCGCTTCTCCATTACTTGTTTGTTGAACGAGGATTTAGGGTGCCAATTCGTCAACCCATGAAGTATGACGATTGACGATTGTGTTGACTGTTGAGTGTCAATTGTAACTAAATTCAAAAATAGAAATAATTTTCTTCAAAAATTATAGTAAGACTTGGGCATCGGGGAGGGTGGCGTCGTTTGGATTTGCTCTATTATTTAGTCAATTAGCCACTTGGGTGGATTGGTTGAACTTGAACCTTCAATTTGGCGGCCAAACCCCGCAAAGAGAAAATTAAATATTATTTGCTTAAAATACTATATAAAATATATATATATGCCTCTTGCTGCGTGTTCATGGGGATCGTGACATTTTTAATGGTCAACATCGATTCACGAGCACAAGGGCAACTCTAGCTTTAATTTTATCTTTTATCATTGTCTATCAAAAGCACTCACTAAAGCATATAGATGTATGGAAAAGAAATGGAATGCCTTAACTTTCAAAAATCTCATACCCCACGTTTTTTAATCATTATATAGTAACAATATTAGGTAAAATACTTTCACATTTTAAATTTTAATTAAAATTTTAAATAAATTTATTAATTTTTAAATAAATATTTTATTTTTAAAATATATTTTTTAATAAATATATAAATTCAATCGTTAAACAATCTTTAATATTTTTATCAGTTTCATGATAATATTAAAAAAATAATTTTATTTTTTATTAATTTTAAAAATTATTATTATATAATTTTATTAAATTAAAAAAAAACTCTTGATCTGTAACCTCAATCGGGACTCTCAAGGGAAGCCTTGAGTGGTCGACCAATGCAAGGGATGTTGTCAGTCGATTTGAAAAAAAAAAAAAGTATTTTAAATATTTTAAATTTAATATTAATGTTATTTAAATATTGATAACAAAATATTTATTTTAAAAATAATTAAAATTTTATATAATTATGATCAAAATTTTAAAAAATAAAAGTATTTTATCCTAAAAATATTTCATATGGAAGGTCTAGCACGTTTGGCAAAACTCAACTTATTTGAAAAAAAAAAAAGGAAAATGAATGGATCAGCAGCCACGTATATTTACAAAGCAAAGAAAAAGAAGAGGAATGCAGCCAAAAGGGCAGTAGTTGAAGTTGAACAGCATCAATTGGCCCAGTCAGTCAGTCTAGGTCTGCTTTTACAATTCAACTTTGCGCGTACAAAATTTTAACAGTAGGCCATTGTCATGTGGTATCAAATAAAATTGTCAACTAATCAAACTCTGAGAAGTTTCTAAGATTGACAATGTGACCATTTTCGAGAATATTTCTTCCTTCAATCCAATCAAGCATCTTTTCATCTTTTATATTTTCAATTCAGCATCATGTTCTAATTAAATTATGCCAATGCAATATTCATTTTCAAGATGCAAGTGGCTTCACTAAAATTTAAACTAAGAAAACTTCCGATCCAAAAGCATATTGTGATACGCTATTCTGGAATTTTTTCTCTAACTTTTTATTCAATAATATTCTATACTATTAGACCTATTCTCGTACTATAAATAGATTTAATTAAGGGTAATGTTAACTACTAAAATATTTAATTGGGAAAAATAGAACTCTATTAGTTTATCTAAACTTACATTGGTTTCAACCCGAACTTGTTTTGTTTTTCTTTTCGTAAAAAAAAAAAAAAAGAAAATTGCCGTTGGCAAACTAATCATGTTATTAACAAAAGAAAAGATTAAAAAAAAAATGTTGAAAGCCCACCGCGAATGACCGACCAATTCCGCCAATCTCAAATTCATTTAAAAAAAAAACACAACAACTTCCTTAATTAAGAACAGAAACTGACGCAACAAACCAAAAGAGGAAAATATATTGAAATACATAGTAAGCACGCTGCAAAGCACACACCTACGCGAAAAAAGATCGAAACAAAAATACTACGGAAATGCGTGCAAAGGTTTTCTTCAGTTATTGTGTTGCCAATTAGAAGTTTGGCGGTTACCACCCGCAGCACCTAAATCCCTCTCCTCCCTCGTTTTAGGTAACGACAGCGCATCACTCTAGGGTTTCCTTCAGCGACTTCTTTCGTTGTCTCATCTGCTTTTTCAAGATAAAAAGAGGGAAAAGGGCAAAATCAAAAAAAAAAAAAAAAAGAGGGAGAGAAGTTGAGGATTTTGGTGGGGATTGGAATGAGATATCAATCGAATTCTGATCTATTTGACCCGAGAACGGAGATGGACTCCGATTATACGCGTGGGGCCTCTGGCTCAGATGGTGATTTTGGTTTCGCTTTCAACGATAGTAATTTCTCTGACCGACTTCTTCGGATCGAGATTATGGGTGGGCCCCCCGAGTGCCGCCCTGATGGAGAGGGTTGCACCAGTATCGCCGATTGGGCTCGCCACCGCAAAAGGCGCCGGGAGGATATTAAGAAGGAAAACGGTTTGTTCCTCTCTTTTCTTTCTTCTTTTGAAAAGTTTCTCATTGCTAATAAGGCTCTATTTCTTTTGGGCAAGTTTTGGGGTAAGTTAAAATTTTTGAAAATTTTGAGCCAATAATTTTTATCAAGAAATTTATTTATTTGAAAATTTTGTTAATAAAAAGGGGGTTGTCCTGAAGTTAGCTTTTCTTGCGATGGACCTCAAATTAGTTGTTTGCTCCTTGCACAAGTACATGTTGTTGGGACAGATTTCAAAGAGTTAAGATTTACTCATTTCAACATTATAAACTTGTTCATAATCTTCTGTGGCTGTCTCAGTTGTTTTGTTATTCCTGATTTACAGTGTTCTTGGCATGCGGATGCTTATTCTTTGCAACTCTATGCGTCTTGTTTATGAACGCAGTTTGTTTTGTAATGTCGGCTGTTCTTTTAACGGTTTCGTTTTTCATTTTGTTTTTTCAGTTTTGGATCTTAGTTTATGTCCTGATGAGCAGATTTTAAACGGCAACCAGCCTGATATGGACGATGGTGTGGGCTGTGAGAATCTAGATGAGGACGCAGTGGCAATGGTTGAAGAAACACAATCAGGTTTTGATGTTGTTTAGACAACAGACTATTTGGTTCATTTGCGGCTTATATTTATTTTTATGCTTTATTTGAATAACGTTTACAAAGGTCATGCAATTGTTTGTGTTTTTTAGTGAATGACAATTAAGCAAAAGACAAAACTGAAAGACGCGTATGGATATGTAGAATTTATCTGACTAAAGAAGTAGGGAATTTCCCTATTTTGAAATAGTATGATTAACAGAGGATTTTAGCTGTGCACTTTAAATTCTCAGTCCTTGTGCCATGACTGTGTATCACTCGTACAAAGTTTGATCCTGCTTAGAACTTTTGTAGGCGATGAGGATGCAAATAGCAATGAATCAAGCTGGAGCATGGATTTTTCTACAGTCCTGAGAGTTAAAACATTGCATATCAGCTCTCCCATTTTAGCAGCAAAGAGTCCATTCTTCTACAAGGTAAGAGATCATTTTTCTTCATAAAAAATTTGTTCAGAAGAAAATAGGAGGAGGGATGTTTCTAGAATGCAAATATTCCTTGCCAGAACATTTGTCACGCTTTCCCTTTGTTGGTATTTACTTATTTGTTTATTGACTATTTGTAGCTCTTCTCGAATGGGATGAGGGAGTCAGAACAGAGACATGTAACCTTAAGAATCAATGCCTCTGGTATGCATAAACTTCAATATATTTTTCTTGGTTATGTTACTTATTCTAAGAGCAGGCAAAGTTAAATAACAATTCTAACATTACGTTATATACAGAGGAAGCTGCCCTCATGGAACTTTTGAATTTTATATATAGCAACACCTTATCTGTCACCACTGCTCCAGCCTTGCTTGATGTGCTGATGGCTGCTGACAAATTTGAGGTTGCCTCTTGCATGAGATATTGCAGCCAGCTATTGCGGAATTTGCCTATGACACCAGAGTCAGCTCTGCTTTATTTGGATCTTCCCTCGAGTGTATTAATGGGTGAAGCTGTCCAACCATTGACTGATGCTGCAAAGCAGTATCTTGCTGCCCGGTACAAGGACATGACAAAGTAAGCTCCCATTCTGCATTCTTCATGTTGTTTGACATAATATTGAAAGTTTTATTAGCCTTGCAATGTGGTTACGTACCTTATCTAGCAGCTACTGCCTGTAAAACAGATTGTAGATGTTTGATAAGTTCCAGTCTTCGTCTTTACCTAGTCCTATCTGTAGTCTTTTGAGCTCCTCTTATCATTATATTTTGAAAATATTCATTTTGAACGTGGAGAATAAGCTTCAATGCTCTTTTCAAAAAGAAAAAGAGAAAAGGTTAAATGCTATAATCTTGGGAAGACTATGCATATTGAGAGGCTTATATATACTTTTGGGGCATATTTTACCAGGTTCCAAGAAGAGGTCATGGCTCTGCCGCTAGCTGGGATTGAGGCAATATTGTCCAGTGATGATCTGCAAATTGCATCTGAAGATGCTGTGTATGACTTTGTGTTGAAGTGGGCCAGGGCTCAGTACCCAAAACTGGAAGAGCGAAGGGAAGTACTTGGTTCGCGCCTTGCACGCTTTATTCGCTTCCCCTATATGACTTGCCGGAAGCTTAAGAAGGTGTTGACATGTAATGATTTTGATCATGATGTTGCATCAAAGCTTGTGCTTGAGGCCCTTTTCTTCAAGGCTGAAGCCCCACACCGACAACGAAGCTTGGCTGTAGAGGAGTCTGCCACCTTGAACCGTCGCTTTATTGAGCGAGCGTACAAGTATCGACCTGTTAAAGTGGTGGAATTTGAACTTCCCCGTCAGCAATGTGTTGTGTACCTGGACTTGAAGAAGGAGGAGTGTGCAAATTTATTTCCATCTGGACGGGTTTATTCTCAGGCATTCCACCTGGGTGGACAAGGGTTCTTCCTGTCAGCCCATTGCAACATGGACCAGCAGAGCTCTTTCCATTGCTTCGGATTATTTTTAGGAATGCAGGAAAAGGGTTCCGTTAGTTTTGCTGTGGACTATGAATTTGCGGCTAGATCAAAGCCAACGGAGGAGTTTGTTAGCAAATACAAAGGCAATTACACATTCACTGGGGGCAAGGCAGTTGGGTACAGGAACTTATTTGCCATACCTTGGACTTCTTTCATGGCGGAAGACAGTCTTTACTTTATAAACGGTATTCTCCATCTTAGGGCTGAGTTAACCATCAGGCAATAAGCAACCCCTGTTGATGGGGTTTCAGTCCATTTACATTTTAGCTTCACTAACTCCTTTTGTTGTTGTTGCTGTTGTTCTTTCGCTTGACCTGAGCAAAACTCAAGATGTACTAAGTAGATCTGTGGGCTAGACTTTTTGATTTGGAGGCTGAAGTATAATTGAAAAATGACCCTTCTGTCTTGCACCAAAATCGTGCTCCGAAAATGAGCCACAGGAAAATTGTAAATGTATATCAACTTTTTGAAGGGTTGAGTTGATGTCATGGATGGTTCCACTCTAGAATGATTCTAGTCAAGTGTCCGCCTGTTGGGTTATTATTTATATATAATCACATGAAGATAGTAGTATTTATAAAATGGGATTGCATTTTTGTCATCTTTTGGTTATAATTGTCTTTGTAAGGTCCTAAATACTGGGGCTAAAGTTTTGTTAGATGAACCTGGTCAAGCAATATAATAACCATCAAATGCATGAATTCTGATAATAATTCCACTTGATAATATAATATAATATTGACATTAAAGTCCTGGTCTACCCTTTACCTTTCATTCGAGCAAAACTCCAAATTGTTGTCACGTGTTTTACAAAATTACATTCTTGTCCTAAAAAGTAAGTTGAGCAGACAATAAATATAAATATTAAAGTTATTAACCCTTTCTTACATCTTTATCCAAGAGAGAATTTATGGTAACATTAACTAACAAGAATAAAATTTACCCCAATATCTTGCTGAATAAATAATAAATTTTATGTTCATAAAAAGTATAATAATTATAGAAAAAGCTCACACCTTATGAATCGGTTCTATACGAAGCTGATTACTTGTTTGGTTTGACAAAGATCATTGAACCGGAAGGATATCAGACCGGTTAAGAATTTATTGATTCGTTCTATTAAACTCTTATTAAAATTAATCAATTTGTTTAATTATTTATTATTTTAAAAAAAATTGTCTACAGTGAAATTTAAATTTTTACCTTATAGAGTGATAAAATTTTTTATCTAATTATAAGATGTCACATGTTTAAATTAGTAAATTGAAAATTTTTTTGAAAACGAATAATATACTACCATGTGAATTATAAGACATCATTTAAGATAATTTTATATTTTATTCTAAAAAATTAATTTATGAGCTAATTAGCTTAAAGACACGTAATTGGATTAATTAAAGTTGACTCATGAGTCATGTATTTAGAGATAATATTTAAATTGGATCAATTAAGATTTATTGATTAGTCAATTTATTTATAAATAAATTAAAATAATTTAGAGATGATATTTACATTTGGTGGAATAATTGTAATCTAAGTTGACTAAGGGAAGTAGAAGAGTACCTTTGAATAAAAAGATTTAAAATATCTTCTCCTTCTAAATTGTGTGTATGTACCCTTTTTTTTTACATTTAATTAATGTTTTTAACCGTTTAGTAAATGTTTTTTTTTGTTATTTTGTGTTATTTATTTTCAAATCCTATTTGTAAGGGTAATTTAGTGACTCAATCCAACAGACCGGTTGGACCTGTTAGAGCAAAAACCGGATACCCAGCCGGTTCGAGGACCGGTCTGTTATTAAGACCTTGCCGTAACCCCAACGCAACCTTTAAGCCGAATACGAGAAACTTATAAATAGGGTAAGATAAGAGAGAAAACAAAAGGCACAACCCAAATTTTATTTTCGAGAAGTTCATCAAATTAAGAACGTGAGTTAGGGTTTCTTTCTGAGCAGAGGGAGCAAGCGAATCGATTCGTCTGAAAGATGCCGAAGAACAAGGGAAAGGGAGGAAAGAACCGAAAGAGGGGAAAGAACGAGGCGGACGACGAGAAACGAGAGCTAATCTTCAAAGAAGACGGCCAAGAATACGCTCAAGTCCTCCGCATGTTAGGCAACGGCCGATGCGAAGCCATGTGCATCGACGGGACCAAGCGGCTCTGCCACATCCGCGGCAAGATGCACAAGAAGGTCTGGATCGCCGCCGGTGACATCATCCTCGTCGGACTCAGGGATTATCAAGATGACAAGGCTGACGTAATCTTGAAGTACATGCCCGATGAGGCTAGGCTTTTGAAGGCTTACGGAGAGCTCCCGGAGAACACGAGGTTGAATGAAGGGATTGCTGGTGGGATTGACGAGGAAGACGATGGCGGCGCCGATGATTATATTGAATTTGAGGATGAGGATATTGATAAGATCTGAGTTTCAGAGGGTTATTTTTGGTATTCTAAAGTTTGTCTTTTTAAAAAGAAAAAGAAAAAACCTTTACTTATGTTTCGGTGAATGGCGTTGTTTGTTGGTATTTAATATTTGGGATGTTTATCTTTAATTGAGAATTATGGATGGTAAGTTTATGCAACTTACCTTTTTAAGTATGGAATTGGTATTACTTTCTCTTAAAATTTGACATGGTTGCTGATGTGTTATCTTAATTCTTATATCGGAATTGGGTGTATGTGGATTTATGAGTTATGGTGGATGATGAAATCTTTTCTGGTTTTGTGCTCTCATGTTATCCTCTTCTTTTAGGAATTAGTTGATAATTATGATGCTTGTGACGCTGTGGGCTTAAGTTGTTTATGTTTTTCAACTGGGGGTTTGAATTCGATTGCAAGAGGGGAGGGAAGGGAATTGAAGGAGTATTATGATTCTTGATTCTTAGTACTAAGCATGTTTTGAGGGTAGAGGTTCTAGGAATTCCTGGTTTAGGTGTTCAGCTTGATGCTCCAGGGTTTCACCTGAGTTTGATTTCTTTTTAAACATATATTTTGTGAGGTACTGGTAGGTGTAAGCACCATTCCAATCTTCAACAACCAAGCCTTGACTCATGTTTTTATTGTTATTTTGTTGCCTTTTCCAGGAAAAAGAAATGCTATCTTTGACCTTTCTGGTGTGCAAAATTTTTGGAATTGTTTCTCCCAGCACCTAAGAATGGCTTTCCATGATTGTGTTAAATTGATAATCTTATGAGAATGTTGATTTCTGTTGCCATCCTTGATATGGCCGCAGAGAGAACCATTAGTGCTAGCTGGAAGGCTTTAATGAGCAATCTTTCACCATAACCAAATTGATGGTTAGCATTTTCAAGTGTTGCAGTATCAAGTATGAATTTGCGTCCTGAATCTGTTGGCAGCGGGTTAGCTTTAATTAACTATGAATGTTGTTATTCTGAAAGTAGGAGTAATGAACTTCTTTGACTGACTGTTTGGTGAATGAATTAGCCTACCCCTTTCTCAGTGAGTGCAATATCCGTCGCCATTGCTTGTGTTCTTTGATTTGATTGGAATCTGTGTTCATGAATTTCATCATGCATAGCAGTGAAGTTGCCTTTGCTTGGCATATCTTCTTATCTTGGCATCCTCTGCTCTCTTTTCATTGAGCAAAGTTATACCTCTACATCAGAGTCGGAGCACTTGTCACTATTATGTTCATACTCGCATGTTTCACTTAGGATGACATTCAAGCTGTTGTAGACCACCTCGTAGGTACAGGAAAGAGTTAAATTAAACTATACTTGCATCTTCCTTACAGACGGTGTTCTACATAAGTTTAGCCAACCGATATGATTATTTAGAATTATCAAGAAGCTTTTGCAGACTCAACAGCTATGGTTTGTTGCTTTTTCTGCAAGATGATAAAAGGGTGAGAGCCATAAAACCTTTTTGGACTTAGTTCCTTGCACCATTGGACGTTAGATTCCTCTCTCCTATCTCGCCTACGAAAGTAAAATCGAATTTGGAAACATCAATAAGAGACGCCAGACACCATGTTAGGTTACAAGTGTTTCCAATGCGATGTGAATAAGCGTGAATTCTAGATTCTCTACTGTGGAAAAGAGCCGAGAGTGGTAATACAGTTTGTGATATTTTCTGTGCGGCTCAAATCCCAATCTAACGCATTTTGCTAAGGGAATATGTTGCGACTTAAATTGGCCAAGAGGGCATTGGCAAGGGAGATATATCAGATTCGATGTACATTTGAATGGCTGAAACGGGCTGCTTTCTTCACATCAAGATTGCATATATATATATGGAAATTGTACCCATACACATAGAATTGACAAGCATTATTCATCGAACAGAGCAAATAAAAAAGGTGACGAGAATTCATACAAGGCAATCCTACAATTACAGGGTAGAGATGTCTCTTTTACAGGGTACAAAGGTACCAAAAAGAAAATGATCGGAAATAAATAAGCACTCCCATTTTGTGCATCTATTCCATTCCGGAAATTTTCTTCTTCAGGGCCTCAATATCCGTAGCTAGTTCTTTCCTGCTTGACTGAGGAAAGGAATAAGCATATTGTTAGCACATGGTTTTCGTTGTGTGTATATAATCTGAAAATCAGTAAGATTTTAATTGTAAATTAAGCTATTCTTCTAGTTAAATACCATCTCAAAGATGAGCCAATTTTCAGATTTCAAAGCGCAGATGTGTAACTCTCAAAAGTTGGTTCAAATTCATCAATTACATCACTCTCTCTTCATGCATTTATAAATCTCACATGGTGTTCTGTGATTTCTTTCTGAGAATATGCAAAACACCCTGTAATTGTTTGAATGATGAGGAATGCAGAATGGCTTATGCAGCAAGATTCACGAAAGACTAACCAAGCAATCACTAGGTTATAATAAAGGTAATGAGCATGCAACCATGTACCTTGAACAGAAGGTATCTGTAGACAAACCATCCTGTGTATCCAAGTCCAACCAACTCCATTATCTTTGGAAGCTGGTAACCACAAAAAAAATCGTTTCAGATTGGATCAGTGACTAGAGAAGACACATTGTAGCAAATTCATGGCCGATTATTAATCAGGAAAAGCTAATCTAGTTCTAGGAATTAGCCCCTTGTTTAGAAGAAAAGGTGAAGCGTTAAGAAATCACTTACCAAAGGAACAGAGTTAATGGCACCAACAAGAATAGCTGATAACCAAACTGCAACAATTGCCCCACCACCATAAAGAAGTACTGTGGACTTGTTCTCAATTTTGTCCCACTAGTAAACATGAGGAAAAGGCCAAAGTTCAGCCATAAACTGAAGGAAAACATACTAAGCAGCAAAAAGAGCAGGAAATTGATTATTTAGATGATATAATTACTGAAGTCTGAAGCTGTTACTGCTACTTTATTAAGGCCATGTTTCTTACCTTTTCCTTCAAGTCAGTGATAAGCTCCCCAGCATCAACAGAGGTTGTCTCCTCTGAGGCTTTTGTTTGGAGCAGAGAAAACCTCCGGGATTCTGTTTGTGAAAAACCAAAAGAAAATAGGGATTAAATAATAAGCTAAGGAATACATCCCAGAGACTTTTGAGAAATGTATATGATCACAGCAAATGAATAAATGAGGCCTCTGTTTATGAGAAAATATTGAAGACAGAGACAACCACATCAAAGCATTTTCTTGGGCTTATTAACTTGATGAATTAGGAAGGAAGAGCAGGATTATCACTTACTAACAGTTTTTCTCCCTATAAACAATTTCTTAATATGTATTTTACATGGGAATTTCCCAAATTTTGCAGTAGATCAATAGCAAAAACAACTCTTTGAGACTTGGTACTCACATTCTATTCCAACCTTTGATTCTATTTCATACATTGGAAACTTAACTCCAATTGCCGGGCCACAAGATGTGAAAGGATAATTGAGTTTGGCCTCAACCACTTCATCTCCATTTCAAATTGGGATCCCATTTTCCCTCGATTACCGTGAGTTTAAAGTACAAACAGTTGAGTTTTCAACTTTACCATTCAAAAATTGCCCCTTCATCAGACAAGCCCCCAGTCCCACCATTTCTCTTCCGAATTACTTCCCAACTACTGCTACAACACTGCTGATTATCGGTATTAATCACCCATCAAAGATTTCTTTTAACAAACTCATATTCATCGCCAAAAAGAAGGATCTTCAGTTCCAGAAATGGTGATAGCAGCACAGAACCTAAAGTCAACCCATAACTTATTGACCTTTAAGCTTTCATTTTCTTTCAATAAAATCAAACAAAACAAAATAACAATGTGTTGGAAAGCATGTACATTTTGCAAGTGAAGCGAGTATTACCAAAGGGAATGTAAACAACAGTACCTGGAATTAGCTTGACAGAAGATGAGAAGGAAGCGGTGGAAACGCGTGAAGGGAGGAGCGGCAAGGCATAGCAGCGAGTGGTTCCAACGGCGGTGGGGACACGTGGAATCAAAACAGCGGTGGCCGCCATGGAGGATGATGCTGCTGCCGCCATTTCTAAATTTGTTTTAGCTGCTTCAGATATGTGGCCGCTCGAACTCTACAAATCCTATCCTTTTTGCTTGCTGCCTTTTTCAGAGTTCCTATTGCTCTTCAAGATTTCCTCTTTTTCACTCCTTTTTTTTTCTTTATTTTAGCTTTGAATTTTACCAAAAAATTTCTGCCGCTGTCATTGGTGAGATTTTAGTGCTCCGTTTGGAAAAGTGATGCTCTTGATCGACACGTGGATAAGGTTAGGATTCTGATTGGCTGACTCCCTATCTGCAATCCACGTTTGAGGGGTCTCTCCTCTATCTCTTCACACATTTGTTGTTTGGACAAAACAAGATCAACACTTGGACCAAACTCAACTTCCCCTGTTCTTCGCGCTGTCTTGTTTCGTCATTTCGCATTTTCCTTGGCCTAAAGTTCCTGCTCGATTTTCATCGTTTTTATTTTCTTTTGATTAAATTAAACGTCTAAAGTTTAATAATTGAGTGATGACTTGATTAATTAACAATGCCCCGCACGCCAATGATTTCTTTATGCTTTATAAACATTGACAATTGAGATCACTCATCCTTTCATTTCTCTAATAAACCTACTAAAATTCTATTATTTAATAAACAATATTACATATGCATTTCACATGCATTATTATATAAAAAAGATTAATGAATTTCATGTTGGGAATTAAGAGACATAAATTCAATTTAATATCATAATATTTATAAACAAAAAATAAAAACATTTAAATCATTTCATTTGCTATAGAATATGTTTTTTTTAAAAAAATTACCTATTCTTTTGGCATAACGGGTGTGGCATACTTTAATAATTATTTTTATGTGAATGTGATTATTATTCTTAAGTTTTGAGTTTAATCATGCTTCAAGAATGAAAACTGAAAACTAAATCCTCCTCAATAAATTTCTGTTAATCCAAATTAATTTAGAAGGGAAAAGACAGTGAATGTCCTCTTACTAGTACTGATAATTGGGCCCATGTTGGGTCCATTAAACCTACAAGATGACAAAGTATCCAATTCTTGGGCCTTGGGATATTGTCCATTTGGGCTCTGTCTCAGGTTCTGGGCTTTACGAAGACCCAATATGGTTTAGAAATAAAGAAGAAAAATCCTTTTTGTAGTTGAGACATGACCATATAATTCTTTTAACAAAGATATGCTCTCTAAACAATTTCAAATTCCAAATTCGTTAAATTATTAATTAATTCTACGATAATTACGAATACGAAATAAATATGTCATCATATGTTTGGAAAAGCACTTTTTGTTTTAATTTTACATTAAAAATTCTAATGTTTATGATATAAGAAAAAAGATGTTGTATTAATCAATTAGGATTAGGCTACATAAAATCCAAATGCAATGCCGGTGCACCGCCTTGCTAAGCCATTTGACTTGCGCCGGACAATCGTCCAAAGATTCTACTTATCATTTTGGAGATTGACCCAGTTTTTCCAATTATTCTTCTTCTTATTATTCTACGAAATAAGCCTTCATTCATTCCACATGTCATGCAAAATGGCAGCCGCCCACCCCCAATAAGCCAAAAATTTGCGCTCATCCTAAGCCTTTGGTCTAAGAAATAGGGCATACTATATATCAATGATTGTGCAACCCCAATCATTAGTGGACTAGGTTCTTTTTCAATGAAATTGAAACAAATTATATAGAATTAATAATAATAATAATAATAATAATAATATATAGCTTCACATCTTTGAGATATCATAGGACTATTTTTTTTTTCTCTTTTAATGAAATTGAAATAAATAAGATAGAATTAATAATAGCTTCGCATCTTTGACTTATCAATTATAACTTGTGAGAAATCGGTTAGCTAGTCAATTAGACATGTAGACATAATTTGACCGTCTAATTCACCCACATAGGTTAGTTCATAAGGAGAGGAGCAACGTTTCCTTATTTTAAAAGTAAAATCCTGAATGCATTAAGTCGATATCAAAAAATACGCTTTAAAGACATCCAATGAAAAAATTAAATTGATACAAAACTTAAAAGATATATTTAATCGTATTATAAAAAAATTTTAATCACAAAAATATATCATAATATCAAAATAGAATGTTATTTTTATCGTTATCTATGTGATAAACTTATTATCTTTATACATAAAATTGATATTGCGTGATAAATACAATATATATGAAAAAATATTAAAATGATTGTAAAAAATATATATGTTATTTAAATTTTTTTAAAAAAATTGAAAACATAAGTATATTTCACCTGTTAAGTCCACCTTTATACACCAATAAAGAAAGCTGATTCATACGTTGAACGGAATAACACCCAGAAAGAATATGCAAACAAAATTAAAGCGTAGGTACCAGAAAGGAAAAGAGGGCGAGCTTCCAAGTCCACTTGCCTCAAAATAACCAAACCTAAATTAGGAGGTGTGTACACCCTCCCTCCTCTCCTGTGGGACTAATCTCCCCCTCCATGGTCTCGTTGGCACCGCTGTCACAACCAATTCTCTCTCCAACTAACCCACCTGACTAGGAATCAAAGAGAAAGACTAGAAACAAAAATGATTAGAAATTAGATTTCCATTTTTGCCTTCATGAGAATTCAAATGGAAATATTTTAATGATATGTTGGAAACCTTTCTTTTTTGGGTGCCAGTTTAGCATGGCTTTTCCATGTTTCATAGATATACAATACAACAGCTAGACATTCCATTCCCATTCCCATTGCAGCAGTTTGATCTCTCTTTCCCTTTGCCCCTTTCCACTCTCCAGCTCATCCCGGTTTGCCCTGTCTATAAAGTTTGAAGATTTCAGAGTCGTGATCTTCTTTTCAAAGCTCTCATTTCTTTTGTCTGTTTCTTGCATTTCTCGAGTTTGGTCTTTTTCTTTTTTCTTTTTGCGTTGCATTGTTTGATGCAAAAGCTTTGATTAGGGTAGGAAACCGGTTTCGAATTGTAGCGTAAACAAAGCGTTCTTGATGGGGTAATGTTATTGATGGGGTCTGATAGAAGTTGGCTCATCATCTTCATGGTTTTCTCTTCGTTATTATCGTTGATTTCTGGTGGCTCGGATAGCCATGATCCAGAGGCTTTAGACGCTTTGTTTCATTATTACGCAAATCAAACATTGGCGAAGCACCGCACAGGTACTTTATACAAAATTCCCCTTCCTTCTAATTTCTCAGGCATGGAAGTTTCCGTCATTAGACTACGCAGCGGGAGTTTATGGGCCAGAGGAAGCAATTCCAGCTTTATCAAGATCCCACCTAGGGTTAGAGCATTCCCTCACGTGAAAAGATTAGCTATAGTTTATGAGAACCTGGGAGAATGGTCTTCAAAATACTATCAGATTCCTGGTTATACATTAGTCTCACCGGTGGTCGGCTTCAACGTTTATGATTTTTCAAATGCAACTACATTAAGCGATCGAAAGGTCACATTGAGCACCACGAGTGATCCCATTTCAATTCATTTTCCTTACATCGAGGCAGAAGATAAAAATGTGACGGAACTTAAATGTGTCAAATTTGGAGCTGGTGGGTCAGTTGAGTTTAAGAACATGACAGCAAGGAATGTTTGTGTCACGGGAAAAGCAGGGCACTTTTCTGTTGTGATACCGTCAATGCCAGAGAAGAAAGTAAGAATCTGGAAATGGTGGGTGATAGGCTTTGTGTCTGCAACTGTTGGGCTGGTCTTGTTGATTTCGGTAGCAGCAATCATTTTCATATTACTGAGACGGTTGAAGATGAAAGCTATGGAGAAGGCATCTGACAATGCTGAGAATTTGGATACGTTTTGGGTTAGGGGAGATAAAATGCCTTCTGCATCAATGATAAGAACACAGCCAGTCCTTGAGCATGATTATGTTCCTTGACCCATATTCTTTACTTTTCATTTTTCATTTTTCTTGTATTTTTCCCTACATTTTGTTCTTCATCAACTCTTTCATCTTCTTATAAATGGAAATACTTTCATCATAGATTTGTAATCCTGATATCTTCTCTTCTCATTATTCTTTGGAATTGCTGGCAGCTCATTGAAGAGAAAATACATTAGTTAGTTATTTGGTTAAGTCTTTCCTCATTGTTTATGAGAATTTTGTGGAAGAATATGATTGGGAAAACCAGTGAACGTTATTTGGTTAGGTTAGCCAGTGCCCTACAAGCATTGTTCTGTATGTAGTCATTTAATTCATTCCCACTCCCAAAGAAGATCCGTAATGCTTTCTCTGCGTTAGGAATAAGTGCAAACTATGCATCACCAGCCAGCCCCACGGCCAGGTTTTGGTAGGACGGTAAGTTTGGCTTTTTGGCCTGTTAACTTTCATTTATTATAAAATGAACTATATTAATTATTCCATTTAGTCTGATCTTCTGGCTCTAGTCTTTAGTATCCTAATAATTAATACTAATCATTAGGGGAAAAGACCAGCATTTTGGAATGTTGGGTTTATTTTGTGCAGAATATTCATTGATCAAGTTCTGATTGAAACCAGAAGGACAAAAGAGAGCAACAGTGGACATTTCTTTTTGCATTGGACGGGAAAGGAGAACAACTCCTCTTGTTTAAACGATTAATCAACCATCAACTTTGGCTAATGATGTTCTAATTAATTATGCAGTCAATGTACCTTTAATATATCCAAGGGGAGAAAAAGGCTTCAAAGAAGAATGAAAGCTGCTACATTTGACAAGCAAACTCAACCTACCAGGCCTTTTATTTATTCACTTTTGTTGTTCTGGAGTAGCTCTCAACAGCTTTGGTTCATTTTCTGAAGGCATAAGAATAAAAAATTTTCCGTGATCAAGTAAACATCGATTCGCCTGCAGGGCTGCAAATGTTCCTGCCGACGCATTCCCAACCAAAAAAGTTCATCAGCAACCCCATTATATATGCTTGGTAACCTTTTCCTTTAGCATATGAAGCAGGTTTGACAAACCAGTTGTTTTGAGTGAATAAAGCAGAATTGACTTGCGATAATCCAACAAAGCGGTCAAAGTTCATTATAATTATTCTTGAACTAAAGGAATTAATATTTCAACCAATGTGTTGGAGGTCACAGAGCTTGTGAAGTGGAAAAGGAGGGTCAAATAAAGAGCCATTGAGAATGGCCAATGTAGTAATTTTGTTGGCTGCTTCAGATGCATGAATCCCATCCCAGCTTACATAGTTGTTTGGGTCTTTACAAGCCGATGCAGTCACATTGGTTCCATTGATCACCTTTGTGTTCCCACAGTAAACCTCTTGGTGGAAATTATAGGTGCCACCACCATATCCACAACAAGCTCTGGTGCCATATCGAAGACCTGTTCCAAAACCAAAACAGGGAGAAATCAGATTTTAGGGTTTCATTCAATGTGTAAGTCCCAATTTGATCGCAGCCAACATTGCATTGTGGAAATCCACTTTATTCAAAGATCAATGTGCTTGAATTTGGTCCAAGGATGTTATTACCATGGGCTGTAGGTTGCTGGAAAAGCTCTAACAGAACAGCATGAGTGTCCACATATATTAGGGAAGCATTAGGAAGATCTCGTCTAGTTTGGCTTAGTGCCTCCTTTAACATGTTATTATAATCGACCACAGCCTTGTTGTAAGAAGTCAGGCAACCAAATTTGTCCAGGTCCGAGGTGTTGTGTGGCAGTTGCACTAAAAATGCTGGATAACAGCCAACCGGTGCAAGATTTAGTACAAAAAATATACGTCCCCCTAGCCCATAGAGCTCCTGGAAATTTTAGCAGCTAGATTGAGTATGAAGTTAAAACATAGAGTCCCAGCCCAAAAAAAAATTTGGGCTTGTAAAAACCCATCTTATAGAGATTTCAGTCACTACCTTGACAGTGCCAGCAATTTGGGAAACCACCTGGGGAAGATATTGCTTCACTCCCTCAACACCAATGGCTTTTAAATTTGAAGTGAAGTCATTCTGACCAATATAAAAGGTGTAGAGTGATTTTCCAAAGATATCTGGTGAAGGCAGCTTCGTTGTCGTTGACCCTAGTTAATAATTTAACACTCATGACCTTTGCATTGCAAGAGAAAAAGGGAGTTTCATCGTTTTATTATCAGGATGGGCAATGTGGTGGTGGTGGTATACCTTTTTTATTTCCAGAATGATATTCAACAACTTTAGCCTTGAATTCCTTCATTTGATTGAGCTGAATGGCCAAAGAAAAAGGACTGATCCCAGTAACAAATAAAGAAGTGTTAGGCAAGAGCACAGTGGATGCCAATGTTGCGTAGTTCGCTCCATGCCTAAAATCAGATCCAATTGATTGCAAGTATGGGCTGATGAATGGCAATCCTAGAGCTTGAGCTGCAAATCTTGAAAAACCATATTAAAAGAGAAAGATAAAAATATGATGTTAATTTTGATGAGAATAGAATGAATGCGAACGTCTGTCGTAAAAATAGACCACAAGTTTTGCTAAAAGGACAGGTAATCCCTCTTCGCAATTGCCAAGGATCGAATCCTAAGATTCCAGTTCTTTATTACCAACGTGGACAATGAACAGATTCAACCAGCAGATTATATATGGTTGTCAAAATCTTATTTAGGCCCCGTGTAATCATCTATCACTGATGAATGATAAAGGAAGATTGTTCAAAAATGGGCCATTGCGGAAGATAAAATGTAGAATCAAGGGCCATCTCTGAGTCGCCTATTCAAGGGCGAAGTCCAGCCTGGAAGAGTATCCTGACAAAACCCACCTTCTGGACAGCGTCTTGGACACAAGTGGAAAAGTTGGTTCATTAGATGTTTTGGTGGATTGCCAGTTAAAATTGATGCTGTTCTTCGATAAATTAATTGACATGCCCCTTACTACTTTCCAGCTCGACTTCTTGTCTTGAGTTGGGAACTTGCCTGATGAAACCTAAACTCTAGTCAATGTAGCATAAGGAAATGTCAAACGAGTAAGACCTAGGAGTAAGAATAAATTGTGTTCGTTACACTAATCTCCTCTAAATAATTGAGGCAAAGCGTGTCTAGCATTCGACGACAGGCAGAAAGATGAAGCTGCATATAAATTTTTATGGAAGAAGAGCGATGCAGTGAATGGCCTATAGGAAGTAGGCTACTTGACAACTTATCTCCAGTTGAGAGAAAAGAAAAGCTCTACACAAACACATCTGATTCCCTGAATCTTCAGTGTCTCAAGCTACTCGACATTAATAAGAAGATGCTTTAAAGTATCAAAATTTAGTAAAGATGCTGCTGACATTAATGCTCCTTGGAGGCAAGCTGACACTTTTCACACCAAGGAAAGAAGAAGAAATAAAGGCTCTGTCTGTAAGTACAATAAATAAAAGCTTCAATGGGAAAGTTATCAGAGTTTTACCCAAGAAATCAACTATAAGTCTTCCATCAGTAGCACGACCAGCTGGTCTCTTGAAGTAGGTCATGCCGAAAGGTCCTGACTCTGCCGGAAATGCTGCCCAAAACCCGCCGGTATCAGAATTTGAGTCACCAAAATTGAAGATTGCTTTAAATTCACATTTGGAACCACTTGAACAACGTGACAGCATTGAGATCGTCACCAACAAAACCACTACAACCTGCCTGAAATCAACAATGATTTCGGACGAAGAGAGACTCATCTTTGTTATTGAACTGGTTTCTTGTTGGTTTGCTTAGAGGTGTACAGAGAAGAGTACTCAATTGTTGCTGGCTAAGCCTGACATTATATAGAAAAGTGAAAGTGGAAATGACTACAAAAGGATTAACCACATGGCTAATGCTCGCATACGAAACTCTGAATCAATTACTGTGCGTGGACCCGAGATTGACACGCGCAACACAGTATGAAAATAACAGAGCAAAGTGAGGGAAAGTAGTAATTATCAGAAACAAAAGGCCAAGTCTAAAGAAATCAAACGTGCAAAAGTAGAATACCAAAACCAGTGATACATGTTTGAAAAAGAAAACTGTCATCAGTAGATCGAAGACAGGTACTTTTGAGTTATCGGAGGTTTAGAGTTTAATGTAAATCACATTTACCTTTTTTTCTATATATACTTTATCTTTTTATGTCTTTTATATATATATATATATATATATATGTGTGTGTGTGTGTGTGTGTGTGTAGTATTGGCATTATCTCTTATAATTATTGTATCACAATTAATCAATTACAATCATAAATTGTGTAAAATCAATTAAAATATTTTATAAAATTCATACTTACTAGTATACCTACACTGCACTTATAATTCACACTGCAAGAGGCAAAAAATATCCTTCATTTTATGAAGCTTTTGCCAGGATTCTTAATTTTGATGGAGGCAAAGAGACACTCTCAGGCCCATGCCATTAAAAAAACATAAATTCGAGCCTAATTGGAGAGCATCAACTGTCCGGAAAGGATGCTAAAACTTGGCCTGGTTGTCAAAGCCGAAAGGTTTTTCCAGTAACAGGCTTGCCCGCTCGTATGTTTTTGGTCCAATGAGCCACGGACCATAGGTTCAAAACCATGACCCATTGGAGATTTTCAGACGCCAGCAGACTGCCAGGCAAAAATAATTTTCGAAGGGCCTGGTCATGTTGAACGTCAACCAAATCTTGCCTTAAACAATCTGAAAAGCTTTTATAACAAATTTTGTTTGCACTTAGGTGGATGTGCAATATCATGCTAAGTTTTAGATATTCTAACATGAAGTTAATCGGTAATTTACAAAGATTAATAATTTGTTTTAAATATATAAAATTATCCACGAATAAATGATATGAAAATTACATACCACTGTTTAAAAATAAATCTTTAAGATTCACATGAATAAGTTGTGACTCTACCCTACCCTTAAGAAACATACATGAACTATTTAGCTGATCTTGACATCTTGTTGAGTAGATAAATTTCAGATAAACTTCATAGATAATCATTAAACTTATATCATTTTCTCATCCAACTTTCTTTAATCTTAATTTGATTATTAAATTTTTTAAATTGTATTGTTTAAGTAACTATATATATTAGTCATTATCTTAACATTTATTGGGGTGAAATTATCTATAGTGATCACATTTAATAAATCATTTAAGACGAATTGAAGTTTAGCAAGTAAATATAAAAAACAAAATAAAAATTAATGATTACCCATTAAATTTACTTTAAATTCTATAAAAATGTCAAACGATAGACTTCAATCCTCACCATTAGTAAAGAATGAGAAGGAAACTTTATTAGAAATTTAATATTGTTCATTATTTTTTGGATGAACCGATAGATTAGATGCCCAAAGATGACTGCAAAAGGTTTTCTCCCTTCATCGACAGTTGTCAAACAAAGGATTAACAACCGTGGTCATCGGTCATAACAACAAAACAAAGGATGGAATAACGCTATTAATGTCAGGGTTGATAAACCTAGATGTGAACGCGATGGGCACTAATGCCATTGAAATGCGGCGTCCAGGGCTATTTTCGTCAATGCGAAGATATGTCATGGGCATTTATGAAACCAAAATTTAAATTTTACATTGACTCATTTTTTTCTATTGATGAATTTTTTAAAATGTAAATCGGATCTGATCTCAACATTAGCTTCTCGTCCACGTCAACGGGAACCCACCAACGTTGCTTCGTAAACCTTGTGCCTAGAAGACACGTCACCTTGTCGGTAGCGATTCCCCTGCTGAATTAACCCCCCACACGCTAAATCGAATTTCAGAGAAAAAGAAAAAGAGGCCTCACCACACCACGTCAGATCCCTCAATCACATGCCTCTTTCTCAGTTCCACCGCAAAGCACGCATCATCGTCAATCTTGCCAAGTGATCAACGGCTCACGATGCTCTCTTACGTGGCTCCTCTGACTCTTGCGTCACACCTCACTAGGCCAGTCACGTGCTCCCTCATACTATTTGGACAATCAATTGCAAGCGCCTCCGCGTTTTTTATTTTTATTTTTTGCCTCAGCTTCTTGCATCCCACTCCCATCTAATTTTAAAGATTTTTTTAATAAGAAAGGCATTAAAAAATTTTAAAAAATCATTTACTTCGATTTCATTTGCTGTGTTATTTTCCTTACGCAGAGTTTATTAATGCCATTAAAAAAAAAAAGGGAAGTTGATTAAGGGCGGTGCGAAATGAGGGGGAACCAATGATGGAAGGGCATGTGGAGTTCTCCACGTGGAGATTTGGTAATGACACGTGGGCCATTGAAGGTCTCTAGAAAGTCCAAGGGGCGGGAAGTGTGAGCTGGCTACGCAACCTCTGCTTGCGGTGGGATCCACCTACGTGGGACACGTCACAGGCCGGACCACTCGCACGCACCGACATATGCCAAAGTTGGTAGGGACCACACCCGAGTACGTGTTTTCAGATACCTTTTTTGTAGCCCAGGCAGGCCTCGTTGGCGGAGATACTCTCTCGTTTCCAAGCGTCGTGGTTCGTTTCTATCCCTCCGATTTACGAAATTTTGGCCGTCTATTCCATTTACGTCAGAGGTGGGTCCAGCGAGTTGTTTAACAATAAAGTTTTCCTCTTTTTATGATTTTTTTTATTTGATGGTAGGATAGAGAACTCTGAGCGTACACGTGCCGCTCTCCTGAGGTGACCTGGAAAAGTGTTTTTGATGCGGCACGGAAGATGAACGGTCAAGATTTAAGATAACGTGAAATTCGAGTCAAAACAAGTGCGTCAGACAAGGAGTGCTCTCCGCGTCGGAAAGTGAGGTGCCATCTGCTTAATTTACCTCAGTTACCTTTCACTTCTCTTTTGTTTTATTCATGCGCCCACAGTAGCAAGTACCAGCACGCCGGCATCCAGCTTTTTTTCTCTCTTGCATGGGAATTTTAAAATATTTTCGAGACTTCTCATCCCAAATTCCAAATAAAGACAAAATAATGAAGAGAATTGGTTTTTTTTTTTTCCAGATTTTTCAACTCTTTCAAAAATTGAATCGTTCTTAGAAAATAGTTGCAGATTACATTTAGTTATCAAAAATTAATCATGGTGCAGCAATTTTTCTATTGGGTCGCATACCCCACGGGACATTAGTGCTCCAAATCTTTGCGGGGGGTCTTTCGGTCCTTGTTTGGAACCAGGACCATAAAACCATCCACCTTTGTACAGCAGTGGAAAGTGCTAATTTGACTCGTGTCATCCGGGGGGCCGAAACTTTTCTTCAATTTGTACGCATTGAAAAGAATTGGGACCAAACTTTTTTAAATGGAAATAACTTGGTACATGACAACATGATTTTGTCTCTCAAAATTATTTTCATATTCCAAATTAATCGTTTATTCCTTTTGAATTAGAAAATGGTAAACTCCATCACCTTATTTCTATATGTTAATTGTCATGTTATCTTAAGAATGAGGAAAGTGAGTAATTATATCTTTGATCTTCTGATTTCTTATTTCCTTTACTTCTTGCTACCCATTCTTTCTAACTTTCAACAAATCCCTTTCCACAAGCAAACGACAGCACTTTGAAGTATTTGTCCTTTAACGAGGAACATTTTTACATTCGTAGTTGTTGCTAATTTTGTTTTTCTCTCTCTCTTCACTATCTTAGATAGGGGGAGCATGACTTTTCAAAATTTTTTAAAATTTTTATATATTATATATATTTTTAATAATTTTTTAAATAATTTGTTATTAAATTGTTAGTATAATATGTTATATATACTTTTAATGGGTTCTTAAAATAATTTTATATTAAAATATTAATATAAATACTTATTTAGCTTGATTTTTTTAATTTAAAAGTTACTATGAAGCTAAATCTGTTTGATAAATTTACTTTTATAAATTTTTTTTATAAATAAGTTATTTGATAAAATAATTTACATAAGTTTTAATTTTGATTAAAATTACTATAAAAGGTATTTAATAAATAATTTTTTATTAATCACAAATTCTTTTGTTCATAATGAAAAAAAGTTAATTTTAGTTTTTTATTTCTAAAAAGTATAAAAAAAAATTTATATAATATAAAATTTATAATTAACAATAAATCATATAAAAATGAAAATAGATAATATTAAAATTATTTTAATAGATGAGGATATTTTTGAAACAAAAAAAAACTTTCCTAAATAAATACATATTTTTAAAAAAGATTTTCTAAAGCTCTTTTTTTCAAAATTTTGTTTTTTAAAAAAAAGCTGTTTATTTTTTTAAGAACCTTTTCAAATTTTTATTTGACTTAATTTTTACTTTTAAAAGATAGATAAGTTAAAAAAAATCAAACCAAATAAGTATTAAATAAAAAATAATAAAATGATCATATAAATTCATTTAATTTTACCCCAACTTTTAAATTGTTCCTTTTTAAATTTATTCCCACCTCTTTCCATCTCTTTCTTTTTGTCTTTCTCTTCTCCTTTATCTTTTTACTGTGAAATTACAAAGAAGTAATTTTTTTTCTAATTATATTATTATTTATATTTATTTTTTTCAATTTTATTCTATTTGATCATATGTTTTAAATTTTTATAAATTTTTTTCTTCAAATTTCTACAAATCGTCACTTATATTCTTCTTTTTTTTTATTATGTAATTCAATCTTCTACTTGTCATTGTTTTTTTCTTATTAAGTATTCTCAATGATTTTAATATTTATAAATTAAAAAATTATCATATAATTTTTAAATATGTGTTATTGTTTTATATTATTGATTGTTGCTTAAAATTTCACCAATATATTATTTTTTTATTAATCTTGATTATATAAGATATTTTTTTATGTATAATATGTTTCATATTTAATTAAAAAAATTATTTTTGAGTATTTATTTTTAAAATAATATTTATAATATAAAAAATTATTAATTTTATATATCATATTTAATTATTTATATTTTATACATTATTCTTTTTCATCATTGACTTCCTAATAAAAATTGATTAACTCTACCCTAATCTGATAGCACAAAACTCATCAACCTTTTAACCTTAGTTTATAAAAATCTTGAAACCGTTTTCCTTATTCCTACACAAATTAATTATTTTATTTACAATTTTACACTTGAATCCTTTTTTCTTTTATATTTCATCGAAAAATTCTCATTCCATGGTTGGCCCTACAAATTCTTGTTCATCATCAGCGGGGTCCTTGTAACTGTCGATGCTTCAATCCAATCCGTCGACAACCATCCTCGTCATATGATACTTCCATCGAGATCCTCAGCCATTGGGTCGAAGTTCAACGTCCTCTAGCTTCCCAAAGCTGTATGGACGTTAGTTCTCCTATCATTCAAGATGATTGGTTAATCAGTCAATAATTTGTGATATGTTTAATAAATGAAAGCATGATTTGGGGTCTAATTTTATTAAATGCTTGATATGTGTTCAGTATAAATTTATTATGTCATCATATAACATATTCAGATAATCAAAATAATCGATCGAATATATAGACATAATTTAGTTTTAGTTATATCAATTCTCTTTTTTAATTCAACCAATTTAGTTTTTTTTATTTAATTAATTAAAATTTTAAAAATTTAAAATTACAATCAATCGAACTAATACAAGCCAAATTTCTTAATGCCTCACCGTCTCTCAAAGTAGGCCCTGACAAAGGGCACTGGTCCTTCTTTTCCAAATTGGCACGTTCGCTAGACCTAATTGGTTTTCAACATTACATTGATGGCAATGTGGTTTGGCCGGATACGGCAAAGTGATTTAATTTTAGCAGATATTGTACACGATCATGATTTCCAATACTTTGCAATTAAATCATTGTTTTTTTTTTGAGAGATAATGCATTTAACTACAAATTTGTGTTAAGATCTTGAATAGTTGACTTAATAATAAACATATACACCCACGTTTGAAAGAGTTCAGATTCTCAATTTCTCAAATCATAAAAGATTTGAAAAAAAAAAAGAAGTTGTGGATGGCATGGTACTCGTCATGGGTCTGAGACAATTTTTTGTTTTAAACAAGGGCTAATATGCATAGAGGCAACGTTCATCACCTAGAAAGAGCAAAAAAAACTTTTATCTAGGATTGTCCAATTAGAATACATCTTAATGGCACGTAGAGCTAATTAAAGAAAGATAATTTATTTTCAAAGAGCAATTCGATTTTTTTCTAGAGTAAATGTCAATTAATGTAAAAATTTAAAATAAGAGGAAGGTTATATACTAATTAATGAATTAGATGCTTGAATGTTAAATTTTATTTTTATTTTCTTAGATATTCTTACATATATTAATAATAAAAAGAAGAAATTGATATTTACCTATGTTTCATTTTTCATGAAATCATTCTTAATTTAAACTTGTAAAACTAATAATGTTAAAAAAAATTATAGACTTGAGAATTTTGTATTCAATCTGATAACACAAACACAAGTGTGAATTTTAACTGATTTAGATTTAAGATAATTAAATGACACAATTTGTTCTCTTTCATAGATAACATCATACATATATTTCAAAAGTATTTTTTACAACAAGCAAAAGACTTTGACATCATGCATCGAATATTTTTTTAACTTAAAAAATAAATCAAACTTCTTAAAGAGAGAAATACGAGTGGTTATTATGAAAATGATTTTTTAAAATATTACCAAAAAAAAAAAACTTGTTCAATCAATTTTCAAATTGCAAGAATGTGGGTGAATTGCGGTTCGTATATGTTGTTTGTCGTGTTTGACTATTAATGTAAAAAGCTTCCTAAGTTTTCAAAATTTAACGTAAAAATCTTCCAATCAAGTATTAATAGATAAACTAGAAGTAGCAAATCATAGAATTATTATTACTATTAAAAAATAAAGAAAAGGATTGAAACTAGCAGATAGGAAAATAAAAAAAATGGAATTAAAATATCAGGGAAATAACCCCAATTAAGTCGTCAACAAAGTGGCCAGTGGTGGATTCCAAACGACCTATTCATTGTAGTTAAATCTCAGACAATTAAATATCTGATTCTTTAAAAAATTAAAAATTAAATTAACGAAACATGACCACGTAAGCCCACATGACGGGTGGAATAGGTTGGACCCCTCGCCCAAGACGCGTAGATCGACTAAATAACGAACACGTGTACGGCAGAGGTGACGTTGGAATAAATAAATGGCCAGCGCGAATATCGAAGGGCCAACTCAACAACCAACTTTGCCCCCCGTATATACGGTGTATTTGTACACCTGCTTTTTTCTACGACACGTGTTTGGTGACGTGGATGTTGCCTTGGCGCTCCCTTTCTTCTTCTTCTTCTCCACAGCCTCCGTCCTTCCTCTCTCTCTCTCTTCTATTCCTCTCTGTGAATTTAAAAAAAAGAAAAAAAAAAAGAACCTTAAAACTTTTCTCTCTGTTTCTGAGTGAAGATAATGCAGTCTTTTTGACTATTTCGTTTTAGAATTTCTCTTGTCTACTTTGTCCCCCTTTTCTCAATTGAAGATAGTATACTTTCTGTTGTGAATTATCGTTTCGCTGCTAAGGGAAGGAAGGTTGTCGGATTTCAGATTTGAAGGTATGTAACTTATGTTGAAATTAGAGTTCACGTTGTAGTTTTTTATTTCTTTTGTTTTGGATTAGTGGATTAATGCGTAAGGTTTTGTTTGGTTGTTCAGAAAGCTGATGAAAGTGCAGGAAAGTTTTTCTTTAAAGAGTTAAATTTAAAATTATTTTGGCGGTTTTATTTGGTGAGATAGTGTAGAAAAGTGGATTCAATTTGAAGCTATAACGATCAAACTTTTGATTGTTTTGAAAATAAAATCTCTACAGCTCCTTACTGAACTGACTTTTCAAAATATAACGGAATTTTGTAGAATTTAATAGCTATATTCTTCTTCTGGCCCTTTCATTAATTTTGTAGGACTTTTTTCCTGGATCTCGTCAATTCATGATCATCTCTGATTAGAACCTTTGGATTTGCATGACTACTTCGGCCGATTTTCTTTAGTCTCCGAATTTCATCAACTTTTTTGTTTTTGACGAAGAGAATAAAGAGAGAGAGGCAGAGAGAGAGACAACCATTTAGAATAAGTTTAAGGGAATAAGGAAGCAAAGTTATGGAGATGAGGATATTGGACTATGCAGATCGAAACAGCAGTTACCAAAAAGTGCTTCTTCTTTTTGTTTGTAAAGAAACATTTCCAGATAAATTTGTTGCGGATTCATCTAAAACGAGAATAAAGTACTGGAACTTATTATGTAGAGAAGAAGAACTGCAGACATCTTCAGTTTCAAGGGTTATTTTGTCCTTTAGTTAACAGATTAATCTGGTGAGATGGATTTTGTAATTATTTTTTCCAGGGTTAAAGATGGATTTTGCAATTTGCTCTCGTTATGGGTGTAGGTATGGAAAGACGGTTATACCCTCATCTTTAATTTGTTTTCCGGGCTGTTCATCTTTCGCCTTCGCTCTTTCTCCCTTCCTCTTTTCATTGTTCAAGGACTGGCAAGATCAAAACTTTTTGTAATTTTTGGTGAACATAAACTTGAAAAGATATTTCTTTGGACTATTTGGTGCTCTTTGTAAATTCTTTTCTTGGCCGATATTAAATTATATTCTTCAAACTAGATTAAACTTGTTTTATGGCATAAATTCTAGTGTTTAGTTACAAATACATTTCAAAATAGCCCTATTTGTAAGTATATTTTATGTTTTATTACCCAAGCATGGTACTATACTACTTAACTCATAAGGTGAGCGCCTATACCATTAAGCAGTTTCAAACACTACTGCAGCTGTGTGAGTTTTTTTGGAGGAAAAGTCAGGAAGTAGAATTCTGAAAATCATGTCTGTTTCTAAAGGAAGATGATGGCATGCATCAAGCCAGTTCATCAATTACAAATTTAACTTGCATTAGTTTCATGGTGTTCTTTTTGAGCATCAAGTAACACCGAATTGGTTTTGTCCGACTCCAACTTGGGGTCTCTGGTCTTCACAAAGTCAAAACATCAGCCTCTGTTTTCCATAAACAGAAATATTGAAGTAGAATGACGATTTCTTTGTACTCTTTAGCATTGTGATATCAATTTTATCACTCAATCAAAGTGATTGGATCTAATTGCTATTCGGTACCAATTTGCTATTATGATTTATTCTGAACTGTTCCTATTGCTATCTAGAAATTAGCTGTCAAGCACAGCTTCATGTTTCTCTCCTTGATTGCAGTTGACACAGACGTGAACGAACTTCTAGAAATTAGGTTTCGACATTGGTGCGACCATGGGAAACAACGATGAAGGAAAGTCCTCTAAGTCTGACAAATCATCTTTACCAGTGCCAACGGTGAGCGAAGTGATCATGCATGTTTAACTGTTGAAACTAGGAATAAGCTGGAGCTTTTTTATGCTAGAAAAGAACAATTACTATATTTTTCTTTTAATGTTTGTCCCATTTGATTTAGGGAAAAGATCTTTAATGTAGTTGTTGTTGCATTTGCTTAGTATTTAATCTTTCCGTGGAGATTAATTTTTGAAGTTTATATCTGAGTATTGGTCAATCCTTTTGTATTCACAGGATCAGACCAATGTTCATGTCTATCCCGATTGGGCAGCCATGCAGGTTATCTACTTAGTGCCCTCTTTCCTATTGCAGTTGTTGAGGCCTTTGTTCAACTAAAATTGACAATCTGATTTTTTTAATGAAATTGCTAATGGGGATTTTATGGTTCTTTCTTATGTATTTAGGCATATTATGGTCCTCGAGTCGCTATTCCACCATATTATAATTCTGCTGTGGCCTCAGGCCATGCTCCTCCCCCCTATATGTGGGGACCACCACAGGTATTTGCCCATAGCTGCAGGGCATTTTAACGTCAAGTTTTTTACTGAGCTACTGTATAATAGTTATTGAATATCCTAACATGTTAATTCTTCCAGCCTATGATGCCACCTTATGGGGCACCTTATGCAACAATCTACTCGCATGGGGGAGTTTATGCACATCCTGCTGTTCCTCTGGTAAGTTTAATTTGTCACTATCTTTTAACTAAAGTATTAATTCTTTGAAATTATCTAATAGTTTTACTCTGCTTTGCAGTTTTCGAAATGAGTATTAGGTTTTTTGTATGATGTTTGAGTATGTACAGGACACATATTGCTGTACAATCCTCTTGTTTCTTACTGCTCTATGTTTAAACAGTATTCTTTTTATGGCTACTAGCTAGATGGGAAGTTGTCTGTTTTTGTTTTATGCTTTAAGCAGGTGCTGAATATAACCTGAGCATTGTACTGCAGGCTGCGGCCGCTGTGGAAACACCTACCAAGTCCTTGGGAAATTCAGAACGAGGTTTAATGAAGAAACTGAAAGGATTTGATGGTCTTGCAATGTCAATTGGCAATGGTACTGCTGAGAATGCTGATGGTGGGGCTGAACCGAGACCGTCCCAGAGGTTTGTTAATTGTTTGACTACAAAGTAGTATTATTTAGGAGATCAAGGCTATGCCTTAGCAACGTATTTGTCGGAGGTTGAACAACAAAGTGATTTTATTCTAGTCGATCTCTTGTTGCTGGACTAATTTTGTGATCATATGGACAGTGCGGAGACTGAAGGTTCCACTGACGGTAGTGATGGGAATACAACTGGGGTGAGATCTCCTTCCTATCTGTTTAACCTGTTTCCAACACACTTCTTCTTTCTTTTTTTCTTTTAAGTTATTTTATTGGAAAATATATTCAACAATGATTAAGGACAAAATGCTAAAGCTTATTTTTTGTCACTGCACATCTCTGGTCAGACGGATCAAACTGGACGGAAAAGAAGCAGGGAGGGTACACCAACCATTGGTATGACTCCATTCTTCACCAAGTATATTCTTGATGAATAATAGAGTTGACCTGGAAGCACAACATTTTAGTCATGCATCTGTATGGTAGTAGATAGTTGCCAAATCTGAAGGCCTGTTTAAATTGAACAAAGATGCTATTTTTAAACTAAAGATTTTATTATGTCTTCTATGTCTTGTTTTTAAAGGAAAATTCAATCTATGATTGATAATGTTGGATAGCTAATTCGTAGTATCCTCCTCTTCTGTGGAAACGGTGGCCTCTATTATTTCAAATTATTTAGGAACACTATCAGTTTTCTCTCCTATATGAGGCAATTCCATTAAAGATCTGCAGGCGCACCTCTGGATCTTGAATGTGCTGTATTTAGGTTCATGACCTTGATATGCTAAAGTTTTTTGTGATTTTTGAAAGGACCTTGTGTTAGAAAATGAAAAGAATGAGAAATAAATTATTGAATCTTGGGATACTGTTGGTCCCACTTTAGTGTTTGGAGGTTTAGGTTTATTCATGTATGGTCCCTGTGTTAGCAGGTGGAGATGGGAAAAATGAGGCAAAGTCTAATGCAATCGTTCCTGTGGGAGAGGTGACTGCAACTGTTTCTCCTAATTCAATTGGAACTGTAATTTCTCCTGGCATGACCACAGCTTTGGAGCTTAGGAACCCTACCACCATGAATGCTAAGTCCAGTCCCACGAGTGTACCTTGTGGAGTAATGCCTTCTGAAGTCTGGTTGCAGGTATCTTTGTGGACGGAGTTCTTGTCTATCTATTATTCTTTTTATCCTGTGTTCCCAAGATTTATTTATGAGCTTGCCTATAATTTATTATGTTTTGTTGCTCTTTTAAGTTGTTAATGCATATTTTATTGTTTTCTACATTTGGTGAGGGGGTTAGGTTGTGTTATCTTAAGCTGTTGCTAACTTAAATAAATTTTAACTAGAATGAACGGGAGCTGAAACGGGAGAGGAGGAAACAATCTAATCGAGAATCTGCTAGGAGGTCAAGGTTGAGGAAGCAGGTACAAGAAATATGTCTTGTTTCTTTTGTGCGTAAAAACTCAGATTTCTTTCTTTGAATGATCTGAAGCTAATGCTTTATATTCTTTTGTAGGCTGAGACTGAAGAGCTTGGTCATAAAGTTGAATCATTGACTGTAGAGAATGCTACACTCAGATCTGAAATAAATCAACTAACTGAGAAATCAGAGAAACTAAGGCTAGAGAATGCTAATTTAGTGGTAGGCACTTTTACCAATTTTTTTGTTTATTTTCCTGCTCGATTAGTTTTTCTAGTTTCATTTTCAGTGATGCCAGATTTTCGCCTTCGTAACTCCATATTTTGTAATACAGGAGGAACTGAAACATGCTCAGCTGGGACAAGCGAAGGAAATTATTATGAACAACAAAGACAACAAAGAAGGTGAAATATATGAGAAAAGCTCCAACTCTGGTGCCAAGCTCCATCAACTCTTGGATGCGAGTCCTAGAGCTGATGCAGTGGCTGCCGGCTGAACAAGGAGAAAATGTTGTACGTGAGATATTTTTGACGTAAAATTGGAGGCAATCGTGTAGCTTTGGCATAATTACAAGCCCAAAACTACTGCTAACAGTTAGCAGAGGGATGAAATAGTTTGATAGGATTGAAACTTTATGTTTCGGACAGCTCTTTTACTCTGTAAGTTAGCTCTCTCATGGCAGAACTGATTGTAATTTTATTTGAAAATCAGAGTGCTGAGAAAGCCCTGAAAGGTAGTGTACATTAACGAGAATTAGAGTTTTCAGTTTAGGAAGAAAGGGTGTCGGAGACCTTCAATGTGTAATCTCTACTGATTGTGCAAATTTTTATTGACTCAGCGCTGTAGACTGTTTGTGATATGTGAAAATGAGGAAATGCTACTCCTCCCCAGTTTGTCTGACTTCATGCTTTAATTTGGATATCCATTACCACCCGGTGGCCCAAATGACTATGACCAACCTTCTTTCTGGGCCGAATCATTTCCTAGCCAATAGTCTGTGGGCTGACTTCTTCTGGTCACTTTAGATCAGGGCAAGAAAACGGTGTGAGTCAAGACTTCCATCCAACTTCGATTGAAGGGCTCGGGCTCATATGGCGATAGATCTTGAATTTATAAATAGTATAAAAATTTATTTAATATTTTATTGTGCATTTTTCAAGTCGGAGCAAGATAGATCTCTTTGCTCCCCCAGTGAAAGATTCGTCCGTTCCACAAATCTTATATTTAAAAGAACTAATATAAACATCTGCATTCACTTAATAGATATGGCTTTTTTAAATTGAAAATAATAAAATTATCAAGTTTAAACTCCTTGTGATACATCAGACTCTTATTTTTTTTTAAAAAAAAGAAAGGTTATGTTACGTTAACATTTTCTACTTTTATCAATCTAAAGTTTTCTTAATTTTTTATTTTCTTTTTGTCGTTAAGTGTACTAGAAACTATTAACTACCGTTGCTTAATCGTTGCCTTCGTCTCGAAAGATTAAAATTTCAATAATTTCTGTAAAGTTCACGGATAGACGGAAACCTTGAATCCAGCTTTGGTTTGGGTCATTGCTTTCGTGTGGAGATGAAGTGCATCCCGCATCTTAAAGCAAGCACGCAAAAAAAAAAGGAAAATGAAGTTTGATTTTAGAAAAATGACAAAAAAAAGGAAAAAGAAAAAAAAAACCACGAAACGTGCACATGAGACTATGCATGTGGGGCCACAAAGAACAAGGCGTCAAGGCTGCTGCCTGATGATCACCTGATTCAAACCGTCAACCGTCGTGTGGTGCGGGGGCACTGCGCCATCATTACTCGTTCAAACATTAGCCAGCTTTTGTCCTCCACGTGATTTTCCTTTCCCACCTCTCCTATTCCCTGCCTTTTTTTGAAAGGCGAATTGAGTGATCAAAATAAAAAAATTTCTCGCAATGTACTTTCTTATAACAAGCCTTATGAATTCTGGGGTGTAATGTAATTATAGGATTCTAGTAGTATAATTGAAGTGATAGAGAAAGCAATGAATATGTGACAAGTATGAAAAAATGCAAATAATTATTGTTTATGAATTGATTCCTGTATTAAACAATACATTAATGGAAATGTCAGGTTGCATTTCCTGGACTTATTATCATTAATGCATATGAAAGCTTACATAGTTAGATTTAAATTTTCAAGTGTGTTATGCATTGGAAATTATTTTTGGAATTGAAACTTTATTGACTTCAGTCTGAAAATTTCTCTGATGTTCGAAGTGTCTTTTATCAAGATTTATGCTGCCATAAAATATATAAAAAAGAAAGAAAATTGATGGCTTGCTAGTGATGCGTACCTAGGCTTGGCAATTCAACCTTTTTCAGCAGGTCTTAGAATTTGACTCAGAAAAAGCAGAGTCATTGTTTTGTTAAGGTGCTCTTCCTTTTCCCTGGTAATATACTAAGATAAGATAACAGTGGCGATTCATTTCTTAAAAAATAATAATAAAACAATTGAATTGTAAAAAATTTCTCATTTTCAAATCTTGGGGTCTTGACCGTTTTGTACAAACGACATGTACTTCTCGTATCTCCATGTCCTAGATCCCTGTAACAGCCCCCCTGTTCCCTTTACCTGTCCATTCAGTTTAGCCTTTCTTTGCCGGCCTCTTAATCAATGTGTCATCATCTGGGTTTTTGTTCCTTCAAATTTTAGTTTTAGTCATATTTAATCAATCTGGAAATAGGTTGCTTCTGGGAAAGAGGGTATATTTTAACATGCCCATTCTTTCCATGCAAATAAACATTGCTTTAGTCCTTGGATTTCAACTTTGTGGTTTAACTATGGAACTGTCTTAAAAAAAAGTACTGAAGACTAGATTCTTCTAACTTTCTGAGCCTTATTCATTCTAGAGTTTCTGATCTCCCCAAGTGGGGTTCTGTTAGAATTTGTAAGTTGGTTATACGAAAGTACACTTGTTGTCAGCAGAGAATTTCTTCTTATTCAGACAAATTTCATCCTTTGATGAGTTTTGGACACTTGAGTCCTTTGTTAAGGGAATGGGTTTCATTAAATTTGAGGGACAAAGTTTCTAGTACTGTTAGTTTTTGAGTGTCTACATTTTATGTTTTTATCCTTATTGGAACTCACTCAGATTGTCTTGTTCTCCTGTGGAAGTGACAAATTTTTTTCATGATTCCTTTATGAGCCTGGGGGTGTTAGGTGTAGGTTTATAAAGTTGCCAGATGTTTTACCTCCTGGTGTCTCTGTCTTTGGTCTTTAGGGTTTCAATGGCACTCTTTTAGTAGCAGTAGTTTGGCAAATCAAGCCTCAGATCTGAGACATAATTGTCAACAAAGACCAGGAAATTTGTGTTGGTAGTTGGGTTTTAGCTGTAAGTTCACGAGATCAGACGTTTGTGACAAGATAGAGCTGTTGATGAACGTTTTCTCAGTCTGACTAAGTGTGTCTTTCCATTCATTCTTGTTGGCATTTCGGTGTTTCTAAGAATTCTAGAAGAATTGTTTCTTAAATTCTAGAAACTCTTCGTTGAAAAATTTCTGGGTTTTGGTTTTCAAAATGGGGCATTCTGCAGCAGTATGGGATTACAAGGCAGCGACAGAGATTACAAAGGATTGGAATGGGATTGATAAGGTTGTGCTTCGAAACCCAGGAGGGGCTTCAGCAAGGGTGAGATTTCAGATTTGTTCTTTCCCTCTTTCTCTAGTTGCTTTCGTTGAATGGATGAAAGTCAATTATAAATTGGTCTTTGCTTTTCAAAGAAAAATTATAAATTGCTCTTTGACAGGACATCTTGTAACTATATCTGATAGATGCATGGTGTCTCTTATTTTCATATGTGTATCAGTGGGAATCACACAAACATTGAAGGATTTCAGGATAATTTTGTGTTAATTTGTCCTTTGATGCTATAGGTTAGCTTACATGGAGGTCAGGTCACTTCATGGAGGAATGAGCAAGGGGAAGAACTTCTGTTTACTAGTAGTAAGGTGGCATATTCTAATTCTTTTACTTTTCCTTTTCTTTTTAAACATATACAGCTTTGTTTTTTTTGCTAAATGTCGTAATTGAGGTTTTTGGCTAGAGTTCATGTCCAAAGAAAATATTTTCGTTTTTGACTTAATTGCCGGTAGAGGGCTGAAGGTTTGTCTAGCATTGCAGGGCTGTGTTAATTCATCTGATTCCTTAAAGTATGGCTAATTTCTTTATAACTTATCCAAGAGGTGGCCTTGATTTACGGCTTTAGATTAAGAAGTTAAACCGATTTGTCATGGTAGAAACGGAAGAACACTGATTCATTATCTTTATCATGAATTTTTAGGCAATTTTTAAGCCTCCAAAAGCAGTTCGAGGAGGGATCCCTATTTGTTTCCCACAGGTAGTTTTTTTTTTTTTTTTGTCATTTTTTAACCTGTAATTATATGGAATCTTATCTATAGTTGCTTATGGATTTTATTTTCAATTCTTGTTAAGTTTGGTTACTGTGGGTCACTCGAGCAACATGGATTTGCTAGGAACAAGATTTGGACAATTGATGAAAACCCTCCACCTCTTAGTCCAAGTGATTCCCATGGCAAATCCTTCATTGACCTTTTGCTTAAACCATCTGAAGAAGATCTTAAGTGCTGGCCCCACAGGTATGAACTTGGATGCTTACATCCTTTGTTGATTTACTATCAATTATAAATAATCCTCTCGAAAAAGAGGAAATATATATTAGTTTTATTACCGTGCATGAATGAGTTTTCTTTTTCACAATCGAAGCTGAGAAGCATCCAAACTCTTTTGAAGGAAACCATAGACAGCGAGTTGCCGACTACTGCATCGATTGCTGTGACCTTTATAAGTAAACTTGTTGTCTATATGTTGCTAACAAATTTTTTCTATTCCCCTCTCAGTTTTGAGTTTCGCTTGAGAGTGTCGCTTGCAGCAGACGGAAGTCTGATGCTAATATCACGAGTTAGGAATGTCAATGGGAAGCCATTTAGTTTCTCTTTTGCGTATCATACATATTTGTCGGTTTCTGACATAAGGTACAGAGTATTATTTGCTGAAATTTGATAAGTTTCCCTTTTGATATTATACTATTTTGTTTTTGTGAACCCTGAATGGAGAAGGGACCAAAAAGGAGAGTTGTGAGATTGAATGAGTTCCATTTTAATCAGCAAGTTAGAAAGCTTTTGTCTCCTGTGGAAAATATGCCTAGTTTGAAATGTCAATTATAGGATGCTGCAGTATTCATTGATGACCAACCAAATTCATCTTTGTTCTAGAAACACTATGGAAGAAGAGAATGACTGTTTTGAGAACTGTTGAATTTTTACATTGTTAAGCCTTGGGCCTTGCTCAAGCTAATACATGCTGGGATAAACTCTAGAACAAAATATTGGTTCAAAGCTTATTAAGTAAGATTTGTTCAAAATGAAAAAATCGTACCGCTCAGAAGATTCATCAGTTTTTCGTTTTCTTTTTTTTGGTTGTGATGAATGAATTGGGATTTGTTTTCTGGGTTTGACATGAACATCAACTGTGTCAACAGTGAAGTGAGGATTGAAGGGCTGGAGACGCTTGACTACCTAGACAACATTTGCCAAAAGGAACGTTTTACAGAGCAAGGAGATGCTATAACTTTTGAAGCCGAGGTACATGAGTTATATGAATTAGGTCGAGTGTCTCATGCTTGAAGTCATTGGTCTTGCAAGAGTGCTGCAACGCAAGACTGCTTTGTAGCAGTTCTTTTTCAGTTAAAAGAATAACAAATTTAAATGTTGTCCAATTGGTCTGACAGGTGGATCGAGTTTATCTCAGTACGCCAAATGTAGTTGCTGTACTTGACCATGAAAGGAAACGGACATATGTTATCCGAAAGGAAGGACTACCTGATGTTGGTAGGTTCAAGTACTTCTGAGGAAATCTCTTTGTAAAAGGATGTTTAGGTTTCGCACACATTGAAAGAAAAAGAGTAATAGAAATGAGTGTATGCTTCATCCGTCTTCTAAATAAATAATGAATTTTCATCTTTTTATTTACCTTCTTATCTTTTGCTATGTACAGTGGTATGGAATCCATGGGAGAAGAAATCGAAATCATTGGTAGATTTTGGAGATGATGAATACAAGCAGATGCTCTGTGTTGATGGAGCAGCAATCGAGAAGCCTGTAACCTTGAAACCAGGTGAGGAATGGACAGGGAGGCAGGAACTCTCAGTTGTACCATCAACATTCTGTAGTGAGCATTTGGATCTCCAGAGCAATGGTTTTTGATGGAATGGTACGAATCAAATTTTCAGAAGATGTACCAGTACGATGTATGATGTTTCAGTAGCTTTACTCGTAGGAATAGTTCAATGATAGTTAACAGCATGCTTATTAGCATTGAACTGAGTGTAAGTATGAACTCCATGTTCTAATGCCAAGAAGATGGCAAGTCTTTGTAACAGGAATACACAATAAGCCTACGTTTTTTCGAGAATGGCTGCTAAACTTTTTCCACAGTAAAAATTTGGTCTTTGTTGATTTCTCTACGTTGATAACGAAAGTCAAAATCAAAACTTTGTTATATGGAGAATAAGAAAATTATCCAAACATTATTGATAAAATTTTTAAACTCCAGGAGTTGGTATTAAGATATAAATATGTTTGTGATTGTAGCTCTGTTTTGTGCTTCGGGGGGACTTGAACACATTCAGATATGTAAAGAAGGGAAGAAAATAGAAAAAGATGTTTCAGAGGTAGGAGGCCACTCATATCAGAGCCAGGTTTCGATCCTGGGACCTGTGGGTTATGGGCCCACCACGCTTCCGCTGCGCCACTCTGATGGTTGGTGACATAACTGTTCCGTATTCTAAAGTGCATATCATTCAACTTTTCAGGTAATTACCAAAAGGTTACTTGTATTTTTCCCCTAGCTTAAACCATTTTCGGTAAGTTCAGCTTCCTTTTCATGGTTTATCATGCTGTCCTCACTCTAATTTATGTTCTTATAGATCTCAGTAGAAGATTATGGATGATGAGGGAAGGGGAGGCAATGCTTTACAAAGAGGGAAAAAAAAGTTTAAACCTTTTTTTTGTTTTAATTCTTTGGCATCAGAAGTTTCCCTGTTTACCAGTACTATTTTTTTATCAAGACCATGGAAGACAAAGCCAGAGAGGAAGTAAATGTTAGCTTAGCTTTCCATAACAAATCTATGATAAGTTTTCCTGAAAAGGTTAGCTGCTATACGGAACCTAGTAGGACCTCAAGGAAGACGCTGTACCGCTTGTTAAAGCATATGCACACCTCCGTATCAGATAATAATAATTGCTTCCCATGGTACAGCTGCTAAATCACAAAGGCACAGCTGGTTCACAACAAGATTAAGTGGAAGTTGAAATTATATTCCTTTCATCCATCATAGTTTAATGATGGGAGGAATAGAAGTCCACAACCAGGCCACAGAGCGGCTTCCAGGCAACCCAGTCAAACATATTAATAAGATAAATTAAACAATGTTGAAATAAATAATAATAAGAGAGCAAATTTCAACCCCAAAAAAAAAACAATCATAATGGTTTATAAAAGATCAAAAGTTGGAATAGAGATTTAGCATCTGAACATTAGTGCAATGTTATAGTATATTTTGTCAAATCGATCAGATATGTCAACAATCGATTAATTTTTTTCTGACACTGCTTATAAACTATAAACCGCGGCGATACTCCAGTTGCTTGGTGTTCTCTAGTAGTACCTGCCAAGTAAAGCAACTATTAATTAACATGATAAAGCTATATGCAAGCTGAAAGAGGAACTGCATAGATGTTGCCAAGCATGGTATCATCCAAACCACGGACAGGAAAATTTCAGATAAGTTCGAAAGAAATGGAGAGCTAGGCAGATAAAGAAGGTAAACAAGTGTCCTTACTTCTCTAATGTAGTTTGCTACAGCCTTGCAGCCTTCAGTTGCAAGTCCCATGACATTTTCAAAGATATCCAAAGGTAACTTAGCATCCATCTGTAATACACAGAATAAATATTAATCTCTAACAGTAAAAAATTAACTAGTAGTGAGTGCCCTAGAAAGCCTCTCAACTAATATTTGAGAACAAAGAAATGTTAAAAGTTTATTACATACTTGTTAGTTTAGATGGATAATAGTCTCACATAAACCAGAAAATAACTTCCAGCAAAGGGAAAAACATAAGTTAGGCAAAGAGAAAGCTCAAATATTTGGTTGTTAAATACCATTACCATGTTACTGAAACACAGAACCATATTGCAACATCAAAAACTTCTATTAACACAGAAGCAGGAAAAAAAAAAAAAGAAGTCCATGATGTTAACTAACGTATCTTTTGAGTTAAAAGCCTAAAAAGGTGAATGAGGAAACAGTCATAGAGAACCTGAAGAAGAGTCACTTTGTCCAACTTAGGTAAGATTCCTACAGTGACATCAGGGCCTCCAGCACTATCTTCAATGTAGTTCAAATCTGTACAATGACAAACATCAATTAATTGTTCAAAGGGAATTAAAAGAGCAAAGTTTAAAAAAGAAGAAGAATTTACCAAGCAAAGGAGTGCTATTTAGATACCCAGCACTGCAAGAAGTGACAATATCACGCATTGGAATCCCAGCATCTGCAAGGGCTAAAGTCGCAGCATTGATACATGCAGATCTAGTTCCTGCAGACACGTTAATTCGGCTTATGCTTCCTTTTTTCTTTCACCTCCCAAACAGATATGGGCAAACAAACTAGCAAGTAGAATAGACAAGGGCAGAAATCTAACAATTTTGACAAGCTTTATTCCTGACCCAAGCTAGGAAAGAGTGCAGAGTAATTATAGAAAAAATGAAATCAATGCAGAAACTGATGCAGATTCATGCCACACAAACAGATGTTGATGGTTGGAGTGGAGCATAAATTTGTAATTGCATAAACTGAAAAAGGAAAGGATGCTATTGATCAAAGAAATTTGGAGAAGTTTCCAGTACCTCCATCAGCTTGAAGAACTTGAACAAATATATCTATCTGACAAAAAAAAATCTTCAGAAAAACATATAACAAATGCCAGTTTGGGCTATACCATGGGGATATAATTCAAACCTGAGAACGAGGCATTAGGTGAGTCAATATGCAAGCTTCCATTGTTTGACGGATGACAAGAGATATCTCTGTTGACCGCCTAAGTGTAGAAAGAGAAGATTTATATCAATAAGCATATAATTGTTCTTCATAAACCTAATATCTGTCAATTTAGTCATGCATATATCCTTTGTAATTTTTATTACTTGTGTAATAAATAGAATGATTTTATACCACCATTTGTGTTGTTTGTGGTAGTGGATAATAATACAGTTTGAGGATTCTCTACTTGACAAAACAAACTCATTTCTTTGTGGAACATTAAGAACCTTCTCTGACTTCAAAGTAGCTATATTTTGGATTAAGTCAATGCATTGGATTTTGATTTTATTACAGCCCTTCCCATATTAGTCATGTATAAATACTTTGTAATTTTTATTACTAGTGTAATAAGATTTAGAATTAATAAAAAAGAATGTAGATAACCTGTCACCCTTTGGTTTCCTCCTGCGATCTCCAGTACTAAAATTAGCCATACTGTACTCACAGCGCACCTAAGATCCATCACATATATGAAAACCAAGAACTTTTCAAGTCACAATTACAAAATTCCAATACACTATGGTCTAAAGAACATTACCAGTGCCTGGTCACTAATTTGTTGGCTCCTATTTTGCACCTGGAAAACATAGACTGCATTTATTCTCGCTACAACAAACCAACATCTCATTACAAATTTACAACAGAAGCTCGAATTCAAAACACAATAAATCCAAATCAACACTTTTTCACTGACAAACTAAACACTACTTCAAATATATCCACAAATCAAAATATAAAAACTAACAAAAGTGATTACAAGTGTGTAATAATATTAAGCAATGAACTTTCATAATAGGTTACCTCTCTAGGGCCATATACTGCTGCAATGACTTTGGTGTTGCCCATCTCAAAAACAGCAGAACTTAATATTGAAATTCACAAAAAAAAAGAAGAAAAAAGCTCGGGATTTTAGGTACGAAATGTTTCAAGTAAATAGATTCGCTTAAGAAAGTAATGGGTGTGGCACATACCCATCAGCTCTGGCCACAGTACCAATCTCTGCACGAATTTGTCTCATCTGAGATGGAACAAGTTAAAGAAGATGAAGATAAAGCAATTTCAGAAAGAAAATATTGGCTAAGAGGATAAAAATGTGTAGACCAATAAAACAATAAAAAAAATTAGAAGAAAAAGTAAGAGAGACAAGGTAGGTACTTCCATCGGACGGCGACCGTCCAAGCGGAGTCCTTCAGGGCTCACGTATTCCATCTTTACCAAGCTAGGTTTGCACCCGAAAGAACCGACAAACAACCAACCGTTGATGATAAACGCAAGAACTGACACTTTCGTTCTTCTCTCCCTTGACTAAACCTCCAGGGTTTTGAGTTCGATCTATGAGACGTTGCCGTTTGGAACTAACTGGCGGCTAGCTTGCTCCATGGGTTCGGGCCTATGGGGAAAACAAAGTAAAAGTTGCTCGTTGGCCCGTTTCGCTGCCTTTATTGCAAAGAAAATGGGCCTAGCTATTACACTATAATCAAAAATAAAGTAAAAAAAATTGATTTACCATTATTTACCTCCTTTTGATCTAACTCTTCTTTCTAGCGTCAAGACCAAAACAAAAACAAATGAAAAAATCAACATCGAAAAAGGGTAGATAGCGTTACTGGTCCTGTCCTACAGCATAAACAACAAAATATGCTCAAAGAAGGCATGAAACTTAGGATTTGAATCTGAGAAAAAATTATATCCAAAATTCATGAAAAAATTCACAAGCACCAAACCATAACCAAAATTCATCAATACCCAAAGAAAATCCGCAAACATGTAAAGCATGCAAAAACACAATCTCAAGTAACCCACCAAAAACCCATGTTCAAAACAGAAAACAAAAGCTCAGTGGTGTTGGTGACTCTGTGTTAAGGATTTTAGAACTCAAAAAGAGAGAGGGAGAATGGACTTGTTAGAGAGAGAAATTGGAGGCGAAGTGGAAAGTGGAGAGTTGTTTAAACAGTAAAGGAAGCAGAGGAGAGAGAGAACAATAGAAGAAGAAAAGAGACGAAAAGAACCTGCAACGTAATTACAGAGAAAGAGAGATTTTTGGTGGGGAATGGAAGAAGGCAAAACCTAATTTTATTTTTTATTTAGGATTAATTATTTTTGGGCTTAAAAGTCAAGAGATTATCTTTTAGTAACTAAGTTTTTTATTATTAATTTATTTTATAAAATAAATAAAAAATATGAAATTAACAATAAAATGAAACTTAAAAATTAAATATATTTTATAACTACTTAATATTTATGAAGAAATTTACTTAAAGATAATTTTGAAAATTATTTTAATACTGTAATATTATTTTTTAAATATTTTTCATAAAATATTTTTTTAATAATTTTAATCAATATTTTGTTATATGTATCAAACCCCCTATTTATACTTTGGACCTTTCATAATCGAGGTTTGGCCTCACTTGCTTCATTTTATTTTTTCAATAATTATATTTTTTGTGATCACATTTCTTATGCATATTATATTGTAAGGCACCAAACATTACATTAATTTTTTAACTTTATTTCAAAAAGGAATGTTCATTTTTACATGAAGTATTAAATATTGGTTCAGTAATTTTCACTCCTCTCAACTCTGGACTGTGTCCAAACAGAGCCTCAACAGGTTTACGAGCCCCTGATCTTTCCAAGGACAAGAATTTGTATTCCAGGAGCTTGTCAATGAAGAAATGACTTTTTAATGAAAGCAAGCCGGTAATTCAACAGTTCACAACCAAGCCAAGGCTAAATTTTTATGTTGCTGCCAACTCCAAGTGATCTAATTGAATGCAAAAAGGACAAGATTCCTATTGGTTAACTCGTTAATTTAAGAGGAAAATTGCAGTCTTTTTGGACAGACAGGCAGATACCAAATCTCTTTCATGCTTATCCTTACTTTACGAGGCAACCATGGCCTTAAGTCAGTGGCCCATAAAAATATTTTCTTCCCACCTTTAGTTCAATGTGACACCTCATTTTCCAAAAGGAAATCCTGGATGTTACACCTTAATTAATTCTCATTTGCTCGCCAAGCCAAATGCCAATTTGTCAGGTCGGTCAGGGATCCGAGACCAAATCCAACCCCACTTCAACCAAATAAAAAAGATACCTTTAATCCAAAAACAGATAAAAAAGAAAGGAGGAAGAAAAATGATTAATCAATCAACCACCCAAAATAAATAAACGCTTAAATTCAACCCCATAAATAAAAATAATGGAACGTATATGTACCCCATTACATCAGAAGAAGCCAAAAGTTCAGACATGGACAACACGTTAGGCTGTTATATGAAATGATACACTTGGGGTTGGATCTCCCTTTTCATTTTCCACAAGTATATGTAATGTATGATAGTAGTAAAAATAATTATTGCAATTTATATATAAAAAAATTAAGAACTAAAAAAAAAAAGAAAAGAAAAAAGAAGCCAGAACTAGCTACAATGCAATGTAGATACAAAATGTTGAAGAATTGTCTCATCCATCAGGCTTTTCTACCCTTTGTGGAACTTTCATGCATGTGAACCGTATCAATGAATGTTGAGCCTGCAACCAAAGCAAAGCAACCATCTCCATCAAACAGTGAAACTCATCAATGAGAAAAGTTAATAGTACTAGTAGCATTTTTATTTATATTTCCTGATTTAAAGCCAATGATTTATATTAAAACAATGCCATATTCTTGACGTGATGCTCACTGCCAAAAGAAAGTATTATCTGGCTTTTGAACCAACTCTCCCCTCCACCCCAAGTTAAATGATCAACAAATTTTACTAATGCAAATCTAAATGGGATTGATTACTTGAACTTCTTTGTTCTTAAAGTCAAAGAAACACTAAATGACCAAAGTCATGTAGAGACAAAAGATCAATAGTTTCAGCCATTAAATTCCTCCAAGACCGTTAGGCAAAACATATACTTTGAAATTTTGGGTTTCTGTCCACTTGAACAAAAAGACAATCAGCATGAGATTAATATCATTAACTTTTAACTAATGGACTAGCAATTTCGATTCTGCTGTAATAAAAGGGCAAAATAAATATTTTGTTTCGATTAAAACAATGATAATTTTTTTAACGTTGTCTTACCATTTTAACATGTTGATGACGCACTTAGGCATGTCACCGCCGTCGAGCCGTTTCAGGGCGATTCCGTCACACTTAACGGTTACCCCAACCATACCAATCTTCAACCCCGCTACACCCAATCCAATTTTGGTCCGAGCCTCCATGTTCACTCGTAAACTCTTGCTTCGGTACCGAGCCTGAAGCCTAGTACCAACCCCGTCATCCACCAGCTTGTTGCTCACCTTTGTCTCCACTTTCAAACTCGTCGTGTTCTGTTTCCCCGTAGTGAACCCGTGAACTGTCGTCGTTCCCAACTCAGTCTCATCCCCACCCTCCCCAACGCTGACGTCAACCTCCGTATTGCCGTAATAATACGTCATCTTTGAGTTGGGGTTCTTCACTTCGACTCTCGTCGTCGTTTGTGCGTCGAGGTAGGTTCCATCAGATTTTTTGGTGACGTTAAAACGGGAGATCCGGAATGACTGGACGTGAAAACCGGGGAGTTTCGGGTCGAACCAAAGGTAGAAAACGGCGCCGCAAATGAGGAGGAGGAGAATGAGGATCAAAAAGAAGATGCAGAAACAGCAACAGCAAACGCGACAACAGCCACTCCTTCTTTTCCTGGGGTGGAAAGAAGGTGGGAGAACTGGTTTTCGTGGCGGTGGTCTAAACCCAGGCTTGACGGCCGGGGCGTTTGGGTCTTTGTATCCAGGTGGCTTTTGGAGAACCGGTTTCAAAGGAGGCTCGGACATTGCGTGGATAATAGAAGTATAAATATCCTGGGCTGCGAAAATGGAAAATTGAAATCACGGAATGAAGAAAGAAAGAGCTTCCTTTCGTAATCGACAAATTTGGGATAATTGAAAGAATTCAATGAACAAATATTATTTATGATGAACGACGGGAATTCGTGTATCTGCCATTTTAATGTGAAAATCGAAAAACAGAGCAACCAATAAGAAAGAAGGCAAAAGGTGAAGGGTCTAAAGAAACGTGAACGTGATATAAATTCAAGACTTGGGAATTGTAGAAACACGAACCTTATCAGAAATACGCCAACAAGGTTGCAATATCCAAGGAAAAGTGATGAATGAGTGAATTGAATGATACAGAGATCTGATGAGCTTTGTGGTGGAAGGGGGAACAGGAAAAAAAAAGGAGAATTTTTGTTTGTGATGCAAGGAATAAAGAATAAGAGCAGAAAGCGTAGAGAATCGGATCAGGGAGACAAAGTCATTGGAAATGTGACAGACAGACGAGAGAAGGAGCTAAAATTGCGAGAACAGGAGAGAGCAAAGAAAGAGAAAAAATAAAAGAGATGGGTGCGGAGAAGGGAGTTTTGTCCCTCACGGGAAGAAGGGGTTTGGCCTTTTGGGGGCTTTGGGTACGGGTGGCATGGATTCAGCTCGAAAGATTCACGCGCGGCGTCTTACATGCTGACATGGCTGGAAGTCTTTCGATATTTCTCTTTCTACTTTTGTCTTCTACCGCTTTCTTTTTTCAGTTACGGGACTGTATTTTGGTCTCTGCAATACTGGCTACAACGAATTCAACTCTATTTCTATCTCAAAAATATGCCGCCACCAAACTGTAAGTGAGCAGGTATTTGTACTGTTTTGAAAGACAATCCATGTGAATTTTATGTTTGTCATGTAACATACTCATTGTGCTCAGACAAATGTTTTAATATAAATTGGAAGTTCTTTTCACTGATGAGTTGTAAGTTCCTTAAACAATTCCTGGCATGTCGAATTGTTTTAGGCTATATTTGGTAAATGAAGGTAAATGAAAAGGAAATGATAACTTAATTAATTGCTATGCATTTTATTTCATAATTAGTAAATAATGTTACATTGTAAAATACAAACATTGTCGGCACATCAAGAATTTCGATTTCGCATGAATGAATAATAGTTATGATCCTAATCTTAAATCCTTCCCTTCATATTATCATTGAACTTGCAAGAGGGTCTGTTCCGGGATTGATGGTGGGGTTGGATGGAAGCGCATGTTCGTCCACGTGGGGCCGGAGCGTCCCAGCCGTTATCCACTAACTTCGTCGTTTTCAAAAACTCCACCGACGCACAAACCCCTATACGTCATTGCCACCGAATTCCCCTTCTCCCTTCGCGGTTAGGAGAAGCAACTTTTCCTGTCCATCCGTTGTAAACCAACCCTACTTCAGGCATAGAACCATACACAACATGTCCGGTACAACAGGGAATGTTCGGGTTTGTGCATTGTCTGAAACCTGAATGCCAGACAGCATGTAAGAGAGAAGAAAGTAATCTTTCACAGTCCAATCTTATTTACACAAACTTGTACTAGTAGAGGGGAGGGGGGGGGGGGGGGGGGGTGTTCAGTGTTGATGTAGTTAAAGCTTCATTGCCACTTGTGAATTGTAATTTGATGTTACTTCACACCTTCCCAGCGATTTTGGCTTTGATTATAATAGCCACGCAACAATCACGAAAGAAAAGAAAAAAGGGATGTGACGCGGATGCTTGACCAAAACCCTTGCGTCGATTCCAATAGTCTCGTGTGATTCGTGAAGCACCACGATCACACATTTTGGTTGCAGAAACTGCGCTCACATGTACAAATTGCATATAATTTCAATTAGAGAACAGTCTACACGTCGCTCTCAATAGGGCAAATAGATAGCCCCAAAGCCTTTTCTTAGTTTGAAGAATATTATCGTTAATTAGTCAGAGTTGGATGCTACAAAACTCAAAATCATGTCTATAAGTACTATCTTTAGATTTCCTCCCTATTTGTGGTCCAGTGAATGGTTTGCGGTAATATTTGTTGTTGGTTGAACTAAGAAACTTAGGCTATTTGTTTGTTGAGTGTAGCTAGCGAATGGTGACTCTGATGCGAGTAAAGTAGGAAGGGTTTATAATGGGAAAGGAAAGGCAACCCGTTGATGATTGTGATAGGTTACTCTACTCACGAAATTGTTGCATTATTGATCTTCCAGCTAAGAAATTATGGCTTATTTATGTCGTGTTTCTGTGGTTTGGTAGTACAAACCAATCGAGCTGGCTTATTTTTCTATGACTTTTGAATTATCATGTGAATCTTTTTATTTTTTGAGGAATAAGGTACTACCATATATTTCTCATATCATTTTATTCTGTCCAAATATAGGTTCCTACATGTAAAAACATTCAAAAAAAAAAAAGATTGCCTTGGTTGCTACTGGTTTTTCCCCATCTCCTTTATACATAATGTTCTACTTCTATAACTACATTTTCTTTTTTTTCCAAAGATCAATTTTTTTTTTTGTATTTCATGTTAATTTCACTTATTTTTTGCATTTAATTAAAAATGTAAAAAAAATAAAAAAATTAAATTAAGCATGCATTAATATATGCGAAAATACCATCATTAATTTATGAGCAATATGCAAGGAATCATTTTGTACGATTGTCCTAAAAACAAAAAAAAAAAACCAAAAGGCTCAATTTTTGCACATGCAAAATTACAAAACCAGGGCACCCGAACTCCGACCCATCATTCACGGGTTCAATAGAACACTAAGGGACCAATCAGAATTAAAACCATCCATGCCCAACCACAGCCGTTCGTTCATTTGTAGCTTTCATAAGGAGACCCCACATCTCTCCCCCGGATTAATATTTACAGTGATTAAAAAGGGATAGCTTTTACTGTAAAATTCTGTCTTTAACTGCAAATTAATGTACGTCCCTTCTCCTTAATTTATATTTTAACCGTATTTGTTTTCTTCAACGTTCGCCTCCACCCTTTATCTCTCTATAGCTCTTCCCTGTTTTTCTCTCTCTAGAGCTCTGTCCGTAGATCAGACACGATCCTCGGACTCTGTCGATGGCGTCGAAGCGGATCTTGAAGGAGCTCAAGGATCTCCAGAAAGATCCTCCTACTTCATGCAGCGCTGGTAACATCCTTTCTTCTCTCTCTTTTATTTTTTTCTTTTTTTTTATAAAACGTTTCCGTGATTTTTTTATGAAGCTTGATCTATACCCTTTTGTTAATACGGATGGCTGGTTGTTGATATATTTATAGATATATACTTTTATTATTCCTTCCGTTTATTTGTTTATGAGTAATTTTATGGTGTTCCTATGACAAACCGTGGTTAAAGATTCGTAGATAAAAAGCGCGGCTGAAATTAGAGAGATCAAAACCTGAAATCCTGATTCTTGTTGTATTTTTATGTGACAAAAATATATAGCAATTGAGTTGTTGTTTACCATGATAAGAAGGAATTTGGACCGCTTAAGCGAGTGGCAATAGTACATGAAGGATGGGTTATTTCTTTGCAAAATATAACCTTAGTTAGTCAACCTTTGTATATGTATAACAATCAATTCATGAGATTTTATATATCATTTGGTTGTACTTTTTATGATATGCACGCCGTGTTTCAAATGCTCTCCTGTTTCTTCTTCTAGCTTGATTGTGTTATGACCGTAGTTACCTGGTGTTTGGATTCGTGAATGGTATGTCTTTCCACAGTTGAAGTGTAGCCTCTTATGAAGTTTTGACTTAATGATGTATCTGGTAGGTTAAGGATGGCAGCATCAGGTGGTACTTTAAGGTTTTTTTGCTAAGATAAGATTTTTGGATGCTTAGTAGGGTATCAAACGGTTGATTATTATACCCTTTTTAGCATAGTCAATCTCTGTGTAATTGTTTTCTCATGCATCAATTTCTCTTGTGATTACTTACAAGTTCTTTATTTTATTACTATGAGTGTTTATTTCCTTAATCCTGTTTCTATTTTTTGAATACTTACAAGTTCTACTTTGAAGGATTAATGTATAGGATTTTTAGCTCAGAATATTGAAAATATGTATATTGAAGCCTGTAAAATGGCAAGATTCATGTTTGAGTTATGGGATGTGGTCCCAAAGGGTTCATATGTGGACACACTTTAGCTAGCAAATCGGTGATGGAAGATGTTCAAGGCGTTATTTTCTGTGTTTGAAGTTCCTTGTGTGTATTATTAATTTAGGATATTGGAATTTGAAGTTCTTGTTTCTCTTGATGGGATTCTTGGATGCAGTAACAAGAGCTTTATGTTCTTTCTGCTATGGGGTTATAGCATGATATATTGCTACGTATTCTATATGCTGACAGGTCCTGTAGCTGAAGACATGTTCCATTGGCAAGCCACAATAATGGGCCCCCCTGACAGCCCGTATTCTGGAGGTGTCTTTCTAGTGACAATTCATTTTCCTCCTGATTATCCTTTTAAACCACCTAAGGTAAGGGATAAATTCTAATCTCATTTATGTTTATTGCTTTTTTTAATGCTTATTTTGCAGTTACCTTTTACAACTTATTCATGCTTGAGTATCATGAACCATGCTTTACAGACATTATTGAGTCCATTCGTATATGTGATTTTATTCATAAGTGTAAATAAAGCAGCAGCTCACAACAAAGCAGTGTTTTTCCTTTTCTTTTTTTGTTTCTTTTTTATTGGGGTGGATGGGTTTGAGTGTTAGTAGAGCTATCAAATGAACTTTACTTAATCTGTTTTTGTTTCATTGTCTCCTCTCTTCTTCTGTTTCTTGCAGGTTGCATTTAGAACTAAGGTTTTTCACCCAAATATCAACAGCAATGGTAGTATATGCCTTGACATACTAAAGGAGCAGTGGAGTCCAGCCCTGACTATATCTAAGGTTTCAACTCTAAACAATCTTTTACAATCTAATGCCCAATAGTTTTGACTTTGTCCAAGATAAACATGTGTATTTGAAGGATGGGTAGACAGGATAGTGAATATTAGACAGGCTTATTGCTATTCAGCTGCTGTAAAAATTGAGGCCATGATATTTAACCAATATAGTTCCTTCTGAATGGAAAATTTCATCTTATCTGTTAAGCTTGTATGGCTGGGGAATTTGTCAACAATGACCTCTAATTTTGTCTATCAAAAATTCTTCCCAGCTCCTTGCTTGATGAAACACTGTTTGTAGGTTGAGAATCTCATTGGCAAATGCTGAGATGTGTTTTTAGCTGTGCAGGACAAAATTCCATGTGGGCTGTTCCCACCAAATTGTACATTTTCATTGCTCAACATTTAGCTTCCACCATGTGGTCATCTTTTGGTATTTAACTAAGGAAACTTCCCCCTAGATCAGCTTTGCATTTTTGGAACCTCTTTCTTTTTCTTTGGCTCTTTTTTTTTTTTTTGGTGGGTGGGTGGGTGGGTTCCAATATGTACATTCCATTCAATTAGTTAATCATTTCTGTATTTTAAGAGGGTGGGAAAGGCTCTTGTTTCCTCTTTCAGGTGTTGCTTTCTATCTGCTCCCTCTTGACCGACCCAAACCCTGATGATCCCCTGGTGCCGGAAATTGCTCATATGTACAAGACAGACAGGGCCAAGTATGAGTCAACTGCAAGGAGCTGGACCCAGAAGTACGCCATGGGCTAGTTTGATAATTGGTAAAAGCTTTTAGCATATTGCTCCGCACTACCCATTGTGTATAAATCAAGCGTGCATTTGTTGTCGTTGCTCCTGTAATAGACAAAGTTAAGAATAGATTATTACTTTTCAGCTTGCAAAGCTGGCAGATGTTCTAGGTGTTGTACTTGATATCTGGAACTGTTGTAAGATCAGCAGTTAATGTTGTTCAATATGTTTGTTTGTTCTGTTTTCTTGGGGACTAAGATCAAGCGCTTATATTGATGCTAGTTTCTGTTTTGTTCAGCATGAACTGATTCCTCTGTAACTTGGTGCTTATCACACTCTTCCGATTTCGATCCTATCACACTAACTCGTGCAGATCTGGCATTTAATGAACTGGTTCTGATTTGTGAATTCTTTGGTTTAAAAGCGTATAAACTCATCACTTCCGCCCACTCCTTCTCTTGATGATCGAACGTGGTAGGCCGTGAGGAGACAAGTGCAGCAGACCGAGCCGAAATAGTAACACACAAGGAAAGACAAATAAAATGACCAAAACAAGAAGGAAACAGAAAGCCCACTATGTACCGATCGTATGATGCTTGGGTCCATAAAAGACTGCTGGATTTGGAACTGATTATTTTTGGGGAACTTTCAACATATTTACCATTTCGCTCATTTTTTTTCTTTGTTGGAAAAAGCAAATGGTGGTTACATGTGTAACTTAGTCTAACTCTATAACGTAATGCTTGTATTCAACTGCTTGAATCTGATTGTAACAAGTAGTAAATATTTTTATTAGAAATATAAATATAATTATAAAAGTTTTATGAGCAATAATAAAAATGTACTAGTAATTTAGAAAGTCAATGTTGACCACTTTTCTGCCGCTCTGATATGCCAAACTTAGAAATTTAATTTCAGAGCACTCAAAAGGTCTTTTGACTTGACCCGAATAATTGCTCATTAGCCTACATCTACTTCGATTTGAGCCAAAAGAACAACGTAGCAGTACTTCTTCTTGTAAGGGACATCCCTCGTTCTACAAAGTCTTTAATTGTATGTAGCATTCCAACGTGATTTGGAACATTAATAATAATAATAATAACTGTCCCTCCTTATTTTTGTTGGTCTTTGAAAATTAAGTAATGGTCACGTGAAGCAAATGAGCAACGGTGACATGAACAAATGAGGGGAAAGGTCTTATCGTTTTCTACCTACCGACTTCTGCCACTAGATACAACGAATGTCCTGCTCTACCTTTCCTTGGCCCCAAGCCTCAGTTTCCCAGCCGTTTCCTTCTATTTTTATTTATTTCCTTAACCATCCAAATAACAAAAAAGGAAAGAAAAGAAACCCAGAGTTTGCAAATATCTCTAACTGCTAATCAAACTCTCTTGTCTTAGAATTAGAAGACCAATTGTTTCTACGTGCAAGAATCAATAAGGGATGCAATGCTTTTTAGACTTTAAAAATTTTCTGTTAATGGAATAAAACTGATTGTTTAGTCAATGGGCAGTTGAATTATGAGAATCTAAATAAAATATGGCCAACTTCTTATTTGCAGGAACAGAATAAAAATATACCTCCATTTTCTATTGACTGAATCTTTGTTTTATTCTTAGTCAACAACCACGATTGACAATAAATGGAAAGAACAGTGTAATTTCAGAGGCTAGGGAGATTTAATTTTCTTGATGCTTGATTACCAAGCAACTGTAGTTTTTTGCGCTCAGAAATGTAAACGGATTATTGTCATTAAAATTTTTTAATTAGTGGCATGATTATCGAAATTTAAAAGTGATTAGTCAAAAGTATTTAGCTGACGTGGCGTGACAGAATGATTCCACATACGTGTGCAACGGAAGTGGTTCTTCTCTCTCTCTCACGTGACGGATTTTCCCGAGTGAGCGTGAGGATCACTAATCTCACTCGCTGTGACCGTTAGTCAGGAGGCGGCAGCAAATTAACGTCATTATGGAGGAAAAGCATCCAATGCGGTGGGAGCGTAGCGCACACGTGGCCGCCGGAGGGTGGAACAGGTTTTTGTTACTTGGGGACCAAGTTGAATCGGAGAAAGAAGCAATTTGGAGGGAGGGCTTAGGACACGTGTCACTAACATAGGAGATGCGGCGAGTCGTTTGGGATCTCCGGTAGTCACCGGAATCTCCGGTTCGTAACTATCTCTAATTTTTATTTAATTCATTTATCTTAATTATTTAGTATAATTTTAAGAAGCAATTAAGATTTTTTTTAAATAAAAGTGACGAAAAATAAAATAAAAAAGGAAAATAAAGTAGTTTTTATTCAGGATACTCCTATAAAACAGCGATTCTCGGCATTTTGACTCTTCCTTGCAACTGAAACTCTCCTGTTTCTCTCCTCATTCTCTCTAGTCTCTCGCCCTTTACTTTCCAGCAAGGTTTTTCTTTGAAAAAATCGTTTCTTTACAGATTATTCTCTCTTTTAAAGAAAAAAAAAATCCCATCTTTGATGTAAAATATTGGAAAATGAATCCCGCGAGTTCGGTCCGAGTGAAATACACAGAGCAAAGAAGAGTTACCAACAAGTTAGTGAAGCCGTCGAGCAAGTGGTTTTCCATGGAGTCCAGTGCCAAAGCCCCTAGAATTGTCAGAATTTCTGTCACCGATGGCGATGCAACGGATTCTTCTAGCGACGAGAGCGAACATGAGAGAAATCATAGAGTGAAAAGGCATGTAAACGAAATCAGGATCGAAGATTGTTCCACATTCAATTTCTCCAAGTCAGCAAACAAGCAAAACAAGCAAACAAATAGTAAGTGCAATCCTGTTAATATCAGATCAAAGAAGCAGCAACACCAATGTTTGTCTACCGGGGTAAAGTACCGTGGGGTTCGGCAAAGGCCGTGGGGAAGATGGGCGGCTGAGATCAGGGATCCTACGAGTCGAACCAGGGTCTGGCTTGGGACTTATGACACTGCTGAGAAGCTGCCTTGGTTTATGACAGAGCAGCGATTCGAATCAAAGGCCCTGACGCTCTCACAAACTTTGTAAAGCCTCCTGTGAGACCTTCCTCACCGGAGATTGAACTTGAAACGATTTCCGGGTATGATTCTGGCCAAGAATCGCTGTCGCTCTGTTCACCTACTTCTGTTCTCAGATTTCAGTCCAATGAGGAAACCGAACTTCAAATCGAGTCCAAAGATGACTCTTTCGAGCTTACCGAAAGTGAGCGGAGACCTGTTCAGGAACGCCCGGAAGAACCAACTAACTTATCAGATGAGTATTTGTCAACAGATCCGGGGGCTTTATGTGATTATTTTGATTATGATAACATTGGGCCAATATTTTTCGATGAGATGAGGTTACCAGAAGAGAGAAATTTGGAACAAGATTATGCTGATATTTCTGTTAAATTAGATGTCGATTTTGGGTCTTGTACGTGGGATGTCGATAATTACTATTAAGATCAATGTAGTTTGCCCTGAAAAAACATTACCATGGAGTTGCAGCCCTGGAAATGTTCAGATGGTGCCCCTTTTTTGCTGGTAAATACTTTTGTCAAGCGGTAATTTGTGTGAATGTGATGGTAAATTCCGAGTGGAATTTTGGGTACATTTCCCGCAGTCTTTTACTTCCTTTCTACCACTTTCTAGGTCTGTTTCTCTACTACTACCACAGTGTGTAAAAGAAATGCCAAGTAAATATGTAAATTCTTGCTTCTTCCAAGGGTTCTTTTTCGTGTATGTGTTCCTCTTCTTTTGTGAATTGAATAGGTTCGGTGTGCGTTTCAATTGGTGTGGACGTGGTGCGTGTGCTAGGAAGCGTGCTTTGCGGTTATGGCTTTTATTCAAAAAAAGAGTATAATCTGATTATTTTTCCTTTGGTTTGTTCATTTCTTTGCTTTAGATCTTTTTCTTGTCTGTGTATTTGATGGGGTCGGTGAGCTATTTTTTCCTTCTTCTTCCTTTTAATTTTTAATGGAGCATTGGCTCGCGGGGACTCAAAAAGGCTGCCAAGTGAAGCTAAAGTCGGTTCCCGTGTTCCACGGTTCGCCACCTTAGACCCTTGTTAGCCATAAACTCTTTCTGGGTTTTTTTGTTAAGAGCCATTCTTTTTAAGAATGGCTTGCCGTCCAATTCCATGCCACTTGTTCCCCTGTTTGGTTTTCCTTGTGTCTTAAAAGCCTGTTGATCCAACGAGGAAAACAATATCATTACCTGTTGGAAATCTTACCACTTGATGCTCTGTAAATGTATAGTTACGTTTCTTTCACTCTCTATTTCTCGTGCTCTAATTTCACCATCGGTGTTAAAAAGTACGCGGTGAGCCATCTTGTTATGTAAAAATATTTGAAGAGAATAAGAGACACGTTTTGTTCCACATTAAGAGGCATTTCCGCGATGCTTTTGCCTTGGCTTCAGCCTTCACTCAGAAGAGTATTCAATTGACAAGGATATTTCATGAGACAACAGACACAAGTGCAAGTTAGCCATGGGATTCTCGTTTAGAGGACCCCAACTCCCCTTGACAAGGTTGGGCTTTGAATCCTTAGAACAATAAATGTGTCGACCCCGAAGAGATTGACTCGGTGGGATCTAATACACGATACTGTCCCTCTTTTGCCCCGTCCAAGGCTCGAGAAAAACCGTAAAAAAGTCTACGAAAACAGTACTGAAAAACACAAATCTTGGAAAGGGGTTGTCATAGAGCCATAGGCTATAGCTAGGCCCTGTCATTTCTTCCAGAAATCCCAAAACATGGCAGTTCACTTTTCAGGCGATATCCCGGCGTGCTTGAACCTCCGGCAATCAGGAGCGCCCTTTTTCAGTTCAGACAGTCAAAAAGTTTTACTACGAAAAAAAAAGTCGGTATCCTAATTTATACAATTGCAGGCTTTAAGGATTATGTAGTCATTTACAATAATAGCAGCGAACGTGATTTCAAAATCAAAGCTCCTTGGCTGCCTGCTGGCCTGTCCGTATCCAGACCCACTTGCAAGCTGCACGACTCTGGTTTCTGCAAGCCCAATCGTTGACTCTCTTCCTTGTGTGTTTATTGTTTTTCACTTCTCATTTTGGATGTATGGTAACAACGACAAACCATTACCAATGCATTGTTTTCATCTTTGACCTTGAAGACCTGGCCCCCACACCCCACTCTCTCTCAAGCAAAGTTTTCCAGAATTGGTATGTGCGGATTAACCTAGCTGGTAACGTCAAAAATCTTGAGTAAAATTTCATACTGGTCAAAGATTGAGAGATCAAGAAAAAGGAGTTCGATTCAGAAGTGGACAAAGGCATTTCAAAAAAGAAAAAACTTATCTTGCATATTCGATAATAGGTTTTTTAAATTTAACGAGTAAAATTAAGGGGTTGATGTGTATCTTCTCAAGATAAATTTGTAAAATTAATGATTAAATAAATACATGATAATATTTTAATCAGTTTGTAGAATTTAAAACTCTCATTATCGACATATATAGAATAATAATCAAAAAGCTTTTAAAAAAAATTCCCGACACGAGCAGTACTGACTTTGAAATTTGCTTGTCCATGGTCATCCTTAAATTATGGATCAAGACAATGTATGTAAAACCAAATAAAGATAGTGTTAAATGAAGACACTATTGGCATTTGGTTTTTGTCGGGTTACATAGTTTTTTTTCTTTCTTTGCATCTTCCAGTTCTACTCGCTCATTGAGGTCGACAGCTTTTGATTCTGGGAACTGGAAAGGTAAAAATCCAAAACCATACAACCAAAAGTTGGACAGACTGCAAAATGGTGGTGTAACTTAGCCAGATTTATCGACATGACACTTTCATATGAGACACATGAGGCATTACTAAACCAAACCTTTTTCGTGAATGTTCATATCATCACATTGACATGCGAAGATTGATGAATTTATGGAGTGATTGAGAGAGGATTTGGATCCTTTCCCAATTTAGGCAAAACTTGATGTATGCATTGTCATTGTATTTTTTTTTTCCTTTTCCCCCTTTTTCACTATCCTGGTACTACTACCGTACAAATGATACACCACATTGAAGTTTACGATAAACTGGTTACCATTTAGGCAAATAATTTTATGCAAGAAATTGAATTTTTGGCATGTTAATGGCAAGAGCCATGGAACCCAAATCCCTCGTATGAAGAAACATAGAAAAGAAAAGAGAAAAAGAGTTTAACTGTTAGCCTACAACTGCAAGTTGTGGCTTTTTGTCGGCTTGATGAGCTGCCCTACTCTGATACTGTCTCTCTATTCTTCATGCGAGCAGCAGTCAGAATTCAATTCAGTAAAAAGACTAAATAAAAGAGAAGTGAGAATACCCTATATCTGGTGGAGCCAGGATAGGCAACAGCTGCATGCAAAGGCGTTGCAACTTGCAAACTGCAAGGCACGTTGTGCTTCAGATCCAGCTCAGCTTCTTTGGGTGTATTTATTTGTGTTGACGTAGAAGTCAAAATAGTTTATGTCTGATGCAAAGTCAGATTACAGAGGCAGAAAAAAGTTAGAGAAGAAATTAGAATTGAAAAATCCTGATAGGAATGGCCTTCAATCTTCATGCAACGTGCCGCACAGTTTTGAGGCACAGTGCATTCAAACCTACAGATGGAAAACAACAGCTAGCCCTCGGAAAGTAAAAGGACAAGATTGGATGATAGGAAAGTGAAAAATATAAGGATAATACTATTGTTCATAAAGGGGAAAAACGTTGAATTTATTTCGAAATTATATTACCAGTTGTTGGTATCAAGAAGAAGACTGATCATTGATGTCTTTTTGACTCATCTCATCACGTGAATAGCAAGTGGTCATCAGCCCTTTCGGTCTCAAGCTTACTGGGCTCGAGCCCACCTGAACATTTGCTGTGTTAAAGTATTGCAAACATGTTCTAGAGGAACACACGTTGGCCCACAAAATCTCTGTTGCATCACATGGGAAAAAATCAAAGCAGTGAGCCCAAAGGCAAATCTAATCTCTATCTCAGGCTACGTAAAGTGGAGATCAGATAAAATCTCACCCCTTCATCACGTCGAATTTTAATTTTGTGAAGTCAAACAAGTAGGACCCACTGAGTTCCATTTCACCCACCTCCTTCCTTTGAAATATCAGAAACTTTAAAGCTTGTGTGAAAATTTGGGGTGATGGGGAATCACTCTTGTGGGTCCTAGATTTTATTGTTCCCATTTGACGACTTTCAATTTTTAAATGCAACTTTTTAGGAAATTTTTATTGTAATTTTTTTTATTATAAAAATGGGAAAATTTAGGATTAAGGGAAATCAGCTGTAGTAAGCATTTCAACCCACGTGGGTTTATGGTCAATGGACCCATATTGCATGCTGTTTTCTCTCTTCTTCTCTAAGTTCTAATCTCATAAAAACTAAAAAAAAAAGAAGAAAAGTTGAGACGTTGCTGATGTCTTCCCTCTTTCACTGATTTTGATGGCTAACCAATGGGATTCCATTATTTGGTCAAATGTCAAGTTGTTAATAGTTAATATTGTAGTAAATGAGAACTACAATCAATTATGTAAAGAGATAAGGATTACGAAATCTAAACTGCAATGGATTATCTGATTTGTTTATTCTTTGTGGTTTGTGGATGTGCTCTTGGGCTAGCTAGTTTAACAGTGATTATCATATTCATGGCGGCTTCTCACTGATAGCAATTTGTATTGTATGTCGTTTGCCTCTGCAAAGAGCCAAACCACTGTACATTAAATGATAACCAAATCAATAATACGATTGATTCAGACTTCATGGTCTTCCAATTCCCTGGCAGAGAACTCATAGACAGCTAAAAGGCAAAAGAAAGTGCTACGCTTATTTTCTGCGGTGGACTTTGCTCGACTGAAAATGGTTTCTACTGACCACGTTTAAGGATTGGTAGCCCGACTGACCCTGGCCCGTGATTAATTATGTGTTAATTGAAAGAGCCTCCAAACGGGCTGGCTCTGTTTTTATGAACCCCACATAAATTGCTTAACAAGACTGGTGATCTGGTATATCTAACTTTTTTCAACATTATACAATCACATGGGACCTTGGGTTCCTGGGTTTTTTTTTTTTTCCGGGGAAAATCATATCATGGATTAACATCTTGTATGGCATGGTCCTTTTTAAAATTTTCTATTTCATTTGCTTGAGTGCAATGCTATCATTGCACATACATGGTCGGACGGTCCATGGAGCTTCTGACGTGGTAATGCCATGGATCCTCCATCAATTAAGGAACATAAGCATGGGAATATATGACATGCAAGGCATATATATGCATGATTGCATGTGATGAGAGTGAGACTGTGGGGTTCGAACAGCTAAGCTTCTCAGTTCCAAACAAAACTTCCCTTTAAAGCAAACACACCCAGAGAAAGAAAGAAAGAAAAGAAAGTAAAAGAAGCCAAAATGATTTTGTCCAAACAGCTGATTGCAAAACCATTACTAAGTGGAGGCCTACCTTCCATTCCATAATATTCCAAATTGTCCCTCAAGCTTTCCACCACAGCCAAGAAAAGAAAGGCTGGAAAAATTTGAAAAGAATTGACAGTAAATTGTGAAAAGCAACAAAACCAACAGAATAAAGTCATGGGCTTTCAAAAGTTATAATACAGGAGTGTGTCGATTGATGGGTTATGTTTCCCACCGATGGAGTTGAATAACAAGAAACTGCAGACCCTCATTGAGAGGGCATGGGCTTTGCATGACAGGTTGAACGATGAAATCGAGAACAGTATCAGCTTCTGCAGGTTCTGTTCAGACCATGGTCGCTATTGTGATGTTGGGCAGACCCCATTTGAGGAGAGGGAGAGATTGATTGCCATCAGAGATTCATTGAAGGAAGTTGAGAACACGCTTTTGCATCTGCAGGTACCCTACTTCCTGTCTCCTCTTTAATTCGCTAGGCTGTCTGGAAAAATCCTGGGAAGCTGCAAGTTGCCCTGGATTTTCATATTGTCTTTTCCAGTCTGAGATAGGTCAGCAGATAGAGTCCAAGCCCTTTGATCTGAATGTAATTGCAATTGCAGAAATGTGCTTCTTTGGCATAACTTTTTGCCGGAGATCTGAAAATGCAGGACAGACATATATAAGAAATAGCATTAAGCATAGTCAATTAATCCTTGAATCTCGCATGATGAAAATATTCTTAATATTTCATTTAAAACAATTTGAATTACAAGTTTTAAACGCTCTAGCTTCTGGTCTCTGTTCTTAATGGAATGATGAAATTCAAGTAGTAGGTTCATATAGGCTGATAGGCAAAAGATTTAAGAATAACAAATGATTTCAAAGTTTATTATTCCGTTACCTTTTGGTTGATATCTTAATTTGTGTGTAAACCTGTTGAGTAGAATTAGAATATTCAACCTGACTTTTAGAGGTTTTGCTGTAATTTGATCTGCTTAGAAGTTAATACTAACCTCAGTTTCTTAATTATCAAATATAGCATTAACCCTGGGAAACTTATGTTCAAAATTCTGCCCATTTCCTGTGGGAAAATTATATTAACAATCATAGCTATCTACATGCAGAAGTTGCAGTCTTGGCGGCTGGTAGATAGACATTCAGCTCTCACAAGTTTGGAGCAAAGCAGATTATTTCTCATAAAACAAGTAACACAATATCAAGGAAGACCCCTGGATGTGGTGAGAGAGTTGAACGCTTGTTTTGGCAATGACGACAGAGCTGCGTTTGACAGGAATGTGGAAGAACTTACTGTGAAGAAAAATGGGGTTCAAAGCAGGAGCAGAAGAAGGCTTTCCAGTTTTCTCATTTGTTGCATCAGATTTTTGTTCAACCCTTGGAAGTGGCAGAGTGCTGTTGGAATTGCAATAAAATTAATCCTGATCTCAGCCAGCCTCTCAACCACAATTCAATTCTATCATGCCAAGCATCAATCTTGCAATTCACAAAAGAAAATTGTTTCCACTATCATGTATTCAAAAGAAGCAGAAAACATAGATTCTTTACTAACTATCTCAAAGAGCCCTCTGGATGTCTTTTGTGGCAGGGGATGATTCTTACACCATAATATATGAAATCACAACTCAATTTTTTCACAAAATGTTTCCCCCTCTTCTTCATTGTCTCTGTACCACATGCATGCATGCCATCCACTTGACATCGTCAATTCAAGTAACATCATGGAAAAACACGCTGGAATTAGAAAGTGTTTTCTAGCTGTATTTATATTGCAGATTCAAGTAGTTGGGCTTTCCTTTCTGACTATGGAGATGCATATTCAATGTTCAACTAAGGTAATTTATGGAACCATAACTTTCCATGTTTCCTTAGGACGATTCCTATTCATAGCGGTTAATGAATCCTTTGCAACTTTGGGGTAGACATTATTTTAATATGTGGTCCAGCTTAATTTATTAGATTCACACGTATTTTGTTTACTGTTAAAGGTTATATTACGTGAAACAGCCAATCTCCATTAGCGTGCAACTGCAAATCCTCCTCGAGAAATTGACTTCTTGACCGTTGGTTCAAGACTAACTGCCGAGAACCGGGAAGATTCTTATATGGGGTCGATTTGAGATTAGCCCAAGCCCAAAACACATCCGAAAAGAAAATCCGACACTTCGGTTTGGCCCAGTCATATTAAATTGGGCCAATGGAAAATAAATAAATAAATAAATAAAGAGAAGGAAGAAGTGGCAGTCTTCACCTTTGCGAACGGCCAGCAGAACCAATTGGTTGGCGCTCTTAATTCCACGCCACGAATCGCATTGCTTCCTCGCCTCTTTCCCATGCAAAAATCGTCGAATAATTTAAAGGAAAGCTCTAGAAGAAAATTGTGAAGAATAATCTGTCCCATAAAATCGTTTCAAGTTCCCCACGTTTCATGTAACTTTCTATTTTGGTTCTTTCTTCCTGCAACACGACTCGAAGATCAACAAGCAATCCCAGCTGGAGAGTGCGGATGGTAACCTCGAGACAGGGGCTGCCTTCATGGATAAGCGCCGCAGCGGCGACCCGAGTTGATATCGACGGAAACGTTGAGAATATGATAAAAGACGGCCACGGCGATTCTACAAGCCAACCGCAAAGCCAAAAGTCGTCAAAAGCTGTAACTGACGTGGATTTGAGCTTCGGAGAGAGGGCTTTCTCTGCCGCCGGCGCCGCTTTTCTCTCTGCCATCATCGTCAATCCTCTCGATGTAGCCAAGGTATCTGATTTTACTTTTATAGAAAGTTTGGTTCCTTTTTATACATTGAGATTCATTAATTCTTTAAAGGCATTTTTTTCTGTTTCTCTTTTAATCAAAATTCTGTCAGAAGATATCTTGAAATGTTTAATTCTCTAAATTAATATCTCCATAGAATCCTAAGAGTTATTGTTTCTGGGTAACATCCAGACAAGGTTGCAAGCGCAGGCTGCTGGAGTTCCATACCAGACATGCTTTGAAACTAACATGGTAAGAATCAATTTAATTGGTTTCCTTCATCTCATGGTCAATTTATTCCCCTGTTTTAAACATTAATGATTTATTTGATTCTTTAATCTATCCTCTGCTAAATGCATTTTAACTTTACCTTCGAATTTTTTTTTGTTTTTCTCCTCTGCTCTTCTGTTTTAGTTGTTTCCAGAATTGAAAAGTTCTCAATCATGTGCACGTTCAGTTCTTGGCTCTGAACCAGTATGTCCCCCTGAATGTAGTCGGTACAAAGGGACACTCGATGTTTTTCACAAAGTCATTCGACAGGTTGGTGGTTTTTCTGTATTAGACTTGTTCTTGATGTTTGATGCTGTAATGGCAATTCTTTTCAAAAATAATAAGGTTTTGATGGTATATTTTTAATTTCTTCAATTAAATTGGTAAAAGTAACTCTATTAGACCCAGCTGATGGCTAACAGAAGGGTATAGGGGAGGAAAAAGGAAGTTAATTGCAAGAACAAGTTCATGTCCCTAAGCACAATGATGGACATTTTCATTATATATTTATAAATGCATTATACTCTCTTTAACATACAATACATTTGTATTGTTGCAAACCTTTGCATATCAATGGACCAATTACTTATTGTTGGAGGTTCACAGGAGTGAATTTGTGCAGGAAGGATTTGCCAGACTGTGGAGAGGAACTAATGCAAGCTTAGCATTGGCTGTGCCAACTGTAAGTCTCTCCCTCTTATAAAAGTTCCCCTTTCAATTCATATGGCTGCATTTGATGTTTTTATCCTTTGCATCAGTGTGATGAAGCATTTTTATGTACTTCTTTTCTGTCAGTTTTTGGTTCATGGGCTTTGTTCTTTTGTTGTCAATCAGGTTGGCATCTACATGCCTTGTTATGACATTTTCCGCAATTCTATCGAAGAATTCACAACTAATAATGCTCCAACCTTGACCCCATATGTCCCATTAGTTGCAGGCATATTTGCACGTTCTTTAGCTTGTGTAACTTGTTATCCTGTTGAACTGGCAAGGACCCGCATGCAGGTATAAGATGTTGTGTACCTTTTCTAATCTAACTGGGGATTGCTATAATACTTCTTAATTGTTATACTCTGCAGGACTTGAGTAGTTAAGTTGATGAAATTCAATTTTATCATTCTGACTTTATTTTTAATACCAGGCATTTAAAGAAACTCAAAGTGGTGTGAAGCCTCCAGGAGTATGGAAGACATTGGTTGGAGTCATCAACCCAGTGATGAGCACAAACTACATTCAGAACTGTAAGTTAATAATTGAATCGACAGCTGTTCAATTGATTACTGTCTCCCTCTCTCTCAGAAACAATATCTTTTTGATGTTGCACAAGAAATCAGACTGTAAATGAGAAAGTTTGATTAAACTAAGCTTCCAGAGATGGTCATTATTGCTGACATATGCTTCATAACAGTACAAAGCTACCGCATTTTATGGACTGGCCTTAGCGCACAACTTGCTCGTGATGTTCCTTTCTCTGGAATTTGTTGGTCAACACTTGAGCCGGTGAGACTTCAGTTCCTTAATTCTTAAGAAGGATAAGTTTTGATATTTTCAGATATGTTTGATGCTAGCTAATCTGTTCAACTTAATGCTGGTTTCTTTTGCCCTTTCCAGATAAGGAGAAAATTGCTTGTTTTGATGGGTGATGAAGCTGGTGTAGGTAGAATCCTTGGGGCTAATTTCACTGCTGGTTTTGTGGCAGGCAGCATTGCAGCTGCTGTTACCTGTCCATTAGATGTTGCCAAGACCCGGAGCCAGATAGAGGTCTCTGCTTTCTGGTTAAGCTTTGCTAGATATGCATTTAAATTCAGTTAGGATAGGATGAACAGCACAGAACAACCCTACCTCCTATGCCCCTTTCTCCCTCCCCCAAATGCACTTGCCCATGAATGCACACACACAGACACCCTAAAGTGAGGTAGTTAGTTTCCCATAAGACAATAAGGATTATATTTGACCATCATTTGCTAGTATGTGACCATGAGAGCTCAAGTATTTCCAGAAAGTGAGCTAACTTGATTTCAGATATTTGCTTTGGATGACTGCATTTTGGTCCTAAATCTTTCTTTCTTGATTTCCAGAAAGATCCCACCAAGGCATTAAAGATGACTACAAGACAAACTTTGCTGGAAATTTGGAGGTACGAAGCATTCTTTTGTTTATTCCTATTCCTTGAAGGTATATCGCTGTTGCTTTCTTCTAGTGCTTCTCAGTGATTTAGAGCCATTAATGCTGTAGAACGCATACTAACAGATCTTCTGGTAAATGACTAAGCTAATGTCATCCTAGGTCCTTGCTAAAAACCATCATAGTTTAAAGACTCCAGTGGGGTCATCTAAAGGGACAAGCACTAGCATCAGATGAGCGATTATACTATCATAGAGTTTATTCTTTAGCAGTAGTGTCTGTGTCTCAGGCTAATTTTTTAGGTAATGCCCATTGCTCTAACTTGTAGTCAATTGCCTAACATATTAGGTTTGCTCATGTGCGGACCTGCAAAGGTCACTCAAGGTGGGAAATCTGTCAATTGTTATGAGCTGGTTGAGGTTACCCTTAATAATCACTTTCGTTAATTACTCATGTGTGCCAAACTGTCATTTGTAACAGGGATGGAGGGATGAAGGGACTGTTCACCGGGCTTGGTCCTCGTGTTGGCCGTGCTGGTCCTTCTGTGGGGATCGTTGTTTCCTTTTATGAAGTTGTCAAGTACGCTTTGCATTACAGACACGAAGATTTTGAGTGAAACTTGGATTCGTGCCAGCTATTGTTGATTTGATGTTCCAAGTATAGTCGCCTGACTCGACGATGTAGAGAGAGGAAGAATAACGCACACGTGTGGTCCTCCAACCAAAAATCTATCATGTTGCTCAAAAAGACTCTCAAGAGGCAACATTTCGACAATAATTCCAGGACCTGGAAACGCCAGGCTGTATCACTCCAATTCTTTTCTCATAATGGAAGCCCGATTCATCGTTGCAAGTTGCAAGTTGCAACACAAAGCCTCTTTGTAGGGGAATATTTGCAATCTTTTTGCAAGTAAAGTTTATTTCGATGGCAACTATTTACAACCACTTAGTAATGGTAAGCACAAGTGTCTCTCATCCCTGAACGAATGGTTTAATTCATTGTTTTTTGTAGTCAGTTTCACAAAAACAGAACACCATTTAAAAAGAAACAGGCACATAAAGAGATGAACAGGAAAACGAAGAGCATTCCAAGGGATAGGGGAAGTAAATTAAGGAATCAAGGAGTAGGATAAAGAAAATGATAACAAGAAATAAAGTCGGCTACCAGAAAACAAAATTAACCAATAAATCTCTCATAACAAATGCAAACCACCATCCATCACCAAAGAAAAAAATAAACAACTTAATATACTTATCCACATAGCAATTGCTATTGCAATCCTGATCTAAATGAATCTCTCAAGCCCTAAGAATAATTTAAAAGAAGCTGTAGGAAGATGCGTCTAGAGGGTGGATGAGGTATGTAAGAACCAGTGCCACAAGCATCAGCACGTAAGCAATCCCTTGGTCAATTGAAGTCCCTGCCCACAATAAATGGAAATGTGAGTTTAGGAGCTTCCATCAGCATCTTAATACAAAGCCACACACAATTAGCCTACAATTTTTCCAGAGGCTAAACACGGTAATATCTACCCCTACTACCAGAGCATAAGATTTTTTGCACCGGGAAAGACAGAAGTCAGAACATTATTGAGACACTGTTCCAAGGGGGTCTAATGCATTTGCAAGAAACGACTTGAGCTACCCTCTACCACCCCACAAGACCAAACAGACGAAGAAATCAATGCCTTCAAGGAAGGTTACCACGAAATTGAAGGAGACAAAAGAAAAATGAAAACCAGTATTCTACGTGAGAAAAGCAAAACAAAAATTTTGGCAATGCCTCGGTACGAATAGAACTGTGAAGAAGGCAGTTTTCAACATTACTACAGATCTAAAGAAGAGAACTTTTTCTTCAGACCAATTCAGGAAGGAAGCAAAGAAAACAGATCTAAAGACACAAAAAGAGCATGTTACAAATAATAATAATAAAAAAAAGATGAGAAGTTACCATCACTAGTAGGAGAAGGAGCTGGAGCAGCGGACTGAGCCTCAACATAGGGTGACACAATGGCAAAAACCAGAACAAAGATAGCCGCAACACCCACAAAAGCCCTGGAAGAAATCACCGCCATTTTCCCTTCTCTTAAAACCAACAAACTCTGAATAAGCCCTCTGGAAACTATTAGCCCAACGGACAATGTCAGAGCTCTAAAGAGAAATGAAGTCGAAGAAGACCCAGGACGAGAAACAGATTCAAGAAAGTTGAGCGGAGCAATTCTGCAGAGAAAGACGGGGTTTAAATAAGGAGGTTGAGGCCATTATAGGGTGTAACAAGTTATATTGTAAGCAGTAAAATGGGTGAGTTTCGGGAGTGGGTCCAGGCTGATTATCATTATTAGGTAAGTGTTGATTACAATGCCATGTGATAAGGTTTTCCCTTTCAGATTTCTTTAGCCTTTTGTAAAGTTGTTGCCCAGTCATTTTTTCTCTTTACCTACTCAGCTCTTTTAAACGGCTAACTTTTTGTATCATTGTTGCATCAAATAAATACTGATATCATTCTGGTATCAGATTTGTTATAAATTTTGTTATCTAAATCTAGTTTGAATTCCAAGAGAATCATAATATTTCAATCTCGATTTAAAATGAGATTTCTAAATCATATTAAAGTTTCATACAGATTCTGTTATTTATTTATTTATTTATTTTTTGACCTTTACCACGTTTGCCTTTGTCTTTTGTTTCCTGTTCCTGGCCGTTGTTGCCTCCTGGCGTTGCTACCGTCGTTATCAACCTTGCTGCCAATTGGTGATTGAGTGGGGACGCAATTTGAAAATTCGAAATTCAAAAATGGTTTATTTCTTTATTTTTATTTTTATTTTTAATTTACAAATATAATTGGCAAAGGAATGATGAATGAAAAAACAGAATACAAAATGTTATCGCCCTTGGATACCCTTTAGCTGCCAAATTTTTCAACATTATTTGACAGCAAAATAACAAATGCAACATGGGATGCTAGCCTATTACAGGCATCTCCTTTTTTAAGTCCAGGAGCTTGTTTCTCCTTATATATCTTACATATTGACCAGCTGAAATCTACTTTTTCATCTCTCTGCCACATGAACCAATTCTTTGAATTCCTTGCAATATGTGGAAGACATAAGGTCGTGCATAAAAAAAGCAAGAATTCACTTAAAAAGTTGGAAAGCTAATGTTGATGCATGGTTTTGCTAACACATGCCTCACATCCATCCACATGCGGGGAAGCACTTCCCATGTGTAATAAACTACTAATTCCAAATGAACCTAAATTCCTAACATTATATAGAAATAATCAACATGAAAATCCCTAGGACCTTGAAGATAAATTGACAGCAACAGAAGATTCTTTTCAGAAAATCATGAAAATTTTGAAAAACCAAGAAATAAAAAAAGAAGAAAACAGCAAAATATGGATGGGACCATAAGAGCATATTGACACAAATGGGAGCACATGCTATGTTGATACCATGCACATGGATGATAACATTAGAATCATAGTTCAGTCAAACGATTTTAAATGCTCACAAAATCTTTAGCCCCGTAACCGTTGAACTGATAAAAAGGATAAAACGTGAACTACCACACAACTCTCAAGAAATCTGGGGCCAGAAATCTGGCAAATCTGGCCGCACTGTGTTTTCCCCTTTCTGCACATTCTGGCCACACCATAACATTAACTAGAATGACAAATAATATGCAAAAAATAAACAAAAAAGGTAAAGAGAATACTACGAATGATAAATATCTAGGTGATTGGCAATTTGTGAGAAGGTTTACTAATTTCAAAGTATTTTGGAATAGTGATATAACTTATAAAATTTACATAATTACCAAATTATATGTTTTATCTTCAAAAATAGTATTTTTAGCTTACGTACTTTCAATATATAATATGAATTTTGTCTTCTCATTATTTTCACTCCTACCATTTTATCTTCGAATTGGGGCTTTCCCCACTAATTAAATTTGGTTGTATACTCATCAATGCATGTTACAACCCGTGAGGAAAGGCATAGAAGTGAGAAAAGTTAGTAAAAGATCTGTCCAATCCGATCAAGGAAAATGGACTGCACAGGTGTAATTCTAGTTTGAATAAGATCCCAGAGTTGATAGATCAAAACCCGCAAACCAATTACCAAATTACAAGCCACTAAATAATCCACCAAACAAAAACAACTCTCTTTTTTCTGTTCTGTTCTGTTAAATACAAAAATAACTCAAGTACAGATACACATGGATTTTTTCATTTTTTATTTACAATCCAATCTCCAGAATGCTCCTAATATTAATGTGGTATCCTGCAAGGAACAAATTCCGAGCAAGTGACCTTTATAATTTTTGGAAAATAAAAAATGCATGGACAGGTGCACATGTACATTGCATTAACTAATGAAGGAACCAATGGAGTATAAGGACATAAAGGCCTCTTCTAAACGACAATGTAAATGCCAATTACCAAAATAATATAAAATTAATTAGAAAAAAAAAGGGAGGGGAGGGGGGGTGGAGAGAGAGATATTATTCTTCCATCCTCACTTGAGAATCACATCAAAACCTAAGGCAATTGAATGACTGCAGATTCTATATCAGCTGGAGAATGTGTTCGAATCTAACAGACTCCGGCACAAGTTGCTCCATGGAGTTGAAAAACTTATGGAAACAAAGACGATGTAGCTTTAAGAGCATGAAAGCTAAACCTACAATGATTTACTACTCTTTTGTCCAATATAAATAACTGTGAACTCAACCTTACCAAAGAAAAAACATGGTTGTGGCCAACTTTTTGTTCACACTGCCAATTTTGGATCCAGCGTTCCTGAGGCATTTTCTTCTCCAGTTAAACTGTGGTCAGGATCCTGCATATCACATATTCATCAGTGACAACCAAAGGGCGCTCAAAATTGGAGAAGTTAGGGCCAGCAAGGTATATACCTCCATTCCCCATTTGATGTAATCTGGTGACTCACAGGCCTTGTATTCATCAACCAAACTTTCAATTATGTCCCTTGATTCATCAAACTCTGACAGATCATTATCCTGTTCACATCTAACAATAATTAGGATACTATATATCAATTTAATGCAATTGCAAAATATTGTTTAATTTTGTCGTTGCACTTTTTGTTTTTGTAAGCAGAAGACATGTGGCCAAAGTAACAAACAAATAGTGCTAAATATATTATTCGAGGAATACACATCTTTTAACCAACCTAAAGAAGTAAAACAAGTCCATGCGTGCAGGCTTACAATTACACATGTGCATGTAAATAGGTAAGCAGACATGTATATGCACAAAACTCATGCATGCAGGTGTGTGCATACATGTTCATAAAAATAGATGCAAAAGCATGGTGGCAGCAACAGAAAAATTTGAAACTGTAACTGAAATAAAACTACAAGAGCCCAAAAGCTTGTAACTCACAGCAAACATAGGGAACTTCCGATAATTGTCAAGAAATGCTTGCTTCTTTCTCAACTTCTCATACTGGCTCAAACATTTGCTGAAGAGGTGTCGGATACTGGTATGACTTGCTAGCATAAGACCACTCACCTGATCAATGCAACATTCACTTCTTCATTCTCTCAAATTTTTTCAATTATTTTTCCAACAAATGGAGGACCACATTATAGGGAGATAGCAAAATCATGCTGAAGGTCACAGTTGTTCTTAATTCAGAGAATATATTGTCAATTCCTCTGTAATACAGGCAAAATAAGCAATCTAAACTCTAAAGACAAGAATTAGAGTTGTACCCTATGAGCAGTTTGGACATATGGGGACTTTCTAGAAAGAGCAACCTACAAAAGCACCAAAAGAACAACCAGATGATGTAAGTTCAGATATCATAAGGAAAAGAATTGACCAAATTGATGACAACTGCTTCTATGATCAAGAGACCTGAATGCTTGCAGGACCCCACTCAATAAAATTTACAAGCTTTCTTTCACGAATCCTCTGTAGACTTTCATGCACCTGTTAAAAAACAGGGGAAATTATTTAACAAGCATTAGCAGCTTAAACCAGTAAGAACAGATGATACAAGCAAATTCCCAGGAAAAATAAGGTCTGCACAACTTACTATTGAATTTCACACATCATAACCATTAACAAGCAATCAAATTAAAGTTATATATACCTGTCTTTCAATAAAAATAATAAAGAACGCACAAGGAATATAGGTGACCCTACATGTTGGATGTTTAACTGCCAAACGATTTGAAGCCACGACACTGCCGATAACTTTTCTTTTTCTTTCAAGTGCGAAAATATAGTCCCAAGAAATCAGGGTTGGATTTCCATAAATGAGCAACAAGGCTCTTGCTCACAGCCTATACTAGAAGAATTTAAGTTGATGTGCTGACTAGGAGAACCATTGCAGTCATCTAATCAATATCAGTGCTCTGAATTTTCAAGGGGAGAAAAGGGGTGTTGGCTAAAATCACACACTCAGCCACCTTGAGAAGAGAAAATTAGCTAAGAGAACACATAAAATGCCCAACATCACTTTAAAGAAAACAAAGCAACTGCACCATCATAAAACTTTTGGCACGACAGTTGCTAGAAGGACAAGCAAGATGTTTGATAATCTAGAGAAAGAAAAAAAAAATTGCATGCATTCACAGGCAAAATCTTTGAACTACTACCAACCTTAAGATAATTCCTCTTCTTTGCACAAAGATATATCTAAAACTGCTAAAGAATGCAAATGTTTAAGTAATGGCCCAAGTCAACAAAAAAGTAATCAAGTGCATTCTTAAGAATAAAGAAAAATATTTTGTTGCTTGCTTAGACAAAATTTGAATGTGAACCTGAGTGGTGTATTTCTTGTAAAAATTATAGCATTCCCATAAAAATTAATTTACAATACCTGAGTAGGATCTACTTCTCCTTGAATGATATTAAGTATTGAGATATACTTTGCTTGACTAGCTTCTTTTGTGCGTGCATAAGAGGAAACCATAATATTTTTTGTCTGCAAGGGATCTTACAGTCAGAAAATTGCAACCTGATTTGTCAAAAAAATTACGAGCTACATATCTCACCTGGAGAAGTCTTCTCATAACATCAAGAACAGTAGTTTTCCGAATCACATTAGCCTGCCAAGAAGTAATACATTGGCATCAAACAGCACCGAAAAATTCTTCTTTACAGGAATAACAAGACTAACACCACTTATCTAGGACTGATATGCGATTCTGAAATGTCATTTTTGACAAAAATAAAACATATAGAATGAGAAAGTGTCAGCTCTGATCACTCTCAACTTGGAGAGCTTTCCCTTCGGGTGTCGGATGAGGGAGGATGTTTTGTGTTAGTCCTTCACTAGTACAACTAATAACTTGACTGACTAGGCATAAAGGTCAAAACATGACAACAAGAACCTTCATTTTCCTCCCATTCTAGCATTGATGGTGAATACATGTGAAAATGAGTCAATAGAGACAGTAAAAGGCACAATGATGAAGAAAGTTTTAGATCCATAAGAATAACACGTACTAGTCTTGGAAGTTAAAGTAGCTGCATTTTAATTGTTACTGCAATTTTGATAGTTAAAGCTAAGCTCTATGATGTGAGATAAGAAGAATGCTCATCTTCTTGTAAGACAAACAATAAAAGAAATTTGCTGAAACAATTGTATATGATCATTACTTCAGTAATAAACTCAGTAAATATTCCAAAATTTGCAAGTTCCTTTTCCTGAACCGTTTAGTATCCATCTTGCTCTATACCTGACTTAATAGAAGCGCTTGGATTTTGGCAAATATGGAGCTTCCTCTCGGTCTATAAGGGAAGTCATCAGCTTTGCATAAATTCACAACATTGGGTACACTACATCCTCCTCTCCCCACCCTTCTTTTTCACCCCAAACATTATGAAAACAATAAGCACACCAATTGAAGACGCAATTGTCTACAGGCTCACTTAATTCTTGAAAACGAAAAAGAAGCAATTGACCAGGAATCATAATCAACTACAAAGCTACAAGTACTAACCAGACAACATGAGTATTGGACTGACCTGGCGCTCCACTGTAAGTGGTGTGTAACCTGTCATAAGAAAATGACATCTTGGTGTTGGAATTAAAGAGGCAAGAAGACCAACCAAATCATTGTTCATGTATCCTGGATACCGCAGTGTAGTTGTGCTAGCAGACATCACAGTGGAGACCAAAGAATTTGTTTGAGCAAATGTAGGATTACTTAGATGTAAACGCTCTACAGCAATTCTATTAAGTGCGGTATTGTCAAGAACAACAACACAATCAGCATTAAGTGTTAGTCGCTTGAGTGTCAAAAGTGAGTTGTAGGGTTGGACCACCACATCACTTGTCTCCATCTGGTTAGGGAATACACTATATGTCTGGACCAGCTTCTTGCTGTAGCGATCATTCAGAGTCTCCAACAGATAGGAACCCATACCTTCATTGTAGAATGAGAGCAGTCAAGTTGTAACCAAGCCAGTATCTCATGATGAAAATGCTACTGCCTATGGTCCTAATTTTTGAAGCCAAATGAGGCTAATATGTGTGTACATATAAAATAGAAAAATAAGCATACAATAATTAATTTTTGATAGACCAAAAGAGAAAGATAAAAAATGCAAATATAAAGATAAAGTGAGGAAACCTGAGCCTGTCCCTCCAGCAATGGAATGACATAGAACAAAACCCTCAAGGCTATCACTCCCATCAGCTTCTCTGTCAATCATGTCCATTATATCCTCTTCAACACCCTTTCCCTGTTTCAGAATCACGAACACAAAACTGGATTTTGGTAAAAGATTACTATTTGAAAAGAAAATTAAGGGGTAACACACATAAGTCATGTCAGATATTAACACGAGAATTTGTAATATATTCTGTGATCTATATAAACAAGCAAAACATACAAAAAAAAATGATAATCTCAACATCTCATGGAAACACATATTTATCTGCTGTAAAATGTAATTACTCTTAGATTGTAATTATGCACCTTGTTTTCCTTATCAACATTATCACCTCAACATGTTTAATTAAGATATCATGCAGAAGACCATAAGAGCGTCAATAAACTTATATATTATTGAACATCACAAAATTGGAAAGTTGAATCCAAAAGAAAAAAACCTGATGGTATCCGCTGGCCCAGTTGTTTCCGGCACCTCCACCGTGATCAGAAACAAAGATATTTTCATGATTGTAGAGATTCCGATATTCACTATTTTGAATTCCATTAATTACTCTAGGTTCCAAATCTATGAGTAAAGCTCGTGGTATGTAATGCTGATCGTCAGCTTGGTAGAAAAAGACATCTTTCCTGTCACCTCCCTGCATCATCCGCACGGAAAAAATTAATACATGTTCAACTCGCTATAACAGAGTGACTCACTACTTGTTCTTTTTACATTTCAAATAAAGTTACCTTAATATATTCGGGATTAGTCTATGGCTAATTAAATTCCCAAAACCTAATCTGACTGCCAATCGAAAACTTTTGCCAAATTAGCATAAATAATTATTTTACCGTTAATAAATCGGCGAACAAACACAATAAAAATCATCACGAATTTCCATAATTGAGTGGAAACTGGAGCTTTAAAGTGTAAAACAAAAGCGAAAACCTCAAAGGAAAAAAACAAAAAGAGAGACCTGCGTAGCGAAATCTTCAAGAATGCCTTCTTTGCTGATGCCGTGCTCGAGGCAGAGCTGTTTCCAGAACTCCATCCCGATCTGGTTCCCACATTGTCCCACCTGCAGCGTTATGATTTCTCTCGGCATTTTTTGCTTTCTTTTTCCTTACTCCTGAAACTAGGGTTTCGATCGGAAGGGGGAAACAAACGTCTGGCGCGCGAGGGACGCCTTTTTTAAAAAAACACAGAAATGAGGGAAATGAGATGATAGTTTTTATTTTCTCCCTTTGAGCCTGGTTTGGCCGTGAAATGGATTTTATACAGTGGGACCGTTGAGTGTGTCCTTTTGTGAAATGCATTTTATTTTGCTTGACGACAAATGCTAACCTGCGCTGAAGTTGACACCCCATCTTGTTCTCTTTATCGAATGGGCCCTGATCTTGGTCCAACTAAATGGGCCTTTCGGTTTGTTTACTAGGAAGCGCGGTAGCCGTGCTTGGTCTAGTCTAGCCCACTCCCCGGCTGTGTTTTTTTGGGCTAGACTAACTGGCTTCAAGCCTACAAGGGTAACTAGGCCTTGAACCAAAACAAAATTATCCCCTAACCGTTCATCAGTCATTCCGCGGCGAGAGAATTGTTCAGTGAACCTCTCGAGCACAGGGGGAAAAGTCGTTATTACATGTTATATGTAGTATTAGTAACTTCTTCTACAATTTCACATGTGATTAGATGATGGAATGATGTCAAATTGTGATTAGGAGCGCATTTGCAAGTCTTTATAATGATTCTTTTTTATTATAACCATGTGAAATGCCGCCATGGCCATGACTTGCGCATTTCTTACTCAAGAACCCAAGCCATTCCTTCTCCCAAGATTTAATTACGAACTTCTGGAAATGTTGGCCGACATCAGAAGGAAAAAGGGTTTTAAAAAGGAAACTAAGATTTATCACCCTAGTATTAACAATACTAATTTTAGTAACTAAAATACATATGTAGTTCCAAATACTATATTTCCTTGGCCTTGCACTTTCCCTGTATGCATTTGATATTTCCTTTCAGTTTGATCATGTACCGACTACTTTCTCCTTCAGGTAAATGATCGCGAAAAACCAAAGATCAGACTGGAAGGAACTAATGAAACCATACCAAGAAAATAACACTGCCTATGTAGTTTCCAGAATTATAATAACAGGGAATTAATATTCTAGCGAGCCCAGAGAAATGCTCCCATGGCGAACTTTCTCTTCTGCTCAACATCTCCGGTAATAAGTAGTCCATACTCTTTAAGCAAACAATCAAGCTTCCACTCTGGCATGGCTTCGTAGTCAGCTTTGGTGTACCTCGGGTAGTGCAGTGGCATCTGGAAGTGGCCGCACAAGTTCCTGGCCTGCTGACCATTTGGCCCGCTGCCTAGGCTCGGAGTTTTCCTGGCTACCGATTCCATACTCGTTTCTGCACCCCTCCCCAACCGTGTGGTAATTCTTTGAGGTAGCTATATGGGTTGGTTGGGTTAGTAAAGCAGCTTGGTAGTAGCCTTTTTATAGAGGATTAAACGTGAGAGAGAGAGAGTGTGTGTGTTGGGACCTTGGGCGAGGGAGGACGCGTTGAAGCAAGCATTGTTGAGGTGACGCGATATTTCAAATTGACAACTGAGAAAACAAAGCTTTTCATTTCTTGACAGGGTTTGCTTTTACCCGTTTATAAATTTCACAACAATAATAAATTGGTTCTGCCCCAGTAAGGCAGCACTTTGCCAGACTTGGCGGCTTGTGGTTGAGTAGGGTCATCGATTCCCTTGGTTCTCGCTACGCGCTATTATCTTTCGCCTTTGTTTTGTGAAAGTTTAATTATAGTAAAATTTACATATTACCAAAACCTTCACTTCCTCGGAAAAACACTCATCAATTACCCTCTAAACCAGTCCATATCGAACGGTTTCTAACCAACTATGAGAAAGCTTACTTATAATCTAATAAAGCAATTAAACCACCATTTTATTTGCTTCGTAGTTCTGGGCACAAATAGAGAATAGGGCGTGTAATACTAAACAGCGTGTACACCAGCAGCAGATTGGATATTTTGGAAGTCGAGTGTTGCTGAGTCACATTGATGAAATTTGTGGGGGTTCTTCTGGAAGTAATGAGCAAAGCTACCCATGTCCGAACCCTTCACTAAGGGACTGGTTTATCGGTTCAAGCTCATCAAACTTCTTTAACCCTGTTGGTTCAGCGAGATCTAGCCACCTAAATCTCGCAAACCACATTCTTAGATTGTGCAAAATGCACCCAACCCACAGTAATTCACTAACAATTTGTTGGACAGTAATTTCTTCACCTTTGTATTCATTAAACTCATGTATTAAGGTTGATTCAATAATTTAGTCCCTACTTGCCCATGGCTCTTCAATGCAACCTTCAAGTAATTGTCCTCCAATCCTTCTAGTCCACACATTGACTCTATTAAGAACATGAATGGCAGGCATTTGCCCCACCAATAGAACAGCATTCAATACCTACCTGCTTGAAACGATTCATTGAGGTGGCCACTGGTCACTGTGTTGTTAACAGAGCTGCAGCCTAAAATAACTGGTTATAAACTAAAGTTGGTAACCAGAAAAACATCAACCACTTATGGTGGTTTGATTTGCACCGTAGCTGTCGGTAGCTGCAATAATAAAACAATATAAGCCAGGGACTCATTCAAGATCTAGTTAGAAGATATTGTTGCTTTCAGTACTGTTTGATATCATTAATCCATGGCAATAATGCATAATTCTGTTCATGGCCAACTTTTTTTCAATATTTTCCACACACTAACTTTCAATGTCTCATCATGCAAGGGATGGTCCACCCCATTCAACAAACAGAATTAATCTTCATTTGAATGAATGTATTAGAAACAAGTTTTTATCAAAAAAATCCAAATGAGTAAATGACCATGTCATCAAACACCGCTACTTGACTTTGCTAGTAGTAATCCGTTTCATGTCAAATATTCAGCTGTAAGCATCTCACTAATTAAATACCTACTTGATGAATTTCA